AATTCTCGAGTCTCAGACAAACAAAGAAATAGAAATAGAAAACCAAGCGCTGATAGAAAGGACGAGGCAAAGACGAGATGCACAAGTGGGCTAACTCACCGCACAGAAAGTCGACACAGAGAGCGTAAATCAAAAGAGCTTGTCAGCAAATGACACTTTTTTTTCTGGATTTTCCTGTTTTTTTTGTTGATTTTTCTTTTCGATAAAGATTCGAAAGAAGAAAAAGAAGAAAGGAAAAAAGGGAGTGGTTTAAGAGAGATGAAGAAGAAGAGAGGTTAAGAGGGAAGGAAAAAAAGTGAGAAAAAGAAGTTTTGGTGGAGAGAAAAAAAAGACACCGCCCGAAACGGCAGTATTCCAGTGCCGCTTTACGGCCTTCTGGAAAACTGCCCGCCCTAATCCCAATGTGGAAGGTGTGCCCCGCCGCTTCAACGTCATTACTCAGCGTCAGAGTTTTACAGCCCTATACAAAACATCCTACAGGGGCACAATGTAGAAGAGAACAGAATGAGAGCCATTAAGCTATGTACGGTGTCAATTCTTCATACAATTCAATCATGCAACATGTATCAAATGCTGGTAATCTGTGCAACGCCACCTCTATGCGAGTAGCTCTCCAATTCTCTGGGTATTATAGCAAACAATTTCTAGAAAAGAAAAGAAGAATGATCAGCTCAAGTCAAATCCAGCCCCCGAGTTGACCGCGTAGAGAAGCTTCTCCCGTAGCGTCTCCGCGTTCGAATACCGCGGCAGTTTCAACAGGTTCACGCAGGTACTGGTGCTTGGAAGACGTTCCTGGTCCTCACTCGAGTCGCGGATGCTGAACCGGGGGTTAAGGTGACTGAAACCCAGAAGCGGTGCTCGCGGAGTGGAAGTCACGAACTTCAGCACCTTCTGGCGTTCTTCGTTCGTCATGTTGAACATCACCTCCCAGAACACCTTGATTGTTGGGTGCTCTTGCTGGTCGTCTCCAATGACGTACACTCCTCCGTACAGCGTGTTGCGCCGCAAGTCTGCCACGTCGATATCACCCGACTCGCCGCTCACCAAAGTCTGTAGCTCGGCCTGGTTGAACATCGAGAGCCACGAGGGTTGAATAATCTGTCCAAGACCTTGCAAAAAGGCGTTGGTCTGAAGGGCTGGTTGTGCCTGGAGACGGTACCGAGCAATGTACGAAATGTACACCAGTCGGTTCTGATTCGTGACAGCGATATCTGATCCATTTGATTTCAAGTCGCGGGTAATCGTGCGGCTGCCAGAATTCGGTAGAGAAACGGTATCAGTGATGGTAAAGTTCAACGCAAAGTCCTCAACATCACCAGGATAGTTCTTCAGTTGCAACTATAGGACAAGCAGTTAGTTAAGAGATCAATGTGGACGGAAATTGTGACCTACCAATCCTTGGTAGAGACCTTGATCAAGATCTCTCATATCGTTGAGGTTAGCTCGGTATGCTGACTCCTTCTGCGCCGAACCGGTTCCGCCCGTCAGAGCCCACTTGAGCAGGAAGAACGGTGCAAAGTGAACATCCACAAGAATGCCCTCGTAAAGACACTTTCCAACAACTCGCCCGAGGAACTCATATCGTCGCAGCAAGTCTCGTACCTGCTCGTTCCACTCTGCACTGCGCTCCAGATATCCTGACTGTCGAAGCAGCTCCCTCCGCTGCTCGACGGCCACGGGGTTCGGGTACAGGAGATGGTCATCGTTCTCTCCGAACAAGGGGGACTCTCGGTCCGATTTGAAGGCCTCGTGAGTAACGCTGGTCAAGAACTCCTTGGTCACACCACCCCCATCGATTCCCGCTTCCGGGTTGTTGAACTTGTCAATGAAGGTGATCTGAATGGGCTCTTTCAGGCCTTCTCCCAAATCATAAAATTTTTCATAGGCATCATCGAATATGCTCTCGCGCTTGATATCTGCGTGTTGTCGGGTCAGGACATCTTGGCCTAAATCGCGACCATCCATACGTCCCATCGAGGCCTGAGCAACAGACATCCGCCAAATATCAGGGTCAATAGCCCCGTGTCTCCGGCGCATCTGGTCCCTATGGATAAATTCCCGGAAAACCTGTACTCTCGTGGGAAAAGGAATGAAGAACGGCATGTTCCTAAGGATTTCAAGTCGAGGTGCCACTGATTCGAGTTGCTTTCTGCGGGCGGCTTGGTGCTGACGGCGTCTGAGAGCTTCGATACGTCGCGTCTGCTGAGCACGGCCAGTGCCGATTAAGCCAGATGGTTCATAGGTTTCGCTCATCAAGTCGTCCTGATCCTCGTCGTCCTCATCATCCTGAAGTTGATGTCGGTTCTCTTCTTCTGCAACCACAGCGGGGATGAAACCTTCCATATCAAAGCGATTCGTCATGAGCCAATGATCATCGGGAAGGAATTTGCGTCGCGAGCTAGAAAAATAACGGTCAGCAAAACATTTCATGAAAAAACGTCGTATCAGGTTGGACATACTCTCGTTCATGGATCATTCTCAACAATCCCGTAACAAGACCTTTGAAATAGTCAAGCGGTATACCGGTGACCCCAGGAAGACCCTTTTCTTTGTTCTTGATCTCAATATCTTTGGTGCTGGTAATCTGATCCAACGGTGATGTTAACGAAGTGAAATAACTCCGGATGTCTCCGGAATACTGCCTGGTATCGTCTTCATTTAGATCCGCTGAGTTCCAGTACAACGTGAATGCCAGGTTTTTCAGAAAAACGGTCATGTCTTTGATCTCCCTCAATGGCAGAGCACTTTCCTTGGTCCACGATACTTTCGTGTTCGAAGAGGCCGTGAACGAAGATTCACTGGAGAAAAACTCGTCATCATCCATGACTTTCAGAACAAACGTGTAGAGCTCGAGGAAAAGCAGGATAATCGTCCATTCTTCATCCCTTTCGCTCTGGGGGATTGTTGAATATTTCGAATCCGCTTCACTGGTAGGTTTCAATAAAGGAAGCACCTTGGTAGAATCTTGACAAATCGCTGCAAATATCCTACTCGACCGCGATGCATGCCAGAAATACTTGATTGCTGGAACCCTTGATCCTGACTCACCTGACGTAGCAGAACCCAAGTAGAGCCACATCCGGATGTCGTCGCCACGTCGAGGGAAGACTCTCAGAAGCGTCAAAGCATAAGTGGCAAGAGTCTTGGCTTCGCGAGAAGCGACCGAGTCAGCGTTTGCCAATTCTCCTTGCGTTGAGTGAAGCTGAGACAGAAGTCCGGTGATGTTGCTCTGATTGATAAGGCTGAATAGCTGTTCTTTGACAAACGGGGGCAGTGGCTCTTTCGCCGTAATCTCATCAAGATCACCCGCCTCCTCCAGTTCCAGACGTTGTGAGACATGCACTGCTGTGGAGTTCAACAATTCTGACACGACCTTCACAAAGCCAGGCTCCGGTGCCTGGTGCCCCACCTGGCTTCCCAACGCGTATCGGTGGAAGTAGATGAAGTATGAAAGTAACCAGAGTCGAGCCTCAACATCCCCATCATTTGACGGACGACTCTTAAACTGAGTATCCAAGGGTCCCAGAGCCGACGTGAGCAGTTTGTAGTTGATGTTGTTCGCCAAGCCATCAAGTGTTCCTAGATACGAAGGCAAATCTGAAATAACAAGATAGTTTCTAGCGAACCACTCGTATGCAGTGAGAGTCTCGGACGTAATCGGTCGAAGGAGAGCAAGGACGCTTTGAATAAGGTGGTCGGGGGATAAGTTCGATCGACGGAGAGGCTCGATGTTTGTCGTCAACAGCGACATGACAGAATAGTACTCCTGGGCGAGCAGTGCCATCACCTTGGGTATTAAGTTTGTAAGGAAAGCCAGGGGTTGCAGCAAATGACTCGAAGCAAAGGCCGGGACTCTCGACGACGGCGCCGAGCGCAGCACCCGGAGAGTCACCTTCGCCAAACGCGTAAGCGGAGTAGTCCATTCTCCCTCCGTTGCAATGGTCGGAATCTCGTTCAAAGTTTTCTGAAATGCATTGGCAAAGTATACCAACCGCACGACATCGCCGTGATGCCAGGGTTCCAGAAACTGGACCAGGAGTCTCAGCTGCGATAGACACCCAGCCGCTGATGCGTACGGGACCGACGCCTCAACATCCAATCCCGCTTGTCCTGCCACATCGTCAAATGGCAACGAAGTCCCTGTCCTCTCTTGTTCAACAGTATCCCATTCTGCCCTCCACGTACCATGTGTGTTTTTCCTGCTCCGATAGCCCCGCCATGCCCGCTGTACGAGCCGGCTTGCCCCTAACCGATCCCTTTCCTGTTGTCTCGCTAAACGTTCCTGCTGGGCAATCGCAAGGGTGTTCTGTGGGCCGGAGCCATGGCCAGTTCGTCCCGAGGGGAAGGCAGCGAATGGGTTGTTGTTGCGGGCACCGAGGTTGACCTGCCGCGGACGGCGAGCGTTGCCCGTGAAGGATTGAAACATATTCTGTCTCCAGTCAGAGCTCGGACGTCGATACGCAGAAAACCGCTAAAAAACGAGAGTAGCAGAAGACACAATCTGCATCTTCATGCCAAGAAGAACGCGGCAACGAGGAGGGAAAGTCGTAGATGAAATGGGCAGAGTTGGTGGTGGAAGAGCTGGCGACCTTCGGACTATGACATACGCATGATCAGCGAGAGCCTATACCCACGCACTTTACCACCCGACTGAAAGTTACTGCCACGAGAATACAGGCAATATTTTATTGCCACGTACCAGATGCCATGGAAAGTTCTATCAGGGGAAATATACAACTGCAGTGAAACCATAGATAAAGGCTTACGCATTCACTATCGGGACGGAAATGGTGAACAGGGTTATGATTTGGACTGAAGTCTTTCTATCATAGGTATATGTCGTCTAAAATTACAAATCACGGCTGAAGTCGACGCCGACTGTCATAAGCTGATACTCCATAGTCCGAAGTAGTCGAGCATAGGTACACGAGTCTGGCCAGTGTTCCTCCTAATATGATATCCGGATAGCCTTGTTCCACGTATAATGCCAGGGATGGGCGCAGTAACAGAAGTAGCGTGCCGTCAAAAGTGCCGCGTTTCCAGACATACTGTACATATATAGTACACGGAAGATGAGATGTGATCGGCCAGCGAGCAAACAAACGGTAAGGTGAACCATGTCATCTTGTGGGCTTAGACAACATGGTGAATTCCAAACGAATAATAATGTGGATAGTGGAGTCTAGCCACGGTCAGATTGATATCTAGAGTCATCCCGGGCAACATACGAACCTTTTAGTCTCGTTCAGCATTATCGTATTCTCTTCATAACAAGCCCGTCTATTGAGCGGGCTTCGCCTCTGGTTCCACACGATCAAGACGCTCCATCTCAAGAACCTCTTGTCCATTATCCGATGTCCATAACTCGAGGTAGTCCTTTCCTTCAAACGCCTTCTCTCGTGTAACAAATTTGCCGTCCTTCTCGACCTCGTCGGTATATCTGCTCTTCGTCGGGGTCATAGCCTTGGTCACGAACGGAGTAAGCTAGTTCCATCTGTTAGCCCAACGTCCACTTTCATTCATCCCACCGGGTTCCGCATTGTGCGCTGCCAAATAGCCGGGAAAAATTGGTATACCTTGAACTGGTCGAGGTCTTCAGGTACAACGTATGTCCGGACTTTCTTCCAGTCGATCACATAAGAGCCGTTCTTTGCGAAATAACCCATCGAACCGCTCCGGGTTCCCTTGTAGTAGCCGCCGTTGACCTGCTTGGTTGTCAGGCGCAATCGCGCCATCATCGGTTGCGAAGGCTTGAACATTTTGAACGTGGCTGTAATCCAGCAGACTCTTGCTGAAGAAACAGTATACTCCGTAGTTAACGAACGAGGGGTGGTGTCGGAGGTGACAGGAAGACCGTCTTTTTCCAGAGTCGGACTGCGCTAGTGAGCTTCGGCGCGCCGAGAACTTTTTTTCCGCTGCCCGCAAAAAAAAAAAAAAAAAATCAACTCCGCACCTCGTTTACATTTCTGTTATTGCAAGCACGAGCTTGAAAGTTTTTTTTTTTATTGTTATTTCAGTGTGTTATTGAAGTAAGCACTTGATTAATTCAGAAGAAACGCAACCATGCCTCGCAAGCAGGCCCAGTTGCGCGGTCCCAAAGACCGAGAATTGCAGAACAGGACGCAGAACAGGTCGCAGAACAAGACTACGAAGAGAAATACCGGAAAGGGCCTGGATGCGCTCTCTATCGCTGAGGCCGAATACCCCATTAATCCCCGCATCCGACGAAGCCGTCTAGGCGTAAGCGATGACGATGATTTCTCCAAGCGCAAGCGAGACGACGCAGACGGACCGGAAAACAAGCGCCGCAGAACGGGCGAAGATGACTCGGGCGATAATGACGGTAGCGATGGCGATGGTCGCGAGTGGAAGATAGGCGAGGTCGACAGTGATGATGACGAGGAGCTGGATAGTGACGAGGCTATGGGTTCAAGTGATGAAGAACTTTTCGAGGGCTTTGCATTCCGCGGAAGCTCTACCACGAATTCGAAGCCGAAACCGAAACAGAAGAAAGAGAAAAAGACTCGCCAAATCAATCTCGACGAGTCGGATGAAGACATAGATGAGAACGAAGAGAATGGCGACGAGGAGGATGATGACTTGGGAGAAGATGCGGTCGATCTTCTGACTGCTTGGGATATGAATACAGCAGCAGAAGAGGAAGATGCCAAGAAGGCCGCCAAAAAGGCTAAGGCCGCGACTGACGACTACGATGAGGAGTCTGGCTCACAAGACGAAGAAGAAGACAGTGACGACGAATCCAGCGAAGACGACGACGATGACGATGACGACGATGACGCCCTCTCGGCATCGGACGATGACGCAGATTCTGGAAACGAGCACGGTCTTTCGAGATTACAAGACTTTGTCAATTCGATGGAGACAGATACTACCAGCAAGCCAACAAAAAAGAAAGGCTTTGCGCAGGAACAGAGCAAACCTACAGAATACGGTTTGACATCTTCGAAGAAATTGACCGTGGCCGACCTTCTACCTTCGATCTCGGATTCTCGCTTGAAGAGCTCATTAAAGCATGTCGATGCCACTGCCGATCATAAACAGTCGTCTGGTATCCCTGGCAAATTGGATGCGCCCGCTCCTAAACGCCAGCAGGACCGAATGGACCGGGAAGCCGCCTACGATAAGAGCAAAGAGACTATGGACCGCTGGCTTGAGACTGTCAAGGCCAACCGCAGAGCCGAACACCTCGTTTTCCCTCTCCCAAATCCTGATGCGCAACTGGTACACAAACTGGACGCTCCTAAGCCGCAAAACGACCTTGAGTCCACCATTCAGAACATCCTGGTCGAGAGTGGTCTTGCAACTACGCAAGGAAAGTCAAATGAGGATGAAGTCAAGGAGTTCGAGGAGTTGGAGGGACGAAATTTGCCCATTGAAGAGATCCGGGAGCGCAGAGCGGAGCTTCGCAAGCGTCGCGAACTTATGTTCCGGGAAGAAGTACGCGCCAAACGGATCAAGAAGATCAAGAGTAAATCCTACCGCCGTGTTCATCGGAAAGAACGGGAAAGGCTAGAGCAGCAAGAAAGACAAGCCCTTACTGACGCTGGCATCGACTTGGACGAGGAAGAGAAGGAGAAGATGGAGCGACAACGAGCGGAGGCTCGTATGAGCTCGAAGCACAAGGATAGTAAGTGGGCGAAGAGTCTCAGACAAACTGGCCGCACAGCTTGGGACGAGGAAGCCCGTCTGGGTGCTGCTGGTCAGGCGTTGAAGGAGGAAGAACTACGGAAGAGAATCGAAGGCAAGCGTGTGTCTAATGGTGACGACGATTACCTGGAGCCATCCAGCTCGGAATCTGAAGACGAGGATCCTTGGGCAGAGAATGGCTCCGATGTCGAAAAGGACAAGCTCCGCAAGAAGATCTCTGCGCTCGAGGATGGCAATGCAGGGGAGGAATACAAGGGACCACATGCGAAGCTTCTCTCTATGAAATTCATGCAGAATGCAGAAGCCACACGGAAAGAACAGAATGATGCAGAGCTCCGGAAACTAAATCGGGACCTTAAAGATGGTGAAGAGTCACAGTCTGAGGCAGAGTCGGAAGTTGGTCGACGAAAGTTCGGTCAGAGAAAAGCTGAGAAGCCAGAGCGAAAACCGGAGCCATTCCGCAAGAATGAGTTTGAAGAGGCACCGGATTCGGACGATGAAGATGCCCTTGAGTCAAGGGCAGCCGAGACGACTCAGGCGACCAGCAAGCCCAAGCCGTCCACACGCCCAGCCAAGAAGGATGCACCTGCACGTGTCTCAGGCAACGCCTCGAAGCAGCAGGAGACAGTTGACGAAGTGGAGGAGAACCCGTGGCTGGTGCAAACTAACCGTACCAACCGGAAAGCCAATGTCAACGACTCGAACCAGTCTGTTGATATTTCGATCAACGACGCACCTGGCCCCAAGTCCTCCAACGTCAGCAAGGGTCAGAAGTCCAAAGCACCGGCTGCTAAGAAGCCGCAAATAGCCGAAGATGCTGGCAGCGATGACGAGGGCCAGGTGCCGGTCCTCCTGAAGAACCATGATCTCGTGAAGAGAGCATTCGCCGGAGACGAGGTGGTACAGGAGTTTGAGCAAGAGAAGCTGGACACCATCGAAGACGAAGGTGACAAGGTGGTCGATAACACGCTTCCCGGATGGGGCAGCTGGGCCGGTGAAGGCGTCAGCAAGAAGCAGCAGAAACGGCAAAGGCGTCATCTTACCACCGTTGAGGGCGTGAAACCCGAGCAGCGCAAGGACGCCAAGCTCTCGAAGGTTATCATCAACGAGAAGCGCCAGAAGAAGGTAAGCCAAGCTCAATGGATTTACGTAATGCCCATGTGAAATCACAAGCTAACAGTTTGCTATAGAACAACAAGTATATGGCTTCTCAACTCCCTCACCAGTTCGAGACCAAGCAGCAGTACGAACGGTCCCTGCGCCTCCCCATCGGTCCCGAATGGACGACCAAGGAGACTGTTCAGAACACCACCAAGCCTCGCGTCATGATCAAACAGGGCGTCATCAAGCCCATGGACAAGCCAATGGTCTGATCTCGAATTGGTCATGCTGACTGGGGTCAACATATCCCCAACCTTCGACGTCAATTGTTTCTTGTTGCATGGTTGTAGATACGAATGGGCTTTTTCTTTTTTTCAATTTCGTGTACATTGGCATTATGATGACGCGTCATCGTTTCTTTCTGGGATTTTTTCTGGGTGGTGTGGTCTGTATACATAGGCAATTCTCGGCGTATCGAGTCATAAAAGTTTTGAGACCCTGGTAGTACCCCGGATTCTTACTCTGTCAGTTTGACATGTGGCCAATCCAAACCGCTCAATTTGTAGATGCTTTAGTCTTATGAGCCGAGTTTACCATGGCTTAAGACGTAATGTGCTCTGGATAATCTTCTTCCTCTCCCGGGGACTTTCAACGGTTGTACAAGAGGGAAGGACAGAAACGCAGATCCAACGTCTCGGATCCAGTAAGGTTGAGCCGCCCCGGATTCTTTTATGCTCGTCGTCATCCCAAGCGAGGCAAAAGAGGGCTAATGCAAGGCACATGGCTGTCAGAGACTACACGTGCTGCCAGATCATCGGACATTCCGACGCGCGCCTGTGGAATGCCATCACGCCGGCAACAACCCAACCGCGACAATTGGTAGCGGCAGGGACAACCAAGAAACAGAGACAAGATAGACTTCGCTCTTGATCAATATCTGGCAATATGACACAGCAAGTGAAAAGTAAATTATGACTCTCAGAGTAGTCGATCACGTGGGGGGGTTTAGTCACCTTTCCTCATTAGGCAACACACAATCCCGACATCCCCTCCAACATCATCCCTCTTTTCCCTTCGCTCACTATATTTTCCACAAGAGAATTGTGGTCAGAGGATCAAGTCATCTTCGAATAATTATCGTCTTATGTTGGACATTGACGTCGAGAGCTCTATTCATAAACGGTTGATTCCGCTATCATAGTAAGGAACTCCTACACTTACTAGTACCACAAGGGTTGAGTAAGCATTTCTTAACCCTGCATTGTTGCCCTGGTCCCCTTTTTCGTGCAAATGAAAAATGCCTCTGCTTCGGGACCTGCAGTGCTGACATTTGATTCAGGCCGGCATCTGCTGTGTACCTGCCGAAACCCTTCCTGTCACCTGGTATTCGAACCGCGTCGGTGACCCCGGCCCACTAATCGAGAATTCCTGAACGAGTACCGGACTGGAATGTTTATATTTGATTGACAGCCATCGGTAAGTCCTCACTTTTCTTTCTGACATCTTCGGTTTTGTTCTGGGCCTGAAGGGACTTTGCTTCTGTCGTTTCTTCAACCCGTCACTTTGGGACCCTCCCTGGGAATTTTCAATTGGGGCTTCGTGTTCTTGTTTTGGTCTTTCTTTCTTCTTAGCTGTGCTCGTTGACTCGTTCATTCGGGCTTGCCGAGACATTGTTACTTTCCCCTGTCTTTCATTTACTCTTGTTGTCTTACTTGGTTGGTATTTATATTGGGCCAACCCCCTCGATATTGTGAAAAAAAAATTGTTGTTTGCTTTGATTATTGCCAAAATACTTCTTGGACATGGTTTTCAAAATGGACAGGAAGGCCAATTGGGGTTATACGGCCATGCTAATATGGCTTCTGGCACCAGATACAGCTCTGTCCTATCCGAAACCTACGGAATTAAGCACGGAACCGACGAGTACGACCTCTTTCAAGACCCAGTATCCTCCAGGCAACGAGAGGCTGCTCATCCCAGAGACGACAGGAGTAAGTCTGTTCGATGTTGTCGATGAAGCCAGAACTAACTCAATGCACAGTTCTACCCAACCAGTCTTGAGCGTGACGTTCGTGGAGTTTCACCAGAGAGAACGCCATATTTGGGATTTGACGGTCTAATTGATTGGTTCCTGTCTGACGGTGGTTTCCAAGAACCAGAATCTACCACCACAGGCCTACCAACTAAACCGGCACCAGCGACCTCGAACCCTGCGCCTACCAAAAACACAGAGCCTACCGAAAACATAGAGCCAGAACCGACTACAGAAGAACACGGATTCTCATCGCATTCACCAACTCCAAAGTGGGGGAAGCCTGGACATTGGAAGGGAGATTCCACAGCCACTGGATTTCCACACCCCTCAATGGAAGGGCAAGATGTTTTCTTGCCAGTCGCAACTGGCGGTATCCCAGGCAGTATCAAAGCCAGGGATGACCATCCAGTACCGAGGACAAACATTGTAAGGACCTCCCCTCAGGATTCGATGTTCTACATCACTCACATGAGTTAGGGCAACACTACGGACCCGATAGAGACGAACAAGTTCTACAGCGGACTGTTCCTCGGAACTCAAACGAATGGCACCTTTACTCACCCGTATAATATCGCGTGGGCCAAGAGCAACGGAAATGCTGGCAGCTACGGCATGTCCATCTCGCACACCGAAAAGAATGTGATCGCAGAAGGACCGCCCAACGATAAGATCCCAGGTCACCCAGTGTCTTTCTATGTGAATCCTGTTGGAATCCAGTCTATGATCCTTTCAGCAACGGAATTGAGAGACGGTACGGTTCTGACGGCAGAAGACCCAAGGCCATTTTCCGCCAACGCAGTTTTGCGCCCGCAGCCTGGATCACACCAGAACATCACTTTCCCTCTTGTCCAAGGCATGGGCTTTTTGACTGGAATCTACACTGATATGCAACCATTGGTCCAGACTGGTGTTCTGTACCAGAAGGTCGTGTCCGCAGGCAGCCCCAAGCCGGGTATTTTCAAATACCGAGCATACCTGGAAGACGGGAACATGTGGTTGATTTATGCAATTCCCAACGACGGCAAAGATCCCAATTTCAAGCTCGACTCGCATACTGACCTGCGGGGCCCCCAGGGGTGGTCTGGAACGATCCAGGTTGCGAAGAACTCCCAAGGATCAAGCAGCGAAAAGCTCTATGACAACTCGGCTAGTGTCTTCGCAGTCCACGGTGTCTTATCCGGTGCAGTTTCCCGGGATACGGGAGTATACAACCTGGGATGGGCAAAGGCGGGCAAATATGCACAAGATACACCCTTGATCATGTTTGCGCTGCCCCATCACGTTGAATCGTTCGATGATACCACTAAGGGCCGAGTGACCAGCATTCAACTGCGGACCACAACCAAGGGCAACGCCACGGCCATTATTGGCGAACAATGGACATTACTTGAGCCAGAACTGCCGATCAGTATGGACTTTGCCCCGTGGGTTCAGAATGGAAACAACCTCCCACCATCAGCCAAGAAAGCTCTCCTGGACATCGCGCCTAAGGATCTTGGGGAGGACATCGATAAGCAGTCGGATCTCAACAGTATGTACTTCAGCGGCAAGGCACTCAGCAAGTTCGCCACGATCATCTACGCTGTGAGTGAGCTGGGCGGAAACCCGGCACTTGCGGCTGATGCCCTCGATAAGCTGAAGAAGAGCTTCGCCCGGTTTATCAACAACCGTCAACAATTCCCCTTAGTCTACGACAACGTGTGGAAGGGCGTCGTGTCATCAGCCAGCTATGGCGGTGATGAGGGAGCAGACTTTGGAAACACCCTGTACAATGATCACCACTTCCACTACGGATACTTCATCCACGCTGCTGCCATTATCGGAACGTTGGACCCCGAGTGGCTGAAGACTAGCAAGGACTGGATCAACACGTTGGTGCGAGACGCAAGCAATCCGGTGGCTAATGACCCTCACTTCCCATTCTCGCGCGCGTTTGACTGGTACCATGGCCATTCGTGGGCCAAGGGACTATTCGAGTCGTTTGACGGCAAGGACCAGGAGTCGACATCGGAAGACACGATGTTTGCTTACGCCCTCAAGATGTGGGGTAAAACGATTGGGGATAAGAGTATGGAGGCGCGCGGTAATCTGATGTTGGGTGTGCTTCGTCGGAGTCTGCACAACTATTTCCTTTTGGAACGGGAGAACATTAACCATCCGCCGGAGTTTGTGCCGAATAAGGTGACGGGCATTCTGTTTGAGAACAAGGTGGACCACACGACTTACTTTGGAAACAACTTGGAATACATCCATGGGTATGATGACCTTCCTTGCTGATTCAAGGATGTAAATGCTGACTGGCGCAGAATTCATATGCTTCCCCTCCTCCCGGCGTCATCGTACGTACGCAACCGCAAGTTCGTGACAGAGGAGTGGAACGCATTGTTTGCATCGAACGCCAGCACCCCGGCAGACAAAGTCGAAGGTGGCTGGCAGGGTGTGTTGTATGCGAACCTGGCGTTGATTGACCCGGTGACCTCGTGGGAATTCTTTGCGCGCGACGGGTTTGATTACGGGGCGATTGACGGAGGCGCCAGTCGAACGTGGTCCCTGGCATTTGCGGCTGGTGAGTATTTGTCATCTTACGCTTATTAGCGCCTATTACTGTGGATTGTGGCTGACTGTGATAGGTATGGGGGGATGTCGTGAGTGAATAGGGATGGTGAGCTGAGCTGAGCTGAGCGATACGATATGATGGCGTGACTGGGATTATCAATGTTGGAATTGGGTGGCTTGGTATATTACGTTATGATAGCTTGGATCTGATGTTTAAATCTTGTGTACTTAGCTGATCTTGCAGAAATGCATATGTGCCCCAACAGTTTATCCATTGGCGTGCATTGTTGGTGCATGGGCCAGCATTTCCGTGACATGTGGCTGGCTAGGTGTGGCCAGTGAGCGTGGCAGTGCAGGTCGAGATTCAATCTGTTACATACAGGGATAATTACTTGTCAGGAGTTGGGCACCACGGCGTTGAGTGAGGCATTGACTGTAGCAATTAGAATTAGAATGCTCTCTGCATTGCTGGCACATATAAATTGTCTTGGTGCTGAATGTTCTGAACATTCTCCTCTTCTTTCTGATCAAATAGATCGCCCCACTGATATTCAATTCCCACTGATCCGGAATCAAAACGAGGCTGTGCAAGTGCAGAGCGCCACGGTACGACATCATAAACTATCAAGTCCAGTTCCAGAGCCAATTGACTGTAACCTCTTTTTCTCTCTCTTTTTTTTTTTTTTTTTCTCTTTCTCTCTCTTTCCAAACAATCGTTGTTATACCATTCACCCTTAATTCCTTGGGTCAGTCTTGGCTATTTTGATTGCTATCGTCCATCCCTGGTCTCCAATGGGTAAGTAACTTTCTTTTAATTCCCTGTACTCCCACTTTCTTTACTCCTCTTTCTTGCTCTCCTCACTCTCTCCTCTTTCTCTCTCTCTCTCTCTCGCGACGCCCATTCATTCCTTCTCTATCTGGTGCACACATTATATCCCTCAATTGAACTAATTGACACCAACTCCAGCGTCAACACAACTCCGTTCCATCTTCCGCAGACACTCTTGGGGTTCCAAAAAATCCATTATGCCTTTCTTTGGCAACTCCGACGGTTCCGACGAACACACCTCCCTCCTTGGTAACGGCAATGGCAATGGCAATGGCAATGGAAATGGAAATGGAGATGTCAACGGACACGGCCGCGGATACAAAGTCGCCAGTCACCTCTCCCACTGGCCCTCGCGAGTCCTGCATCTAACATGGGTGACCCTCGTGCGCGACTATGTCAACCTGCTCCTCGTCTTTGTACCACTGGGTATTATCGCTGGTGTGTTGAAATGGGATGCTACGGCTGTGTTTACGCTGAACTTCTTCGCGATTATCCCCCTGGCGTCGCTGTTGAGTTTTGCGACGGAGGAATTGTCCGCGACGATGGGGCAGGCGCTAGGTGGTTTGATGAATGCGACGTTTGGAAATGCCGTTGAGCTTATTGTTAGTATTATCGCTTTGACGCGCGGTCAGACAAGGGTTGTTCAGGCTAGTATGCTTGGAAGTATTCTGTCGAACATTCTGTTGGTTTTGGGTTGCTGTTTCTTTGCTGGTGGTCTGCGGTATCATGAGCAGACCTTTAACAGCACTGTGGCTTCCACTATGTCGTCGTTGATGACTGTTGCCTCTGCGTCGCTTATTATCCCGGCTACTCTCTATTCGTCGTTGTCGAACCACCCTGGACGTACGGAAAATATCTTGGTCGTCTCTCACGGAACCGCTATTATCCTTTTGATCCTCTACGTCATGTACCTCTACTTCCAGCTGTGTTCGCATTCCTACCTCTTTGAAGAAGTCAACAAAGAAGTCACCGCCGACATGGAGGGCCAGGAAGACGGAGAGAATGAGGAGCGTGAGCCTCAGGAAGAACGCGTTCTGGGTCCTTTGGCCGCCACTGTTGCGTTGGTGCTTGTCACCATCCTGGTCGCCGTCTGCGCTGATTACTTGGTCGACAGCATCGACGACATCGTCGAAAAGACCGGCATGACCCCGACTTTCATCGGTCTGGTCCTCATCCCCATTGTTGGCAACGCTGCGGAACATGTCACGGCCGTCGTCGTCGCCTGGAAGGACAAGATGGACCTGGCTATTGGTGTCGCCATCGGAAGCAGCTTGCAGATTGCCCTCTTCGTCACTCCCTTCCTGGTCATTGTTGGCTGGATCATCGGCGTGCCTATGACGCTGCACTTCCAGACTTTCGAGACTGTTGCTTTCTTCATCTCTGGTTTGGTCGTCACCTTCTTGATCCAGGACGGCAAGTCGAACTATCTCGAGGGTGGACTGTGCTTGGGAATGTATGTGATTCTTGCGCTTGCATTCTACGTCTACCCAGACAGTGAGGCGGTTGGAGATGCTCTCGTGAACGCGTCATAAAATTTTCGTCTTTGATGACCGTATATATCTACCTTCATTTTTCTCTTTTTCCTTTCATGATTTTTGGCTTCTTGGCTATTTTGAGAGGATAATTCCTTTTATGTCTGTTCGTTCGGGTTTGGATTTCTTTTGTCGCGAGTCGACTCTCGCTACAGCGCTTTAGTCGCTGGCGATTCCTTTCTTTAATAATGTGTTAGTATGTGCATGTGCATTGGCTTTGGAGGATTTCTGGTTTTCTGTTCACGGGTATAGGGTAGGGCAAGTAGCCTCATCAAAATACATTCTCTTCACCTGAGTCATCATATATGGTCCTATAGTGCAAGGCAACAGTGCGGACACTTTTTTTTTTTTTGGGTCACATGTCACATACACATCATCATCTCCGACACGAGAAGCAGCGAGGCTGCTGTAAGTGTATGGAGACGATGCAAATGCGTACAGAGAGCTAACCACTCAACAGCCTACGAAGAACATTCCAACAATAGAAACGACCAAACCCATTATTACTATTCCAGAGAGACAGAGAACACTCCCACAATGAACGAGACCAAAGCTCACGAGATCCCCTCCTGGGTCTACGAGCACAACACCCGAGTCGCCAACATTCCCGAGTCCGAAAAAGAAAAAAAAAAAAAAATCAGAGAAAAGCTCGAGGACAGCCGCATCCCGCTCATGGCCCGCAAGTTCATGGTCCGTGACTTAAACCCCATCGATCCCGCCAGACTTGCACCAAAACCATACGTTGAGAAATACTACTTCTTCTACGGCACGCTCATGGACCCATCCATGCTCACCCGCGTCCTGAACCTTGATCATAAACCCGACCTCCGCCCTGCGTATATCCTCAACCATAAGATGAAAATGTGGGGGCCGTATCCGGCTGTTTTGGACGGGGTTGCAGAGGGGCAGAGGATTAACGGTGTGGCGTATAAGGTTAAGTCTGAGGACGACGAGAAGAAGCTGGCTGCTTATGAGACGGGGATGTATAGGGGGAAGGGGGTTATGGTTCATTTTGGGGGTGGGGGCAAAGAGAAGGAGAGGGTGGTTGGGTGTATGTTTGTTTGGAATGCGGATGAGGCGGTGCTGAAGGCCGGGATGTTTAATATGGGAGGTTGGTTGGAGTGGGAGAGGAGGATGGGGGAGTAGGCAGATGGCATTGAGACTGGGAGGGATTTGCTTGATGGCTGTGAGCCCTAAGGATTTCGGGGTACATCTGTTTTCATGGATAGAGTTGCGCATGAGATGTTAGCTTATTAGCGTTAGCGTTATTACGAGCGTGTTATTCCTTTTACAGCTACTTCGTGTCACCTGTTTATTCATTCTGCTTTTTCTACATACAAGCCACCTCAACAAGGAAAGGTTCAAGTCCGTGTTAGAAGACTGATGAAGGCCTAAGGCATTGGACATATGTAAGACTGCGCAAGCATCAACTAGTTAATGTCATCGTTCTTACTACTTACAAAGACCAAAGAGGCTTGTACTGTATGTTGAACTATTTGACAGATCAACTCTTAGCCATGGAGCCAAAAACTCTTCATTTTGGGATAAGGAGTGAAGTACTCCTGTACGGAGTAGAAGAAAGACGATGTAGGTCTACTGTCTAGTAGTTAGTTAACTAATTAACGTAATCTATCACCGAGCTGGCCAGCTGGCCAGATCCGCGACCACCTACTATTCATATTTGCAATTTATCCACAACCACAACCATGGCTGATGATTCAAAAAGAAGATCGCATGAAACTAGCTCTAGAAGCCTTTAAAAAAGGCCTTTTTTCATCAAAAAATGCAGCAGCAAAGGCATATTATGTGCCTCTCTACCTTTAAGACCAGGGTCAAAGGAACCACATGCCGCAAGGAATCAGTTGCCAACCACTGAAAATTGACACCTACTGAAGAAAAGACACTCTCATCATGGATTATTGATATGGGACAGCGTGGCCTGCCTCTACAAATCTCTACTGTACGCCCTTTGGCACAGTTATTACTGTCTGCATGACTATCCTCCCAGACTGCCTATGTGGGCGAGTGTTGGGTGACTCAGTATATTCGACGCCATGATGAAATCTCCTCTGAATACAGTCGAAAATATGACTACCAGCGTGCCAGATGTGAAGATCCAGAGCTTATTATGGGGTGGTATAAGCGCTTCCATGATGCCATTGAAAAATATCGCATTCTTGAGCAAGATATCTACAATATGAATGAAACTGGATTTCAGATGGGCATGATATCCACAGCCAAAGTTATATGTGGCTCAGAGACTCGGGCAAGCAATGCCAAAGCCTTACAGCCTGGGAATCATGGATGGGTAACTGCTATTATTGCAGTAAATACAACTGGATGGGCTTTGCCTCCCCAGATTATCCTGGCTGCAGACAACCACCAATCTCAATGGTATCATGCTATTCCAAATGATTTTATAATCAGTGTCAGCAAGAATGGCTGGACAGATCATGGATTAGGCCTGGAGTGGCTTCAAACTGTCTTTGAGCCACATACAGCCTCCCGTACATTAGGGAGATATCGCATGCTGATTTTGAATGGTCATAGCAGCCATGCCACTGCAGAATTCGATGGATTCTATACAGAAAGGAATATTATTCCTTTATATATGCCTCCACATTCATCTCATCTCCTTCAACCATTGGATGTTGGTTGTTTTTCGCCATTGAAGCGCTTATATGGTCAAAGAATCATCAATAAGATGCAGAAGGGAATCAACGCTGTTGATAAAACAGAATTCCTCTATATATACCCTACTGCCCATTACCGGGCTCTATCATCATCAAATATTCAAAGCAGCTTTGCAGCAACTGGCATGGTTCCATTCTCACCTGACCAAGTCCTATCAAAGCTTCATATACCATTTAAAACACCAACACCGCCTTCATCATCACATAGCAACCAATCTTTTGGTGCAGGCAGGACTCTAACAGATATAAACCAGCTTGAGGCCCAAAAGAAGCGACTATATCACCTCCGAAATCATCATATATCCCCATCAACTATGGAAGAGGCAATGGGAAAGGTCATTAGAGGGGCAGAGATAACCATGCAAAATGCCATCCTACTGCAGCATGAATTCCACCAGCTTCTCATGGAAAATAAGCATCAAAGGCAGAGACGAGCAGCTCCTAGGGCCTTTATACAGGCTGGAGGGAGCCTGACAGGTGCTCAAGGATTGCAAAAAGCGCAAGAACAGGAGGCTATAGTGGAGGAAGCACGCCGGTCAGTTTCCAGGCTGCGTAGGCCACCAACTTGCAGCGCATATGGTAAAACAGGCCATAATCGGCTTAAATGCCCTGAGAAATAGTCTATTGTTTTTATACATAATATATATCAATTTTGTGGGGAGAAAGGCTTCAAAACCAGTGTATAGTACTTTTCAGCGGGCGCAGCCAGCTGGCCAGCTTGGTGATAGATTACGTTAGTGGCATTGCTGACTCAGCAGAAAATTGTCGTCCCGTGACCAGCCTTGATTTCGCCGGAGATTCAATCATCACTGCCATTGACAGACCGAAAAGAGCTAGAAAGATGCCACCGCGACTCAATTTTTTCTCGGCCAGGAAGGCCGTTCCCGTCCTTCGCTCGTCTACCCCCTCCGTCAACGCGCGGCAGAGTATCATCGCCAACCTCCCGCACCGGTCCAGCAACGCCGTCGGTCTACAAAAAAGATGGAATTCGTCGGGATCGGATAAGAAACAGGAGGCACCAGAGGAGGCGGATAGACTGAAGGGTCCTACGGAGGATGCATTGCCTCATGTGAGCGAGGAAGCCGCCGCGACGGACCGGATCATGTCGAAGGAGAAGCGATGCGATGGGATTCCGAGTTCGCCGGAATTGGAGCAGGGAACTCCCATCTCCGAGGTATTTTTTGCCTGCTATATGGCCATTATGCATTGTGTCTGACCAGTTATGCTTCTCTATAGATCCTCGAGCGCGACGAAAAGGCTAGAAAGAACGCACCTAAGGTGATGCAGGATATGATGAAGAAACCGTCCGGCAGCCGCTCCTTCTCCACCTCGACCCGTCACCTGGAAGATTTACAGAAGAAAAACACCAAACCCGATGATGCCTCGGCTTCCCTGGTTGCCGATATGGTTGCAAATGTCGACTTCCAAGCGGCCGAGCTCGCCGGCCTCAAATTCTCTCCTCCAAAGCCTTTGGCTAAGACCGACAACTTTCGATCACGATATGAACCGCTTTTGGAACAGTTTACCAAGCTGCTTATGGAGGATGGGAAGTTGAGTCTTGCTCAGAAGGTATACACACAGTCTGTTCTATCTGTCTACGCGGGAGGCTAATTATCTGGTAGAATATGGCCCACATTTTGGATACGCTGCGAACCTCCTCTCCCCCTCAAGTCAACCCCAAACGCCGTCTCCTCCCCGGCCCTCCCGCCCCTCAGCTGCCGCTCGACCCCGTGCTTTACCTGACCTTGATCGTGGACTCGGTTACTCCTCTGATCAAGATCCGTAGCCAGAAGGGTATCGCTGGTGGTGGTGCAGCCGTCCAGATTCCCGTGCCTTTGTCGGAAAGACAGCGTCGCCGGACCGCCATCCAATGGATCATTGATGCTTCGAAGAAGCGACGCGACAGCAAGTTCGCCAACCGGGTCGCTCAGGAAGTGCTGGCTGTTGCAGAGGGCCGCAGTGGTGTGTGGGATCGCCGCGAGCAAGTGCACAAGCTTGGTATCGCAGGCCGTGCCAATCTTGGAAAGAGGATTCGTTAAGTTTGTGGTGTATGAAGGTCACGGTTATATCATGTGGAATACACGGTGAAATGCTGGTGTTTGTGCTTTCTTTGCTTTTCTCTATTTGTAATTAGTCTAGGGTCATTTTGAGCAAAACCTGCATTGTACATTCCATGTTGTGAGTCTAACTGTAGTTCTCCGATGGTCCGTATATACCGAGTAGTAGTAGCAGCAAGGATTTCGGGACCTGCATATACAACATACAAGTACTGCGATTATATGCCTTTTTACGGAGAACAGCTATTCAAATGAATATAGATTAAACAGTAGTAACCATCAAAACACATTCTTGAACTGTCATCAATGATTGGCGTGCTCATGCCAAGATCAGTACAGTAAGCACCGGCCTTTGTGATTCGAGTTACATCCACCCCGGCCAACTCCCATCCACAAGTACAATCCCACCGTCTTTTCTCTGCACTCTTTCCCTTTCATTTCGCTGGATTCCCCCTCATCCGACACCGTGTCGTCGAATGCTGCCGGGCGAAACGTGGCACACATCGCGTCTGCGACGGGTGCCTTCGCTGAGCCGGACAACCACCACTTCAGCCGCCACCGCTACGGCGTCAACGACCTCGACGACCACCGCAACGTTCCTGACGAGGACATCGAGTTAGTCGAATTATTGCGAGACGAATCGGTTCCGTCTGCAGAAACAACAGCAGCAGCAGCAGCAGGACAGGGTACTCGTGAACCCCGTGCGATTGGCCGGTGGTCGGTTGATAGGAGATTACAAGGCAGCTGGGACGAGCTCGAAGGCAACCTCGAGAGCGCAAACGAGAAAGAAAAGACCTTCAGGCTACCATATCTTTCACCAGACCAGGTGAAATACTGGAGTCAGGCTCTTCGACAACGACAGCAACAGCGACAACAGCAGCGAAACCGAGGAGACGGAACGGAGCTCAAGATGAAGTTCTCGCACAGTTTGCAGTTTAATGCGGTTCCGGACTGGAGTGCGTATTATATTGCGTATAGTAATTTGAAGAAATTGTGAGTTTGATTCCACTTCACTTTTTGTTCACTGATGTTATACTATGCGACGGTGGAGTGTGAAGCTTACAGGATTGACTACCAGGATATACTCGCTCGAACAGGAATCACGTCGAGTAAACGGCCAGCCGTACACTGACACCGAGTCCGCGCCGTTGCTGAACGATTCGAACTCGTCGAATTCGGACGTGGTATTCCGGCGAGCCCTCGATGCTGAACTGGAGAAGATATGCTCGTTTTTCCAGTTCAAGGAATCGGATATCTTCGATGAAGTCGAGGATGCCACGAGAGAGGCGGAAGATTATGCTGCTCAGGCGGATGGTGTCAATCTGGATCCCGTGGCCGAGAGCATGATCAAAGCTCGACGGACGAGTGTCGGACGACCCGACAGCATATTCCGCAATAACCGGAGTCGCAGTGGCATTAGTGACAATGTCGGGGATGAAGAAGATGATGATGCCGATAGTGATGACGATCAGGCTCCGTCTGAGGCCCAGGGAAGATTGCGTTCGCAGTATGCGGAATCCACGAACCCCGGGGATGGCCACACGAGCGAGTTGGGTGACTCCCAGTTTCTGGGAGATTCTAGATTGATGCAGTCCAGTCGGCTGCTTGATCAGGATGATCAATTTCTGTCGGACCCCAAGCTCAAAGAGCTCCATAACGCGGGAATCTTGTTGAAGAAACGGGTGGTCGATGTTTATGTCAGTCTCTGTGGGCTCAAGTCGTATGTCCAGCTGAACAAGACTGGATTTTCGAAGGCGTTGAAGAAGTACGACAAGATTCTCGACCGCAGCTTACGACGGGATTACATGAACTCTACCGTCTCTCCGGCCTATCCATTTACCGATCCTGTCATTGAGGACCTGAATGGGAAGATCGACCACATTGAACATATCTATTCGGATGTGGTCACAACAGGGAACCTGCATATGGCGCGACGGGAGCTCCGCTTGCATTTGCGGGAACATGTCATCTGGGAAAGGAACACCGTCTGGAGGGAGATGATTGGCATTGAGAGAAAGGCGCAGGCTGCGAACGTCGGTATTCGCCGGACGCTCTTAGGAGCGGATGATGATCCAGCCGCAGCCCAGCGACAGGGCGATGAGCTAGAGATTCGGACCAAGGAGGTTAGCACTCCTCTAGGCCGCTACAATATCCCCCAATGGATGTGCAGCTTGAGCTTTGCGACGTTGATTTTGATATTCGTGGTGTTTGCCATCTTGCTCGCGGTTCCGATCATGGTGAAACCGGAGCAGCAGAACTGCCTGGCCATGCTTATTTTTGTCAGTCTTTTGTGGGCGACAGAGGTTGTTCCTTTGTTCGTGACATCGCTTCTCATTCCATTCCTCGTTGTGCTGCTCCGTATCATGACCTCGGATGAGAAGCCTCACCAGCGATTGGGTCCGAAAGAAGCCACCAGCGCCGCCTTTGCGTCCATGTGGACTCCGGTCATCATGCTGTTGCTTGGTGGCTTTACCATCGCGGCTGCGTTGTCCAAATACGACATTGCACGTCGTATGGCCATGTTTGTCCTGAGCAAAGCCGGAACCAAGCCTCATGTGGTGCTATTGACGAACATGTTCGTTAGCATGTTCCTGAGTATGTGGATCAGCAACGTCGCGTCTCCTGTCCTCTGTTACTCGATCATTCAGCCCCTGCTGCGAAACCTGCCTCCTGATTCGAACTTCGCCAAAGCCCTTGTGCTGGGTATCGCTCTCGCCGCCAACGTCGGAGGCATGTCTTCGCCTATCGCATCACCGCAGAACATCATCGCCTTGCAGAACATGCATCCGAGTATCAGCTGGGGGACATGGTTCTTCATCGCTATTCCCGTGAGCATCCTTTCAATCCTCTTCGTTTGGGCCCTGCTTCTCGCAACCTTCCATCCTGGCCGCGGCACGACTATCGTCCCCATCAAACCCGTGAAAGACCGCTTCACCGGCGTGCAATACTTCATCACCATCGTCACCATAACCACCATCGCCCTCTGGTGCGCCAGCCATCAACTCGAGCACGTCTTTGGCGACATGGGCGTCATCGCCATCATCCCTATGATCCTCTTCTTCGGAACAGGTATTCTCACCAAAGAAGACTTCAACAATTTCCTCTGGACAATCATCATCCTCGCGGCCGGCGGTCTCTGTCTGGGCAAATCAGTCACCTCCTCGGGTCTTCTTCACACCCTGGCAAACGAGATCACCGCGCGTGTCGAGGATCTCAGTCTCTATGGTGTGCTGATTGTGTTTGCGGCTTTGATTCTGGTCGTCGCTACGTTCATTTCGCATACCGTTGCGGCGCTTATTATGCTTCCGCTTGTGAGGCAAATTGGTGTTAGTATGGAAGACCCGCATCCGAATCTGCTCGTTATGGCGAGCGCTTTGATTTGTTCTGTGGCAATGGCGTTGCCGACTAGTGGATTCCCGAACATGAGTAAGTTTTGTCCCCTACTCTCATAGTCTCCTTGGATAGTGTGTGGATGTGAGTAACTAACGGTATTATAGCCGCCATCATGACCGAAGTCCCACAAACAGGCCAGCGATACCTTAAGGTCCGCCATTTCTTCACAAGAGGTATCCCGTCGAGTTTGGCGGCGTTTGCCATCATCGTCACGGTTGGATATGGATTGATGTATCTTGCTGGGTTATAGTCACTTACAAAATTTTCTGGACTGGTGAGTTGGGCATTGAGTTGGGATCAGATGTGTTGTATAAGTTGGATTTATGCTTATTTCCTTGTGAAGTCTCCGTCTTATTTTGTTATATGATTGACTTTTTGTTTTCTTGATATCTTTTCGTTTGGGATATCCTTTTGTTTTATCAGTTGCATAGGATTTAGAGTTGGTATACAAGGAAAAGCTTGGTGAGATTATATAGAAGCTTAACGTCATTAATCATTGCTGTAGTGCATACTATATATCGCATAGAATCGAAAATGTTCAAAACAATCAAACATAAGATGGAGGCCAAAGTCTAGTCCATATCCCATCTCGTATATACCCAATCAAAGCCGTGAATCAGATCTTCATTAGTTACTACAACGAAAACAAGTTAGCAACGAGACCCAATGACTAAAAGGTAACGGGGGTGGAAATAGCAGTACTGACAGCAAACCCAACGTCAAATCCCCATGAATCTTCGCCTTCAATTGCACCTCGATATCCAAATTCAAATCCAACCTCAACCGCAACTGTTCATCCTTCCCTTCTTCCTTCTCCTCCTTACCACTATTACCACCCAACACACCCCCAACAGCCTTACCCGCAGACCCCGTAGCCCCATTCACAGCATTCCCGGCTGTGTTTTGCACCAGGTCGCCTGCTTGGTTTGCACCCCCGAGACCGGGGAGGGGTCCATCGTTCTGCTGTTGGCGGGAGCGGCGTTGGCGACGGGGCCGCTCTGCTACGGCGGGTGCGTCCATTTTGCGGTCGATATTATCTGTGTCGGAGTCTTGTCTGTAGCGTGGTTGGGGGCGAGGTCTTCTTCTGCGGCGTTGGGGTTGTTCGGGTTCGGGTTGGGGTTCTGGTTCAGGTTCAGGTTCAGGGTTGGATTCTGGTTGTTCTTGTTCTTGTTCTTGTTCTTGTTCTTGTTTTGTTTCGGTGTTGGGTTGGGATTGGGGAGGGTCTTGTTTCTCTTGTGTGTCTTGGTTTTGGGTTGGCTCTGGTGCTTGCTGAGGTTGCTCTTGTTGTTGAGGTGCTCCCGAGAGGTTCTGACCCTGGTTTTGGGATTCCTGGTTAGGGTTGGGAGGTTGAGATTGGTTCTCTTGGTCTGCCATTGTGAAGAAAGAAAGGGAAGAAGTTATATGTGCTTAGTGCTTGATAGTGATACCCCGTGTACTTAAGAATTTAGAAAAAAAAAAAAAAAAAAAGTATAGAGCAAGCAACCTATATCACCCGCATATTATAGGCAGGGATGGAGACAAGATCTTAGTGTCCGACGTCAGACACCCAAGACAGACAAGCGTCATCACGGTATCTAAAACATCTGAACCGGGCATTAAGTTGGCCATAACCATATGATTTTTGCTTAATATGGGGTTAACGAGGGTCCGGTATGACGTCCAAACGGGACGTCTCGTAATCTCGTAAAATCGTTGGAAAGATCGTCCACCAATCTGATTGGAGATACAGTGGAATTGGAATATAATTAGCACAAGATGCAGAGATTTAGAGGCCAATCAGTGTAGAGTTGGAGGATTTTGCATTGAGCCGTGTCGGTCCACTTTGACGCGCCGTTGTGGGAATGACGCCAGACAACGTCAATGCGGATGGGGTTTAGTCTTTCTCAACTTTGATTTGGATCCTCTCCACCCCGGAACTCGTAATGCAGTAATGCATGGTACTGACAATGCCGTCGGGATTGTATGCGTTTTTTAAAGGTATTATTGCGATGCTCGTGGAAACGCCGGTTTTCAGGCACAACTCGGCGCATCCATGGAACATGCCCAGTTCGCAACCGACGCAACCACGAACATTTCCATGGTATGTTTCATTAACGTCGCCCTAGGACGGGAAATGCAAGCGAGAATGGTAAATACTCCGGGTTGCGATGGCGTATGCTGTCTTAGAATAGTACTGAGTCTATTGGCTGGACCATGACGATCTCAGGTCTGTTGCCTGATATGGGATGTTTCTGCTGTATTTTACATTGACCATTCGTACCCCAGATCATGATTGTTGCCGCCAACGTCATTATCGTAGAAGTGGATTGTCGGGACAGAGCTTCGGCCGAAATGATGTCGTTCTTTTGGACGGGGTATAGTAGTGTACACCTGCCCACCTGGGATTCTTTCGGTTATCATCTTGTGTACATTATTTGCTACCTCATAACATACCTTGCATCTGTCAATATCGCTATCATCAACCGCATTCTTCTACTTCATCCTCCGTTACTCCATACCAATTCAACACCCAGTATTCAAAATGGCCACAGCAGAACAGACAAAGCAACAACAACAACAGCCAACCCTCCAACCGGAGGAGTACTCCGAAGCTGATTATGATACCGACGACTATGAATACTCCGACGACGATGAACCCGCACCTCAACCTCAACCTCAAAATGTGAACCAGAAAATGCAGCCGCGAAGACAACAGCAACAACAACAACAACAACAACAACAACAACAACAACAACAACAACAACAACAGCGCAGAACACAAAAAGACGACTACGTTGACAATGACGACGATGATTATACCTCCGACGAGCTATATTCCGATGAGTACTCCGACGACGATGACTATGCCGATAAAAAGGGCACCCAAGGCAATGACATGCAGCCATACCAATCAGGCAGACCGTCGATAACCAACAACAATATCTCCGGGGGAAATACTGATACCGCTGAGAAGAAGGGGAAGAGCATAGATGAAGAGGAAGGGATGAAGCTCAAGTTGGACTTGAATCTGGAAATTGAGGTTGAGCTCAAGGCGCACATTCATGGCGATATTACTTTGGCTTTACTGTAAGTATTCCCTCCTTTCTTAGAGAATTATTACACAAAATACTTATTTACCGATGGATGAGATGCTGAGGAATGTAGTGCATGAATTATGGACGACTCAAACAGCTGTTCTCTCATGGTACTTTTTTCAATTCTGTCCTGCCTTTTTTTCTCACATTAGTGACTAGATAACTATAATGATGATTATATGTAATATATTCACTGAAATACCTTCCCATCGTTTGCACATGGAGTGAATATGTAGTGTCAAGTCTACTGTCATATTTCTAGTGCTTGTAAATGTAGTCTGATAGCTTTACTCCCCCCTCATCCCATCGATCATCCAACGATCAACTACTTCCGTCCATTCGAGACAGTGGAAGATCTGCCAAACACCAATCTAAATATCAGAATTCACGTAAAAAGATTTTAACACTTGCCCCAAATTATTTACTCCTTGATGGCGATCTCTGGCAGTCCTAGCTGCTGCAGTTAGTCCTTGTATACAGATAATTGCTAATCTCTCTAGTGTCGGCATCGATGCTTTTATACTCTTCCAGCAATTCGGATTATATGTACTGTTAGAATCCGGCACTCGCTAGATCGAATCGCAAATTGGGATGCGAGCAGCTTAGGATTGACAATCCGAGCTTGATTTTGCCGTTTTGTCGATACATTCCGGCTATTATTCATTCAGACACTGGCATCCAAGTCTTATACTCTTCCCTGCCTTTATTTGCGTTTATACTTCACCATCTAGCATCCAGCATATTCTCAGACAATGAAGAAGACCTCCCATTCTTCTGTTTTACTTTGCATTACAAATAACAGAAGCAAAGATGATGAAGGAGGAAGATCCCTTCGACCTCCCAGAGAGCTTTTATAAGTATTCAACCTTCGCGGCTGCAGCATTTCCTAGCGGTCATGTTAGGACCGGAGCAATCAGGACAAGGTGCCTGGCATCTGCTGGACACGCTGGGACTGCATTGTTAATTTACTTTCTTTTTTTCGTGAAAGTAGTCGGTGCCGACAAGCAAAGCATCATGAAGCGGTATATGAGTTGGAATTATATACAACCCATACACCCACACATCAGGTTAGGAGGACAAAATCATCAGGTATGTTGTGTATTTTATAGCGATAAGCATGTAACTGACCAGACTCAGGCTACACGATACCTACATAAGGCCGTTCGCAATAATATGCGCTGATAGAAGTGAGCTTTACAACATCTACTGCAAAACGGCGAATGTAGTTTCGCAGTCGGCCTGAGAAGAGACACTGTATCCGGACAAAAAACCGTCGTTCTCCAGAACACAAGGCTCTCAAGTCGTACAAAACAAATCAGGGCTATTGAATCTCCCCTCAACCACCCTTGCACTTCGACAATAGGCCTCCCAGGTACCAATCATGAATACCGCAGCTTAATTTTGCCGACAAGACACAATTTCCGCTATCCCCAAGCCTGTTCGCGGGTACATAGTGTTGTGCGCGCTATTTATACTCTTTTCAGAGCATCTGGATAGTGGTTCGCAGAAAACGTAACGCTTGGGCTTGACCAAGCTCTGAATTTATTTGGCTATTAATGCAATGCTATTGGCAGTCTGTTTCTTCCAGCAGCCGTTTGTAGCGGCAGACAACCAGCAAAACGCTAGTATACAGGTAGATGATGGATAGTCTTTCCGGAAGTCGAGCTTGTCTATATCAATTACATTATGAGATGTTTGGCAAAAAAAAAAAAAAAAAAAAAAACCATGTATTCATAAAGCTATGTGAGGAACCTGTATTATTCGTTATTATCATTAGGGCTTCAAGACACAAAAAAAAAACAGGAGGCATTCTTATTGAATCAGAACAGATAGTATAGAACTTATAATCAGTAAGCTGTACCAGCTCTAGAGATTCTTGTCCGTACTTGAGATGAATCAAGGTGGTGAGAATTCAGAATCGACGAAGCCCCATCCCAATAAGGAAAGGGGTGTGAATCACGTGATGTCCACGCTTTCACGTGTATTTGATCTCTGGTCTGACATCCCCAATTAGTGCTACAGCAACAGCAAGGTCAACTGTTTGGTACTCATTGCACAAAAAGGCATGGCATAAAGCACATGTGCATCAGTTAGAGTGAGTCCGCTTTGAAAACCGAGGTTACCGCTGAGTTTAGCTGATCGACGGAGCCGATGCCGATATAGGAGGCGATTCCTGACCACCATCTTCGTTTCTCGTTCATTGCCGGAACAACACTACTTCCCAAGCAGCGGTCATCTAAGAACAGATGCTCTTCGATCATTTGACTCCATTTAGCTGAACGCAACACGGTGACACGAAGACCGGAATCCATCCACCATCCAGAGACCGAATTGCAGAGAGAGCGAATATATAAGTACTCCAACTGGACTATTCTTGGGCTTCAACATGGCTTCAAACGGAAACAAGGACTTCATCATCAAGCACATGAACGCGGACCACCAGGATTCGTTGGTGCTCTATCTCCAGGCATACTGCCACGTTTCCGCCGGCGATGCCAAATCCGCTCGACTGGAGGATATCAGTCTCTCAGACCTAGTCATCTCAGCCGATGGCGTTCGCTACAGCGTCCCCTTTGACCCGCCTATGAAGAGCTTCTCCGACACTCGTTCCCGCGTGGTGGCCATGTACGAGGATTCCCTGCAGCGCTTGGGACTATCGGAGTTCGCCATCAAGGAGTATCGAGCACCCCAGGGCTTCCAAATTGTCATCTTCGTGACATGTCTGGCTACGTATATTGGATTCGTCCAGCGCAGCAACTTCCTACCCGGGTCGATTATCTACGAGTCGTTGGGGCTTGAGAAGGTCCCCGCGTTTGCGCAGTTTTGCTACGATATTCAGCCGTTGTTGTTCCCTGCTATGGTCGGGATTCATGTGTTGGAATCAGGATTGTTGGCATTTTTGCGATTGCGGCCTCATAGAGTGCCCTTGTTCTCGGGTTTGTGGTTCGCGTGGATGGCCTCGACGTTTATTGAGGGTTTCGGGGCGTTTCAACGGATCAAGGGAATGGTCAAGGAGGAGGAGACGAAGCGGGAGAATCGCAAGTGATCGTATTAGGGGAATATGGTTGAACCGATTGGGTCTGTAATGTTAGTTATCTCCATAATAATGGCCAATGATGAGAATCAAATAAGAAAATACCCCGTAGTGATAGCTTATCTTATCGGGTTAGTCAAACGAGTCACATGACGCGCTAGTCTTGATGTGGACTAGTGCGCACATCGGGTAGGGCAACTCTTCGACAAGCGAGCCACACTGCGAAATTCACGACTGTCGACGACAAGCACTCCAACACCCCGACCACCCAACGACATTTGCCGCTACGATCCTGGTGAAGGGCTGCAGGATTAGAGGTGAGTTCTATTTTATTTCCTGTGGCTGCCGGTTTTTATTGCTTTGTTCTGCTGGTTTTGGATCCCGTTGTGTGGCCGTCGAGAAGAGGTTTTCGGTTGTTCGATTTGCGCCGTGGTCCTTCGTTAGCGAGATAGGGTGGGAAACAAGGCACATCTCTTGCGTTTCTTCTTCGTCTGCTCGATAGAGAACTTGTCTGCGCGATCGTTACCTGTGCACAATTGATCAGTCGATACTTGAGGAGGAACGAAAAAAAAAAAAAAAAGATATCGGTTATCGAGAACTCGGCGGGATTGGAATCAGCAGCATCAAAACAGAAAACCGCTGTCACTACGTTTTGTTCTACTGTCCGGTTTCACATCGCTAACGATCGTTCTTCCCGACGAAAAGAAATAGTCCCCTCCATCAAACGCCAACATGGGTATTTCTCGCGACTCGCGTCACAAGCGCTCGGCCACCGGTGCGAAGCGCGCCTTCTACCGCAAGAAGAGGTATGCCAGAAACCGATTCGTTCACGTTTGAAGTGGAGGGACTTTGGAAGCAAAGTGGAAGAGAACATATTCTTACCGGTGACCAACCTACAGAGCGTTCGACAAGGGTCGCCAGCCCTCCAACACCCGTCTTGGTAACAAGAGAATCCACCTTGTCCGTACCCGTGGTGGTAACCAGAAGTTCCGTGCCCTCCGTCTCGAGTCCGGCAACTTCTCGTGGGGATCTGAGGGTCTTTCCCGCAAGACCCGTGTCATTGGTGTCGTGTACCACCCTTCGAACAACGAACTGATCCGTACCAACACCCTCACCAAGTCGGCCATCGTCCAGATTGACGCCGCCCCCTTCAGACAATGGTACGAGGCTCACTACGGCCAGCCCATCGGCCGGAGACGCCAGGCCAAGACTGAGACCACCGAGGAGGAGAAGAAGAGCAACAGTGTCCAGAAGAAGCAGGCTGCTCGCTTCACTGACCACGGCAAGGTCGAGCCCACCATCGAGAGACAGTTCGAGTCCAGCCGTCTGTACGCCGTGGTTGCCTCGCGCCCCGGCCAGAGCGGTCGCTGTGACGGATACATCCTGGAGGGTGATGAGCTTGCTTTCTACCAGCGTGCGATCAGAAAGTAAAAAAGTGGATATGGAAATGGTCGTTGTAAAAGGGTGGTTTCGGAGTTTCAGCAATTTTTTCCAGAAAATTTTATGGTCTGGGCATCCGTGTCTGTAGAGCTCTGAGCTGTCAATTCAATGGGAATGATCCTAGTTTTTTACGTTTAAAAGGCAAAAAAAATTTGGAAAAGGTCTATGGACGGTTAATTGCATGCCCATACTCTTGGGCTTTCCATTTGTTCTAGTATGAATTCATTGTTTTACGCACTGGCCATATGAATTATCTGCGTTCAATATCCTAACTAAGTAGAATAGACACCTGACTGCCTGAAAGCGGCCCCAATAAAACACACCTAGCCCTCGTCTAGCACATGTACATCAAAGAGGCATCGGCATCTCAAGCCCATCCACAAACCCCGGGAACCCATCCTAAAAAATCCTCCAACGCTGATAAATCCACATCAACTTGATTCTCAAAATCCAAAAAACTCGTATCCCCCAAGCCATCGCCCCCGGCTTCAACAGAACTTATCTTCTCCACCAAATCACTACAACTAGCGAGACAATGGTCCGCAAGGTCCCACGAAAAATGTAATCGATGGGAATGTAGTTTGCTTATCATCTCCTTCGCTATTCTTAGTGGTGCATTGCCACTAGTTGAGGTTAAGGTTCTCATTCGAAGACCACTGCGTAGGAGGAACGTCGTGGCTGAGGTTAGTGAGAATGCATTAACGGGAATCCAGAATCCCCGGAAATGGGACTCGTCTAATTCCTGGATTAGATGGACGATATCTTCAGCTGCTCTCTGCGCTTGTAAATAAAATGGCGATATAGTTGCGTTTTCTTCAACATGAACGGCAGCATCTTTAGTATCGAGATCGAGCTGGATGCGTCGAAGGAGAAGTTTAACAGCTAGATAAGCCAGTCGGAAATTAGCTGCTCCTGGTGTATTCAGATACGTGCCGCGGAGGACTAGTCTGCGGATATCGTCTGGTAACGATTCCTCCCATTTACTGAGGATGTGCTCGAAGTATGTAGCGGATTGCACCTCTGGGGGGTATGGGTTGTTGGTTTTTGAAACTTGGTAGATGTGTTCGAGGTAGCGGCCTAGGACGTCGGTCAAAGTCGTTAGGGCGATGAAGATGGATGGTGCTGCTTTTTGATCTGGTGTGGAAGAGGCATCCCAGAGGTCTTCTAGTTTCAGGAAGGGTACATCGTGCTGGGCGCGGTTGATTTGGTGTGGTGTTCCGTATGCTAAGCTGCACCTGTTCTAAGTGAGCACGGGTTACACGTCATACGTGAGGTTCAGGGATAACATACCAAGAATCATGCAAGTTGACCAACCACCAAATTCGAATCCGAAACTTCTTCTCCAGCAGTGATATATTCCAATTCGAAGGATCACGGTTGAGACCTAATGCATTACACAAAGCAACCGCTGTACCAATCATCCCTCCATTACCGAACATCGAGGTACTCGGTCTACCGCAGACATTAAGAATGATTGCCATAACCGTTGAAATTCCCGGAGACAAGAATAACTCTGAGTGCAGGGCCTCGTTGGCTTGGTTCCAGATGAAACGGACATCGGGTGGGCGGAGGGAGCGTAATTTGGGTGAGTTTTCCCAATAGATTAACGCGTTGGCATACAAGTTGCAGAGCAGCGCTGGTGAGATCTTTTCTTTGTGTGTGCGGTAGACATTTCGAAAGGATGCTTCGTCGAATATCGGGAAACATATGTTTGCGTTTTGGAAGTATCTACAGCATATATATCAACGACCGGCCCGGTACCATCGACTCATTGATCACCTACAAGTCAACGACATCCTCCACACCCGGCTCGAGATATTTCTCAATATATTCACACTTTGTTGCTGCTAGGGTTTGCTTCGTGTTTATACCCAACGGTCGTCTTGATACGGTGTTGAATAGCACTGGCTTGATGGTCCTTCCGGAATCGAAACTTGGTCGGATCAGACATCTTCTACGAGCACCTGGAATGGTGGATAAGTAGCTCTCCAGGACGTCGTTGTCGTTTACAACTGCTGGACTGACTATGTGAGAGCTATCATCCCCAGTCTCGGCCACGATGCCCATGAAGTTGGAGAACAGGCCTTCGTGTCTAGTCTCATGCTCTGTTGCCCCAGGTAGACTCTCAGATGTATTTACAGGGTGATATCCTGTACCCGGAAGTTGTGGAAACACCTGCGGACTGTAATGAGAGCTTGAAATCGTCCTTCGTATCTGGCTAGTCGGGGTTGATGCTGGCCGATTACCACCCTCCTGCCTCGTCTTGGCCGCCAACCTCCGCGGTGTACGATTCCGCTGCGGAATATCATCTGTCGCCCGAGGATAGACACATTCAGTCCCGTGCAGTTGACAGGTAACACATGCGCTTGAGGAACCCGCGGTCTTGCATCGGGACTTGCGTTTTCGGCAGGAGTTGCAGGCTGGCTGTAGTCGAGATCGGTATGGCCTTGTGTTTTTGTCTGCCTGGGTATTGTCTGGCGTCTCCATTGTTATACTTGTTGGACTTATTGGTATTGGCAAAAAGTAGGTGCTATTAACTACTACTCCATGGAGGTGGAAACCCCGCGGAGGTTGACAGAAAGGCTTAACGCCGCCGATTGGTCAGACTCTCCGCGGGAGGAAGCCCTAGCATTACCGTTTGTGGATAACACGTGATTGCTCGGTCATCATCATGATCAGGAAGGAACTAGGCAGTCGTCGGACGTAAAAGAACCCGCATCGTTTTCATGGTCCTTTCTACTGCTTAACACTAACAAAAGAGGGACTCACGCAGATTACGTTCGATCAACTGCCAAGATGCAGGACATCCATCCAGTTGACCTCTACAGAATCCATTCTGACGACAGGGCCATTTACACCAACGCAAACGATGTCATCAAACACGTCGAATCAAAACTCAAGGAATACGTGACAGAAGGAGGCGCCCAGCACATCGCCATTTCAAACGTCACCAACAGGTCTTTCCAGGAGTTCAACAAAAAGCGCGAGCAAATCCGTCCTCACTCTCCAAGAGTCCGCTTTTTCAAAGAGCAAAAAGCAATGATAATCAAGTTCAGAGACAGCACGCATGCTACTGTTGAGGGCATGCTGCATAAAGCCTTCTTGACTAGGCTTACGGAGCTTGGGATAGAAGAAGAGATGCTCATGTCAGTGGGCGCGGCGACTCAGTCTTTGCCGGAGATGGAGATACAGCCGGACTTGTCGTATCTCCCGTATCAAACAAGGACGCTCAATGAGTGTCCTTCTTTTGTGATTGGGGTTGGAGATATGGATTGTCTGCATAGACTACAGTTGGATATGCGTTTGTGGTTGGAAGATTCGTGTGGTAAGACCAGGGTTGCGCTCTTGATGGCCATCTGTACGGAGAGCAAGGAATTCTTGTTCGAATTGTGGCAGTCGGAGAATAATACGGTAGAGTGTGTGCAGCATATTCGGGTTAACGACAAAGCCAACGAAGCCACAGATGCTCCTTTGACTCTCCCACTGGGACTGCTTTTTGATAGATTGCCTGTCCTTCCAGATTTGACGCCTGAGTCGAGCATCTCGCTTTCTGCGCAGGACCTTGGTAAGTTTGAAAAGGATATCTTTGGTAACATGGTAGTGAATCGACAGAAGTAGGTAGATAGTGAATGCAGTCCAGCTTCTTCGTTTCTTCCATTGCGTTAAACTATCCAACTGTTACAATCCGCAAACTCCTACACTTTTTTAGGTCACTAACTTGGTCTTCTCTGGGTTCCATATCATAGAGTAGCTCTAACACAACCCCCTCGGAGACGATTCCACGGAAATCTCTCATCTACAGCAACATGCGGTGGACGAGCTCTGAAGTTGTATGGACACGAAGATCTAAAACCACTATACCCAGCATCTTACCGTCATCGTGCAAATATTCCTGGTGGCTTACGCAAGGCTCTAAGCTGACTGGGTGCGACTACACATAATAGATGGAACGTGACTCGGGGTTATTACCCTGAGAAGTTCAAGCACTTGTTGGACGACATGATCGAATATCTCTATAGTCGTCATTCTTGTGGACCAATCGGGGCCAATCCAGTCATTGAATTCAGCGCTCAGATAGAAGACATGCGAGTAGTGAAGCGAGGGACCCAAGGTTGAATTTTCAGAAGAGAATTTCAATGCTTTCGACTTGGCCATGAATGCGATTGATGTTGCATGTCCCCCGGCCCATTTGCGGGTAATAGACAACAACTCCCAACATGAGCCAACCTTGAAAGCAGCTAGATTTGCCAGGCATTTTCAGTCTATAGAGAATTGGCAACTTTTTGAGCTTAATTGAGCAGAAGGAGCCTTTTTAGGCGCTATACGTATGATTGATGATTGAGCAGTAATTATTGAGGGAGCATATATGAAAGCGGATTATTATTTTCTATAAAAACGAAGGCACAGGCGAGTTCTTACTGGTGCAAGGGATCATTAATAAGGCCGAGATCTGTATGTATTGCCGGATTTCAATTGAATATTGCCTAGAGTGCTGACATTGATGGTGTAGCATCTCCCCATAGTTCGATTGACGCGATAAAGCCAATTATACGCTGCTAATCAAATAAAATACGCTAGTTAAAATGAACGGAATTGCTATTGCAGGTCTCGTTGTTAAAGGCTCCAGCTATCACTCTAGATAGCCAGAAAGGACTGTCAATGGCCTAAGAGACAGAAAGTCATTACTTGCTCATCGAAACTGGTCGCTACAGCAGGAAGGGCTATGGCCGACCTGTCTGACAGGCCTCTTTGAACAAGAACTCTTAGAGCAGATTTTAAGAATCCTGCATGGGGTTAACTATGGCTTCTGGTCTCGAATTTTGCCTTCATCTCAAATTGTGACACCCACAATGCAGTTTATCAAGGAGCCTCCCAAGAGGATGCGATGCTTTGCTTCGCGACGAAAACACGATTCAATAGCATGAGTACTTAGAGTGCATGCTACAATAATATCTCCTAGGATGCAGCCAGCAGCTGGCCCTGGAGCACGCGGGCAGTGTCCCCCAGGTGCTGGCGCAGAGCTTATGGTCGTCTAGCTGTTCGTCAGCTTTCCTTCACCGAACACATTCGAGATCGTTTTGATGCTTCTCACAGTAGACTGTGGCTGAAATCAAGGAGAGAATGTTCCGCGGAGGTTTACCTAGTGTCCACAACGATGGCTAAAGACTTCCGCGGAAGCCCTAGCGGTGATAAATGATTGTCATTGACTGACAAGAAGATTGCATGATTTATCTATGAGAAAATACATATAAATACCTTTGATCCGGTTCCTGTTAGAGTAGTCTTTTCTCCGCTTCCCTCCCTCAGACCGTTTGACAGCAAGGCATACACCATGGCCTCGTCCGACGCTACTACATTCTTCTCTAGAGCAGACAAGTACCTAATGAGCACTGGAGTCCCCTACTCCCCCATGATAATCACCAAAGCCCAAGGAACTCGCCTCTACGATGCCAACAACCGCCAAATCCTCGACTTCACATCAGGCCAAATGAGTTCTCTACTTGGCCACTCCCATCCCGAAATCGTCGAGGTCATCCAGAAGCACGCCGTGGAACTCGACCATCTTCTTAGTAACATGATAACGCATCCTGTCGTCGACCTCGCTGAACGACTCGCGCGCTTCCTACCATCTCCGCTTGAGAAGTCCTTCTTTCTCAACACGGGATCTGAGTCCACGGAGGCAGCTATCAAAATGGCTAAATGCTATACCGGCAATTTTGAGATCGTCGCATTCGCAGCCAGTTATCACGGCCTAACCCAAGGCGCCGGATCCGCAACATACTCCACCGGTCGAAGAAAAGGCGGGCCCGCCATGCCAGGCCAACTCGCCTTCCCAGCACCTTATGCCTATCGCTCTCTCTTCCGCAAAGCAGATGGCTCGTATGATTGGGAAACAGAGCTAGAGTTTGGCTGGTCGATGATTGATAGACAGAGCGTGGGGTCGCTGGCTGCGTTTATCATGGAGCCTATCCTCTCTACTGGTGGCGTCCTAGACTTTCCACCTGGGTATCTTCAGCATATGAGTCTTGAATGCAAGAAGCGCGGTATGTTACTTATCATGGACGAGGCACAGACTGGGGTTGGCCGTACGGGGCAGATGTTTGCGTTTGAGCATGAGGATGTTGTTCCGGATATCCTGGCCTTATCCAAGACCCTGGGATGTGGGCTGCCGCTTGCTTCTGTCAGCACTACCGCAGAGATCGAGCGTGGTTGCAAAGAGGCCGGATTCTTATGGCTCACAACCCATCTCAATGATCCCCTGACTGCGGCGGTAGGGAACAAAGTTCTGGAAATTGTGGAGCGAGATCATATTTGCGAGCGAGCCACAGAGCGCGGAGGCCAATTACGCTGTGGTCTCTTGAAGCTTCAAGAGAAGCACTGGTGCATTGGCGACGTGCGAGGCCGGGGTCTATTGCAAGGTATCGAGATCATCTCTGACCCGGAGACCAGGGCTCCTGGACCAGAACTTGGACAGGCGGTTTCAGAGCAGGCTATGGCGAGAGGTCTCTCTTGTAATATTGTTAATCTGCCTGGTATGGGTGATGTTTTTCGTCTGGCGCCGCCGGTTACTGTTTCTGCGGAGGAGATTGAGGAGGGTTTGGGGATATTGGATGAGGCTTTTGCACACGTTCTGAGTGCGACGACTACTTAGCCAGCAGCCATAAATAGCATAGCAATTTCAAATCACAGAATAGGCGCTCTTATGATTATTGTTTAGTATGATATCACGTGGATTGCGTATACCATCTAGATGTGTTCCACCAACTCAACTCCTCGCGCTTCCACCCTCAATAAGTCATTATCAATCCTGTTGTCTTCCCGATTTCATGCTTATTCTCCAATCCAGAGTACCTCTGCTCATTAGGCACACCTCTCCGATAAATACACTACCCCGCATACTCCCACCCCACTATCGCTATCGCTATCGCTATCGGCCATATCGATACCGATATCAGCCAACGACCACAACAACACCTACCTTCCTACACCTCCAGCACCAAGCACACACCCACGATGACCTCCAACACAAAAACAACCAAAACTCGCATCCTCCTTATCTCCGACACCCACACCAGCCCCCCAACCCCCTCACACTCAACCACATCCTCCGCCTACCGCTCCCCGCTCCCGAAAGCCGACATCCTCCTGCACGCCGGCGACATCACCAAAGTCGGCTACAAGCATGAACACGAAGAGATGTTGGCGATGCTCAAAGATGCAGATGCAGAGCTGAAGCTCGTTATCGCGGGGAATCATGATATCACGCTTGATGAGGAGTACTACAATCGGGTTGGATATTTGAGACATAAGCGGAAGTTGGGGTATACAGCTGCGCTGGACAGTAAAGAAGAGGGAGGGGACGGACAACTTGAGAACTGCGCCGAAATCAAAGCCCTCTACACGCACCCCGACGCCGTCGCCGCCGGAATCAGATACCTAGAAGAAGGCCTGTACACGTTCACCATCTCCAACGGCGCGCGCTTCACGGTCTATGCCTCACCCTACACGCCTGAATTCTGTCAATGGGCGTTCCCCTATGAGCGCCATGTCGACCGGTACAACCCCCAGCCTCCCGTGTCTGTTCGACAATTCGGTGTTCAAGCACCGAATCCTGTGCCCAGTTATCCGGGGGTGGATATCATGCTTACGCATGGCCCGCCGTATGGGATTTTCGATGAGGTGATTCCGAGTGGGAGTCATGTGGGATGTGAGAATTTGTTGAAGGCAACGGCGCGCGCGAAGCCTAGGTTACATGTGTTTGGGCATATTCATGAAGCGTACGATGGTGGCAGGTTGGACTGGGGGACTCAAAAGATGAAGAAGATTCGGGGCGATCCGGAGGATATGCTGGAGGAGAGGTGTTTGTATGTTGATGCTAGTGAGGATGGGGGGAAGGGATTGAAGTTTGGGGAGGAGACGCTCTTTGTCAACGCGAGTGTGGTGACGATTAGGTATCATGCGGTTAATGCGCCTTGGTTGGTGGATTTGGATTTGCCGGTTGAGAGACAATAGTTTACGAGGAAGGGTAGTTAGATCGCTAAGCACCATAGCTTGACATATGTATAATGCATGATATGAATAATTTACAGGAATCCAAAGTCCAAAAGAGATTAAACCAGTGAAACACAAAAGAAACGGCTGCGATCAGCGCCACAATTTCAAAAGGGATATAATGTCCAAGCATTGAGGAAGGAGATTTTCGTCATAACAGACAGAAAAGAAACACATTAGAAGAGAAAATATAGAAAGGAATGTCATCCATGACAAGATAAAGCGCCACAATGCAAAAGACAACAAACACAGGGTAATAAAATGCTTGTAATAAACCAAACCAGAACCAACGCTGACGGGAATTGGTGATGTCCAGACATTAAACAATAAACAATAGAAGAGACAAGGGGAAATTGATATGTAGACAAGAAATAATTTTCATATAAAAGGAAGAAAGAAAAAGAAGACCTCACTCTTCATGGACCAAGCCACCATGAGTATCTGCCTTGAAATCAAGACGACTGTTCTTCCGTCCAACTCCTCTGAGCAGACTGAATCGCTTCATCACGGAGTCCCGAACACCGCCACCGGTAGGCGAAGTCGGGCTCTTGGGACTCTTGATCGAGTTGACACTCTGCTGCCCCGTTGCCGGCCGTGGCGACTCTCTCACAGAGGGAATTGTGCTCCAACCAGCATGCGGGCTAGTAGGCGACTTAGGACCGCCATTTTGTGGAGCTACAGGCTGAATGCGAATGTCATGCGACGGCTTAGCCGCTATATCCCGAGAGGTGCTTCTCGAAAGTTGCTTCCTGTGCTTGTGCGCATCGTCAGTAGTAATGCTAGCCGCGATTGACAACGACGAGCCATGGTTGTACGGCTTGTCAATACCAAAGAAGCTCCGGCGCTTAGAGTGAGTCTCCCGGGAATGGCTAGTCGTCCGGCTGTTGATCGTAGCGGTCTCATTGTCGGGATCGCCGTTTTCTTCCGCGTGCTCGGTCAAAGTACCATTAGATCTGCCCTCGAGCGCCTGCCTCGTCTCAGCGACCGCTTTGGAAACGGAGCCATTCGCTCCATGGTGGGATCGCTTGAACGGGTTCATGCTGCCGATCCGATGACTGACAGATTGCCTCGTCGAGTGCTTGCGGCTGTGGCTAATCCGAGACGATCGGATCAACTCTTGCTCGGGGCTAACCCGCCCTGCTGGCTGCTGCTGACGGGAATCCATGGGGTTCGGAGATTGGCGCTGAGACGGCAACGGTGATGGTTCCGGAGCAGTAGTCGAAGCAAGAGATGCTATCTCCGGCGAGAAGGACTCTTCAAAGCGGCGCATTAACTCAGCCTGAGTCGCCTGGTATGCTGGACGACCGTACAAAGACAGAGCGTGCTTGATGACCAAGGCATGGTCGAGAAGCGCCACGGCCAAAGCGCTTTCCAAGGGATCGACAGGCTTGGGGGTCTCTGCAGTCTCGTCTTCTTCAGTAGACTCGTCTTCTTCACTATTGCCGCCTTCTTCGTCCTTCTTGGAAGTCTCGGAAAGGAATTGGCGATACAGCGCCACACAGCTAGGCGACGAGCTGCTGACTTCAAGCAACTGCTGCAGTGCCTCTGTCAGGTTTGTCAAGCTAAGATCTTCACCGGCCGCCGCCTTCCGTGTCAATAATGACAGCTCTTGTGTCTTGCGCCATGTCCGCTCCAGTGCGGTCTGCAAGGGCGACAACGTGATCTCTTCAATGGAGACTATTTCACTCCTGCGCAGGATGTTGGGGAATGGCTCTGCAGTCGAGAAGATAGCCTTCTCAACCCATTGCTCTTCAACATTCGCACTGTTGACATGTCTCTTCAGGGTAGACGAGAAGCGGCACGGTTCAGAAATCACCAGATGCTCCCTAACAGACTGAGGAACCTTGGTCCGCTGGTAGACGGGATGGTTCATATCACGCTGAGGACTGACAGGAGTGATCTGCAAGAACTGGCCCTCGTAATCGCGAATATCACCCGAAGACACAACCTGCGCTGCCGGGTGCTCACGTTGCATCCGATCGATGAACGTCGCCATCCGCTCGGTCGGGAGACACTCGAAGATGTATTCCTTGTCTCGTAATGTAGGCGCAAACCCGAGACCCTTGTAGACGACGCGGAAGTACCGACTAAACTGCTTTTCCTCCTTGGCGATGTACTCGTGAATCTTGGCCATGGAGCCCTGCGCCCGCGACAGTTTGGCAAAGTCCATCATTATGTACTCGTATTGCTGGGCCAACTCCTTGTAGCAAACAAGAGCATGTGCCCAAGCTTTAGCATCCTCAAAGTGCTGGATAATGGAGAAGTACAGCGATTCCTTTCGCTCGAACGAGCTCTGCTCAGGGAAGGCAGGGTTGAGGATTTCCGGAACGTATTTGTTGGGATCCCAGTCGTACAGATCGGCGTGGAATTGAAGAGCCAAACCGGCCTCAGTGAAGTAGCCCGCAGCCGCCTGCGCATTGGCAAGTTCATGGACGTAACGGATGAAGATGTCCTCTCGGCCCATATCCTTCATGTACTCCATCAATCTCAGCGTGTTGAAGCTTTCCGTTACAGAACCGCTCTGAGAAGCAACAAACAGATCCAGCAGCTCGTCAACAGTCGTGATGAGACCCTTGACCGCATTCGAGAGATCTTCATCAAACGTCTCGTAACCATCAAAGTGGCCGAGCAACTCACTAACGAACAGTTTCTGGAGGATGCTTTCGTTCATGTGCTTGGTCTTGAAGAGACTGTCCAGACTCGAGATAATCTCCGTCTCAATGATAGACAAGTCCTGGTTCAGATCCCATTCGCTCAGGATCATCGATCGCAAGAGTTCGACCGCAACATGGCGCAGACCTTCATGGACGCTAAGACAGAGCTCCATGATAGGGTAGATGAGGTTGGGAACGTATTGAACCTGATAGCCACCAAGCTTCCTCAGGCCGTACCGTTCTCTCTCCTCGTCGGACGTTTCCCAGCCGATCGCTTCCCAGCTCGAATGCAAGAGATCTGCTCCTTGCTCTCGAACATCGCCCGCAATCTTCCACACAGCACGCCGTTTCTGTTCGGGGAAGGTCTCCAGGGCCAAGGCATCACTAGAAACAACTTTGAGTAGCGTCATGAAGTAGCACTCCCAGAGTTTGGTGTCGAAGGTATCAGCATCGTCCGGCGCCGGCAGGAACTTGTCGACCATCATCGAACCCAAATGCTCCAGACTCTTCACCGTGGCGCGGTGGTTGTACACATGCATACTAAGCCAGCTCTCTGGGTATGCCTCACAATCCAAGATCGAATTGTGCGCCTCGAATGCCTGAGCAAGGAACGTAGAAAGTTCCAAATCCTTGAGCGCCAGCGGCTTGGGTTTCGGGATCTTGGCCGTGGCCGCCATGACGGCCGCCAACTCCACAAGAGCCTCATCGAATTTTTGCTTGGTTTTGCATGTTTTGACCTGGAACGGGAAGGTCTTGCTGAAGAGCAAGGACAAGTACTCAGTCTCCTCCACACCGTCCGGGATAATAGAGCAATACGACGCAAAGATTCTGGGCATGAACTCGTACAGCTGTGGATTCGGCTGTGCCAACAGCTGGGCAACAATCGCGCAACACAAGCGGACTTGATCCCGATATAGATCAGAAACATGCCCAATTGCACCCCAGTAAGGAGCTAACCAGCTGATACAGCAGGAGATCAAACTCTCTCGTTCCTGCCCCGAAGCAAAGACCTCGAACTGGGTATAGTGCTGAATCAGGATCAGCTTGTAGAGAATCAACATGCCCGTAACATCCTTGCACGAGTCCATAAAGCTGAGAGCGATCATGAAAATCTCATCCTTGGGCAGCACCTTGGAAAGTTCGGGGAGCCATGTGTGGAAGTGCTGAACGATGAGCGTCTTGCTTCCAACCATAGCTGGTGACGGATTCTTCATCAGCGACTCGAGCGATTGGAATATCGTGTGAATGTCGCGGCTGAAAGTCGATCCGACCTTGGTGATCCCAATGCCCTCTTCCTTGGCCTGCTGCTGCTGTCGAGCGTTGATGATGAACTTGAGCACATGCCGTCCGACCTTGAACGTGGAACGCAAATTCCGAGACTGTTCAGCGTCCGAATTGGCACGGAGGAGACGAAGGTAGCTGCGAATGAGGCATGGTGTGACGAATGGGAAATTGAACTGGTTGTCGGCGTAGTGATCGACCAACGGTCCTAAGTTGAACCGGCGGTCATGGACGATACCGAGTACCATCACAAGGTCATGGAATATCAAATCTTCGTATTCCTCGTTCCCTGCGTTTTCAACCAAGATACCGAAGAGCGAATCGAAAACACCGCTGAGTTGCTTGACAATCTCCATTTCAGGCACGAAGAGCACCCTCCGGAGGGTATCTAGGAGGTCGTCCACGGGTCGTTCTCTCCAGTTCAAGAGGCTCAGGATCGCCTGGTCTTGGGAATACTCGGTGCTGCACAGGTAGGTCTCCAGACGCAAGGATGACATGGGCCCAGTAACCGCCTCATCCTTAGTCGATTCATTCTTCCCGAGCGCATTCCATGGAAGAGACAAGTAGACACCTTTCCCGCTCTCAACGTTCGACGTGTGCTTGTCATAAGCGTGGAGGACCAGAGAATGCGGGCCATCCCGCATGAAGGCCTGATTATCCCACAGCGGCATCCACGCCAATGCAAACGGAAACTCAGGCGCATCGGCAATGCTCATCACGAGATGTGACCCGGGTATCTGATCAGAAGGAATGTTGATCCGGATGGTTTGATTCCAAGGCGTGCCACGATCGGCCACGATCGTGCGCCATGCCGTGTGCGCGGTACTGCTGGAGGAAGAGGGGTAAACGCATCGGTCGACCCGTGCTCCCGATGCTGTCCGCACTTCGAGGGTTAATTGCAAGTTACGGAGGCCTGTGTTCATAGGGACTGGCACCTGGCCGGCATGAGGGTGTGACAGAAGCGCTTCAGAAGGGAAGATGGCCTGGGTGAGCGTCACATAAATATCAGATCGCGGTGTAGTCGGGGCCTGAGAGAATCCCATTCGTCTTGTCTGCACAACATTGTGCATGATAGTAGGGTTCCTCCGAACCAGGTCATCCGCGTCGGTACTGACGAACGGGTGCAAATTGAGATGAAGTCTCGCTGCCCGCTGAGCCCGCATGTACTTCCCACTGGGACTGGGCAACAGCGTGCGGATCAGATCATCAAAACCTTCGGACAGTCCTTCTTCTTCGCCATCCCGGAGCGGCGACCAGATGTTGACGACCACGTGCTCAGCCTCCTTTTCTTGCCGAAGGACCTGAGAGACCTCCAAGAACCCAACACCAATCGTGCGAATCGCCGTGGTATCCTTCGCCGGCTGGGTCGCGGATCGGTCCTTGCTGCTGGACGTGCTTCCCGCCGATTGCGGAGGGAGTTTCGAGATCTCCTTGGGTGGGTCTACACCATGGATTCCCTTTGGTTTGTGCGACCAGATGATGCTGCGTCGCGTTTTTAGACTGCCTTTCACTGAGTGGTTGATTCCCTGAGGTGGCTTGCTAGCTGCTCCCGAGGATGACGACTCATCTTTGGACATGGAAGAACGAGGCTGGTATGAGATGCCGCTGGAGGTAGATGGAGTCTCTGGCGCGCGGACGGAAATGACCAAGTAAAGCTTGTTACCATTAGCAGCCGCATCACCAAGGTCCGTGGCACAAAGTTCGGTAAAGAGAGTCTTGAGCTTGGTGCTCTGACCCATGCTAGCGAACTTCTCCGGAGACGGTATGTCCAAAGAGTACGTCTCCGACAGAGGCTTCAGTGCACTAGCATCCAATGACTTGGAGCACAGCTGTGCCACTAGCGTGACGGGACCTGGCGAATAGCCCGAGACGGCATTGACCTCCAGCAGCAAGTGGTGCAGAGCAGCCGTATCTGAGTGGTGCATCGGACTGCTCTCCAGCATGCACATCTCTGATTGTAGCTTTGCCAAATGCACGGCTGAATCCTCGCCGGTCAAGAGACGACCTCTTTGCAGGGGATCTCTGACCACAATTTCTCCGCTCAACATCTTGTTCCCGCGCGCCAATTTCCAGACCATTTCATTTCGCAACGCCTCCTTCTCCTGCCAAGTAAGCACATTGTGAAGTAGTTGTCGTCGGGCAAAATCGAGTTCGCGAACAAGATTCGATAGCTCCTCGACAGAATTGTACTTCTGTGCCAGGAGCACTTCGTGTAGATTTGTCGAATGCCATTCGCGGAGACATGAGGCAATTTCGTCGACCAGCGGCTCGGATATCGAGGTGGGCGTTTCGTCGCCGATTTTGAGCATAGGTACAGGGGCAGCGGGTTTGGGCGCATCAGGATCGCGGGGGAGGGGAGTATACGGTAGAGGGGAACCCTTCCAGGTGCTGCTCGCCGAGCGGGGACTCCCCTGACTATCGTCTTCCAGCTTGGTGATAAATATTTGCGAGGGTTTTCCTTTCTTCGCGATCACGACGTTCGATACCTCGCCGGTCATCACTTGGTCGTCATCGTTCGAGCTTAGCAGGCTGTCTCTCTGCTCTTTCTCTCGGGTGCCGTTCGCCTGCTGCTGTTCTTGCTGCTGTTGCTGTTGCTGCTGCTGCTGCTCCACATTCTTCTTGTGCTCTCCATTGAGTCGCGGACTGGGCAGATCATTATCATCAAGGACTTCCCGAATCTCGACACAATTGCGCGGGAAAATGCCGGAGAAGACTCTAGCCTCAAGTGTCTGCCCTTTGGTACTGGTTAAACCAGCCAACAAAGACGGTGGAGCGACCAGATAACCACGACACCATTCTCCATCAACACCTCCGCGCTCAATTATGTAGAGTTCATCACCTAGTTCCAGGGGTAAGTCGGCGGGGGTAGAGGGTTGAAAGGGGTAGATGGCGACAGCGAAAGCGATTCGAGGCAGAGGCCGCCAGGGCATGTTCTGCGACTATGTTTCGTAGACCCCCGCAGAGTGTCCGTCACGGTTCGATATAAGGAATGTAAGGAGGAGGGGTCTCGTAGACCGTAAGAGCGTAGGAAGTAACGAACGGACACTTGAACTGAAAATTGAGACAAGCTGAGGGGTATCGAACAAGGCGCTACATGCAGGAAGATCGGGTTCGTTTCGTGTCGCGGGAGGACGGAGGGAAGGTTGCGAGTCAGGAACCAGAGAATAAGAGTAACGAGCTAGAAAATGGCCAGTATTAGTGAGAAAACCAAAGCATTGAAGACCCAGAACGCCAGCAAAGGCCTCGCTGTCCTCACGGCGTCTCTAGCAGCTTCACTATCACCGTCGCAGAGCCCCTTAGACAGCGGGTGGTGGAGACTGCGAGGAACTCGTGGAGAACGCAGGAGGACAGAGAAAAGGAGAGGGACGTACCGACTGAATGTATAAGGAGAGACAAAGAAAGAGAAAGATACGAAGAAATAAGAATAGAAGGTGAAGATCAAAAGACGAAAGAAATGGGGAGGAGAAGAAGAGAGAGAAAGTAAAGAGAAAGGAGGAGAGACGAATAGGAACGGGGACAGAATGGAAGTCAGCGAAAACCCCCAACCCAAATAATAACAAATTGGGATTCCAACGGTCGATTCGGGGACTAGAAACGGTTTTATAATTAGCTCATTCTGTGCCTCTATTTATCGTTCTATTGTTCTATCCAGATTAAGTGTGCAACATGGATTGTATGCTGGCCAGCATCAACCAGCCATTCGCTCACCACCAAACTTCCATACAATTCGGATGTACTTCGATGCAGCCACGTTCCTCTCCTGTACAGATTATCCCTTGGTTTCTTTTTCTCTATTGTTTTTTCTGATCTATCGATTCTGTACTCCATAATAGTATTTATATCGCAGGACTAGTATTCTATGAGGGCCATGTATGATCCGCACTGACCAGCAGCTGCCCCTGAACCACCACGGGCAAATCACTGTCCCCCATCGTCCGGAACACGAGCAATAACAGAGTAGTTTATGAGATCCTCTTTGCAGATCCAGATGTTCTTTGTCTTGATTGGCGTAGAACCTTGTCTATATCACACGAGTTCTGTCTGGAATACGTTCCTATACTTACAGTGTACAAATGCATCCAATAACCCCAGTCATGTCCAATGCGCCCAATGAATGTATCATAATGCCTTCGCACTTTCAAACAAACAAAAAAAAAAAAAAAATATTAGAAAAGGGAGGGGGAAAAAAGAATTATAAAAACTATGTCCGTCGGAACATGGCAATCGCATCTTCCTTGCGCCAGTCCTGCTCCAGCTGGCCCTCGTACACCGTCTCCAGCAGCCGTCGCGTGCGCTCGTGTGCATCTTCATACCGGCGCTCGCACTCCCCAAATACCTTCAGTACTAGGTTGCGGCTGAGTCCCGGGTCGTCTGCATCACCAAAATGCTTCTCTACACGCTTCTTAAGCAATTCAATGCCGCGTCGGATTTCCTTCGTGTCGTAGGTCGCCAGGACCTTCTTCACCACGGAGCGCGTGTGGCTAGGCCGGTTCGCAATGTCTGTGCTGGTTGCCATCAGGCCCTCTGTAGTTTCCACGAATTCCAGCAGCTTGCCCAGCGGTCGTCGAATCACAGCGTCCAGGTAGAGCTTCATGTGCTCCGCCATATCTTGGTGTGCCCGGTCGCGCCATTGTTCCAGCACCAAGAGGTTACGTACATCCACCTCCTCGATGTAGTGGTTCATGTTCTCGATCAGTAGAATGTGGTAGTTGAGCGCTTCCTTGTCCTCGGGGTCTCCTCCGGCACCGCCCACTGCGGCAGCGCCTGGGGGTCCAGGGGCCTCCTTGGCAATGAACTTCAATGACTCCCACATAGCCCGGTTGATGCGGTTGTACGCCTCGTTGACGCTGACCCGCACATCACAGAACTCTTGCGATGGGTGCGTCAGCATACTCTCCACCGCCGCAGAGAAGTTGGGGAAGACCCGCATGAATGAAATCACCCCCTTTCGCTTGTTGATCTTCACCTTGGTATCTTCAATACCGCGGATCTGTTCATCCACAAACCGATTGAACAGTCCCACCAAACGGGAATGAAGCTTCTGAAGAGAATGGATAATGAAATCCTGGTTCGTATCATCAAGATCGGACATTGATTTCTCCAACGCAAACAGAATACCAATCCCTTGTCTATTGTTTTTGTTAGCTAAATAAATCCATCTTGAAGCAGGGAAGGGGAAGGGACTTACAAAGGATCAGCCTGGATGGCCCAATCCACGAGATTTTGCATATCGTTGGGCCAGAAGGAATAAACCTCGTCCATGATGTGTTCAACCTTCCGTGCCATTGCCCGATCGGGATCGTGAGACTGTTTGGCGCTAAAGTCCGGGTATCGGCGCTCGCCAGGAGCAGCGGAAGCCACCAGATCAGGGAAATCGACAGTTGAAAGCGAATCCAAATGAAAGAAGTGCACGACGAAACTTTGCTCCTCGCAAATCATATCCAAGGTCTCCTGCAGCGTGCCAGCGAAAACTTCGCACGGATCCATTTTCCCATGGTGCTTCTCGCCAGAGGAAAGCCGGAGACCTGTTGCAGCCTTGATGGTCTTGCCCCGCTTCACTGTTAATTTCCGAGCAGCCATCCCAGTAACACCCTGGGTTTCTTTCTCCTTGTCGTGATGAGTGAAGAGGAGTTCCTGCTCCTCTCCTGTAAGTTTTCTCGAAGCCTTCTTCCACGCCTGGATATTGTCGCGGAACTCTCCCTGGTACGGTGCCTTGGCTTGTTGCTCATACAGCTGCATCAACCCGTTCCATTCTGACGTACTGACTTCTCGCGCGAAGAGTGTCAAGGCATTGTACACCCACAATTCGCGGCGGAAGGCATCGCGGGCCTTGTTATTGAGTTTTAAAGGGTCCTTCGGGCTGCCTGCAGCAGCATCAATCCTCTTCTGTTCGGCCACCTTGTAGGCAATCCCCATGAACTGTCTAAGTCGCTGCAAGAATGACCGGGATTCGATGCGGTACTCCTCCTTCTTTTCCTTGATGGCACGCATCTGCCCGATCTCTGTGTCCGCGTACACTCCCACACTGCCGTGCTGCCCCGCAGCATCGACCAATCGCTGCTTATTCTGCCAAATATCAGAATCAATCGTGTGCATAGCTCTGTACAATGTCGACAAAGCAAGTTCGGTGTCCCTCAATCCAGATGGATTGCTAAGTGATGACTCCTTCAATGACCGCAGCTCAGACGGCGAGATAGAGAGTGTCCGCAACAGGTTATGTAGTTCGTTTTGTAGAAGCTTCTGGTTAGCCGTTTGGACTTGCAATCCTTGAGATTGCGCCTCGATATACGACACATCATCATTGAGTGTCTGTCAAACGTTTGTTAGCGAACTGCGCATCGTAAGGAAGTCCAGAGGAGAAAAATTGCTTACGTTAAGTTCATGCGAGTACAGCGTAAGAAGGCCGTCTAGCTCATCGCACTCTTCGACGGTCTTGTCAATCAGCTTAGCTAGTTGATCAACCTTCCCTTCCTGCTGCTCAAGGTTGCCCAGCCAGCTGGTCGCTTCTACTCGTCCGATCTCACGACGAACATCGGCTTCGAGGTCCTCAATCCGCTTCTCATCACTGAGCCGTCCATTCCAGCCAAGATCGGTCAAAATATCGTCAAAGTCGACGCCACGGCCGTCCAAAACTTTGGGGTCAATTCCAATCGCCAGGCAATACTTGATCGTGTTGTCCTCACGACGTCGGCGGTTACGGTCATGGGGAGACGGCGATGCTGACCGTGATCTCTGATCGACGGGAACTTGCACGGTGGACCGCGAAGTATCTCTGGGCTCTTCTTGCACTTCGATTGTTGGAGTCGCTGGCTCTTCGGCAACCGCCTGCGTAATCTCAACAGTCGGTGGTGGTGTTTCTCTCGCCGGCGACAGAGGAGGTGGCGTTTCCTTAGCTGGGGAAACAGGAGGCGGCACCTCAGTCTCCGGTGTTTGAAGTGTTGGGGTCGAAGGAACTTCACTGACTGGGCTCTGGGTGGCTGTGTTGGGCCGGAGCGATGGAGCAGGAACAACACCAGTAATCCCATCCGGCTCCTCCGGATCGCCCCTTTGCTGTTTGGCTGCAGCCATCAATCTCTCACCAGCACCCCCCGGTCTCGGCTTAAACGCTCCATATGCAGTGGCAGCTTTCCGGAAAGCGCCTGCCAAATCTTTGGTCTGTTTCTTTTTAATCATCGGACCAAGTCCAGGACGATGCGCCTCAGGATCCTCTTCCAGGGACTCGGGCTCTGGAGGACCGACTGGCGGAATTGCTTCTGGAACGGCTTCCTTCGGCCCAGGCTCTACTGGAGGAAGATCGGCCGCTGTCGTCTGCACGGGCACCTTAGGGGCATGGTTATCTGCTGGCTCGGGCTCGAATGGAGCGATTGGAGGAATATCAGTCGATATTTTTGGAGACTCGACTCCTCGGGACAATCCGCTTGGTTCTAGAGTGGACATTTTATCGTTCGCATCATTGAGAGGTGACTTCTGGCCCAAACTGCTCGCAGGACTTGGTGGAATATTTCGAGTCTCTCCTGAAACAGACCCCGGAGTGGTCGGTCGGAGACCATCCGTGCTGCGCTTCACATCTGGTGAACTTGGAATCGACCCTTGGGTCCGAAGATATGGCCTTGCTTCCGGCATCCTCCCATCACGTGATGGGGGAGGCTGGGCGTCGAAATGTGAGCTAGCCAAGCTGCTCTCTTCGGGATCCCTATATTTCTTCTCCGGGTATACTGGCACTGGTGGCGTTTTAGGTGCCCTATCGGCCGCGCGGCGCTCAGCACGAGGTGGTGGTTGATCAGGGAAGACTGGCGGATGGCTGAGAGGCGGCGTGGCAACCTTGCCCGACTGGCCGGTAGAAGGTCTTTGCATCTGATCCCTACTCCTCTGAGCTCGTAGCGACTGATCATCGGGTGGCCGTGGATGCGCTCGAGGTCCATCGTGACTAGGAGCTCGACCCGTGTACGGCGACTGGGGTCGACTGCTGTGTGAAGACGGCGGGCCCTCCGGGCGTATAGGCGGCGGCACAGGGCCCCTTGAAGAACCTGGAGGCCCTGCTGGTGCAGCCCCAACAAGCATCTGGCGTTCGCGGTCATCGAAACCTATAAGGTTTGGAACTTTACCACCAGTGTACTTTCTGTAAATTTTAACCAGACTCCCGATGAAGAACTCCTTCTCTTTTGGGGTCCGAGCGTGCCAGTAATAAGGCTTTCCAATAGTAACCACAAATCCAACGCTCCCAGCCCACTGTTTGTGTTGCTGCTCTAATGGCGTCGGGGGCATCCAGGCGGAATATGACAGGATCGAAGAGAGGTCGTCGAGCATCCACGTCTTTCCTACGGAGAATGACCCGTCATTATTCTCCCTTCCCTTGTGCATGCGCACTCTGCCCGACTTTCTCACGGCGACAATAATCACACGAGCCTTTCTATTTTCGGATGGCGAATTCGGGGGAGGAGGACTGGAAGGGTAGGCAGCATCTTCTGTTATGCGCACATGTGTTATGTAGGACTCGACCACTGAGAGAAGGAAGTCAGTTTGCCAAACCCAAGCCGCAAAATGATTAGAAAGAAAGCTCCGTAGGCGCAAAGCTGTCTCGATTGATTGTAGACAATAGAGTTCAATCGCCCATCTTCCTTGCAAGGGACAAGTGATACCACCCTTGGGAGCGCGGGGCAGCAAAGCATGACACCTTGTCATTGTTGAAGGGGTAAAGGTATAAACATTGTGCACATACAAGTACCATCGCTCTCCTTTTTAGCAAAGCAGCTCTGCGTAATTCGTTTCTTCTCGTCTTCGAATTTCTCGGCCCTCGACAGGCTGGCATCTCCGGGTCCACCACTGCGAGGATCACCGACTCGACGCGGTTCTCGATGTGGCGGCGGCATATCGCCGGGAGGGGGTCCCCGGGGGCGCTGGCCGTTCATCTTTGTAGTTTGTTTCTTGTATTCCTCGCAGGCCCGGTTCGTTCAGGAGGTCTCCGCCAAAGACCAAGGGGACATGATCGGAAGAATCGGGAAAACGGACCTCGCAGACGGGATTTTGAGAAACAATGGGTTCGGTGAGAGAGAGCACCCTGCAGAAGCGATTAAAGGCGAGTAACGCGTGGTGGACAAATGGTTGAGGGCTGGTTGAGGGCGTAGACAGAGCAAGAGAGTTGTCGTCAAGTGTGGATTAGATCATGAGCCACTGCTCCGTACGGAGAATGGGTGGGTTTCCCGATAGGGTATAGCGTGGCTGTTCGCCGCATCTCTATTGCATAGTGACACTTTCTCTGAACAGCTGCCTGAGGATTTTACAGACATTAGTATGGTAATATTGTTATCATGGCTCTCGAGAAGCTACCACTGCCTGACCTAGGCTGCAGCAGGTATTCATGCAAATACAAGACTTCCATTTGTCTTCAGGTGAATTTCGCGCAAGTTATCATCACTATTCACCCTCCAAGTACTGATTACTAGGATCACAATGGGCTCTTCCGCGTCTATCCAACAGGAGTGTGCACCACTGTACAGATCAGAGTCTACCCCAATTACCCACAGAGGAGCCGATTAAGTCGGCGTCGGCACCTGTTGGTCAACGCGGGGTGACTTATGATACAGTAACAGTCCTAACTATCTACTGGGAAGAAGACGAGTGCGAAAGGGCAAAAGCAAATGCAGAACAGGTTGAGCGAGTCATCAAGAACTCGTATAACTATGGTGCTGTTTCATTCCCTCTCTTGAAGAAGCACAAGAATCCTACGGCAGAGCTGTTAAGCAAACTCACTGATATAACAGGGAACCTTGACAAGAAAAAGCAGAACCTTCTTATCATAAACTATTGCGGTCACGCGCTATCTGGGAACTGGGGTTAGCTTTACTAGCAGCCGAATGGTACTCTACCAAGCCAGTTTCTGAATTGGGAAGAGGTACAACGCAGCCTCCCACACGCTGACTGTGACAGGCTATTCAATCTTAATTGTTGTCATGCGGCTGGAATGATTATCAAAGGACAAGATTGGGCACGACGATGTGAAATTATAATGGCTCGCGATGATGTCTGCACGGGGTTCAATCAGTCCTGCACGTCTCTTCTTTGCTCGGAATTGATCCTCGGCGCGAAGCATGGTGGAATCTCGGTCTCAAAGCTATATTTGAATCTTTCGAATCCAACAATGATGGAGGAACACTCCCTGGGGACTATTCCAGGTCACCAAATCCATTCAAAGGTCAGGGCATACTCGTCTCCGATACGCTTTGTGCCCAGGCCAAATGAACCGCCGTGACAATCAAGTGATGTGTTTATGGCATTGGTAAATCTGGCTAGTGTCTACTGCATAATCCAAAGACTTGCTTCTATATCTCAATTGCTACTTTCATGTATGGTTTTATATGCCTTTGGTTATATATATCTCCGAAAGAAAAGAAACCTCATTCAGATTCCACCTCAGCCATCCTTGATGTAGACACTTAGCCAAGGTATATGTATTTCCGATTATTACCCATTACGTTTCATAACCAACAGAGTACTCCGTATTTGTACTATATACTAGATTCCAGGGCAACGAGTCCTACATTAATGCCTCAGGCATGAATAAACAAAAATCAAGAGCACGTGAGCTTTGCGCTGAATTTCTCCGAATAACCAATCAAACAGCATTATTTGCAGACCGCTTTTACTAGCGCCTTCCGGTTCTTTTTTTTTTTTTTTTTATCTTCACGAAGACGCCGACCAACAGAGCAGAGAGAAGAGCAATCTCAAGCAGAATATCCGATCATGGCAGCGCAGAAGGGCAAGAAGGCTTCGGCTTCGAAGAAGTCTCCCAGCACCAAAAAGGTAGGTCTTCGCGAAAGGCATTGGTTGAACTAGAATAGTGAGTAGTTGGTACTGACAATTCTCTCTGTTAATAGACCTCCCCCCCTCCGCAATTAGTCGCCTCTATCGCTACGTTCTTGTCCGAAAATGGCTTCGAGAGCACGAGTAAGGCTTTCGCCAAAGAGCAGACCGACAAGTCAATTGCCCAGACCGATTCGAAGAAGGCCCCTTCTTTGCTCGAAGTCTTCCAGAACTGGACCAAGAAATCGGAAGAGTCCTCCAGTTCCAGCTCTAGCTCTAGTTCCAGCTCCTCTAGTGAAAGTGGCAGCGACAGCAGCTCCGATGAGTCCAGCGACCCGGACGTCGAAATGGGCGATGCGCAATCCAAGAAGTCTTCCCGCTCGTCGTCTTCCTCTTCTTCCTCTTCTTCCTCTTCTTCCTCTTCTTCCTCTTCCTCCTCGAGCTCCGATAGCGACGCTGATGACGAGGATAATGCTCCGGCCGCTGGTCCCAAGTCAACCGGCGTGAAGCGCAAGGCCGAGTCTAGCTCCTCCGAGTCGGACTCGAGTTCCTCGGAATCGGAAAAGGAGCCCCCTAAAGCTAAGAAGGCTAAACTCGAGTCCTCCAAGAAGGACTCCTCGTCTTCTGAGTCCTCTGATTCTTCATCGTCGGAGTCCGCCAGCTCCGAAAGCGAGTCGTCGGAGAGTGACAGCGACTCTTCTGAGTCCTCTGATTCCTCTGACTCTAACTCCTCTGACTCCTCTGACTCCTCTGACTCCGATTCTTCCGATTCCGACTCCTCCGACTCCTCATCTTCTGAGAAGAGCCCTGCCAAGAAAGCCGACAAGAAGACTCTGAAGACTGCTGCCAAGACACCCTTGCCCGCGTCAAACTCCAGCTCTAGCGACTCTTCGTCTGATTCTTCGTCCTCCGATGACAACTCCTCGAAAGATGAGTCTTCTGACAAGAAGAAGAAGGATGACAAGTCATCGGAATCGTCAAAGTCTTCCGACACCCTCCAAAACTCCGACTCTGACGAGCAGAAACCCGCCAACAAGGCTGCCGAAAATGCCCAAGAATCTTCGTCGTCGAACGCAAGCCCGGCCCCTGGAAACAATTTTGCTAAGAAGCATACCGGTGCCCGCCAAACCCCTCTCGCTGTGCTAAGCGAGCTGCCACACGACCATCCCTCGAACACATACTTGTCCTACGCTTATGCAGACAATGCCTACAAGGACCTGTCGGTTACTCGCGGTAAGGGATTCACCAAGGAGAAGAATAAGAAGAAGCGTGGTTCTTACCGCGGTGGTCCTATTGATATCTCCGGAGGAAAGTCCTTCAAGTTCGAGGATTAAGTCAGTCTCCTAACTGATCTATCACTTGAACTAAGATCTTTCTGATGGACCACGAGGGAGATTAGAGAAGTGGCCCAATTGCACTCTGCGGTAACACATATATCGCCAGTGTGCAGCCCGGGCCTTCTAAGGACCTAAAAAAAAAAAAAAAAAAAAAAAAAAAAAAAAAGCCTAAAAAAAAAAAAATTTACCGGTTTAGATAGAGCTAGATCTTTCTTATTTGGGTCTTCATAGTATTGTTCAATTTATCGGCAAGCAAGGCGCAGATGGAGCTGAAGGTGGCTTTTATTTTCTTCTATTCACATATTTCATTTTTTGTTTCTCCTTTTATGGATTGTCTCATTCCCCCCCCTTCTATTGTAACCTACTGCTTGTTTTATTTCAAGTCTAACAGAATCAAAAGTTCATGACACGATTATAGCTGCTATATCAAAACACTGCTGCTCGGCATTATTTGCATGGGATTATAAGTCATATCCTTCATCTAGTCGTAACTCGTGAACCATTCTATTCGCATGTCAGCCAACGAACTGCTCCCCATCATAAAGAGCGTGGTAAGTACTTACACTCCAGGTCCTCGTCTGCAGCCTCAAGACAAATATCCATCATTTTATCAAGAGCCGCTGACCGTTCCTCTTCAGTCAAACACCCAATTTCCACCAACTCCATCAAAGCCTCTCCAACCCAGTTCTGACAATTCCAATCCCGATGCTCACGATCATTCCGCACAGGTGTACGGACGCAAGCATCTTTGATCGAAGTCCTCTCAATGACATCTGGTACACTTGCGACATAGATGAGACCCGCAAGACCCGTGACTTTGGTTGGGTCTATGCCCTCTGCTTCTTCAAAGTCGAACATGCTCGGTGCACCGACTACGTGCATTGCGCTTTGTTGCCCATCGGGAAAAGTGAAGTGCAGCGCTGTGTGTCTGTACATGGCGTAGTCGATTGGGTCGCCTCGGTAGACGGCGACGGATATATGGGTTGGCATGGCAAGTAGCGCGTGGTATTATGGAAAATCGCGAATATTTCGTAGGGTTGTTGTGCTCAACTCAGGTACATTCGCTCTTACCATAATAGACCCTTATCGGTTGATATCATGTGATGATAACTAAAGGTAGGGATGACATAAGTCCACGAGAGGAATCAACATCTCGAGGTAGGCTATTGGATTGGCCAATTCAATCTTTTTTGTATATTTCCTCTCGTCTTCAGAATGTCTATCGCTTATGAGGCCCGAGTCTCATAAATAGATGCCATGGCTTGGCTACAAAGGCGAATTCCTGACTGTTTTACGGCTCATTAGCCACTGGTTGATCCCACATTCAGATCTCTGTCGAAATTGCTGTGCGAGCATTTGACAAAACCTACTTCTATTCCTCAAGAATATATAGGTTTGCGGCTCTCCTCTCTTGCGCCATTGATTTATCTCTTCAAGAATCTTGCTGACGTCCTACTTCCACTAGATCTGCTCATACGTCATTTCTATGCCACCAGCCGGGCAAAAGTCGCAATGCTCACGGAACTACCAGCAGAGATAATTTACAATATTGCGCTTCACCTCCCGACGGTCAGTTGCTTGACCAACCTTGCTCAGACATGCCAACATCTCCATATGCTCATCGCGGCCGAGGATTCGCGGATATTCAGAGCCTTCTTGAAGACTCGCTTTCCTTGGATAGAGACGCCTCCGTTTTGGCGTGATGTTTCTCGCGCTCTGACATCTCGATCGCGAGCCCTCGACAAACATGCGGTGGTAGGTCGGTTCGTCGTTCCGCCACGAGATGCGATCAAAGTTGGTTCCCACCGGGGCACGAGGGCGGACACTCCTACTCTTGGGTATCGTCCTGCCATTGACTCGTACGAGGTATGGAACGGTGATCTGTGGTCAGACCACAAGGAGGTTCTTGCCTGGGGTGCTGCGGATGAGATTGTCCTTCGTGTCAGACAGACTGGTTCCCATCCGTTTGACAAATGGGTTGTGTTCAATGATTTGGACCATGTTAGCAGCTACGATGATATTTGTGGTCTTCACCTTCTAAAGTCGGATCGTTATCTACAAGGCCCCGATGACAAAGAGCATCTGGTTTTCGGTCGTGTTCGTGGAGAGCTTCATCACCTTTCAATCTCGCCGGACGACGCAACCCATGACTACGAGCAGGAGTTTGTGACGCATGGAACTGAGCTTGAACGCATCGACCTCAGCGATAGTCCTGAGCCTATTCTGGCTGCTCACTTTGAGAATGGCTCCATTGCCCTTTACCATACTACGACGGATGAGCCCGAGGTCCATCCCTTTGCACGGCTCGGTCACGAGGGCCTCATGCGTAACAATTATTCCAAATTCCTGTCACCGACCCGGTTAGCAGTAAGCACAGGGCGCCTCGAGAACACATTGTCCATTTCCACGATCACGCCCGATAATGTATCACTATATCGGGAAATCGGCTCCGAATACCTGGGATTTGAGGAACACGTTGGTTTAAATCGGAAAACCAATATAGTCAATGCGATTGCACCGCTGACTGGGCAAGCTGGGGGATCGGGTGATGTTTTTCTATCTTCATGGGGCGATAGGGCCGTCAGGTATGTTTTGCTCCCGTTTCATATCTGTACGAACATGCAACTAATTAATTCCTAGACTCCATGATCTTCGCACAGGTAAACCATATGAGGCTATGTACAGAGACACAACGGATGGCAACCCCATATATTGTGTCCATCCATTTGGCCATGACCGTTTTGCGGTTGGTGCAGGCGGCGATGCGGTGCTCAAGTTCTTCGATCTCCGTATGCACAACCCTTACAACTATCTGAATGGAAGGTACCCGTCATTCTCGCATCCTAGCGACAAATCCAACGAAGACAACTCGGACACAGACAAGATTCAAGATTCAATAAGGTACCCACGGAAGGATTTCTCTCTTTTTCTATCCCATCCGCCTCCGGGACTTAAACGTTCAAATCGCGGGCGCTCCCGAGGCAACCCCACCTCCTACCGTGGCCCAATCTACACCATGTCTTCGCCATCTGCACTATCACCAACGATCTACGCAGGTGTGGTAGACGGTGTTTTCCGCCTTGACTTTGCATCCTCAGACGACCTTGCCAGCCCGTCTTTTCAATGGTACGAGGATAGCCTCGCATTGGATCTTAACAGCGCATCTTCCGCCCCAGATAGGGTTCTGGAACTCTCGGGATACGAGCGTCCAGAAGCTGATGATCTCACTACTACTTCAAAGTTGAGAACTCAGCAACCATTCTGGGCCATTTCCAATGATGATGCTCGGAATGAAGTGGTTACGGGTTGGGATCGAAGATGGGAGAGATTAGATCAGGAAGCTCCTTGGAGGCGTCATGATTAGTTGGTTATCCTTCAAGTTTCTCAACTTGTAAATATTGCTTTAAATAATCCACATAACAGATAGACTTCTAGATAGCTTCATCATTCATGCATTTGTCGAGCCATTCCCCCCCCCCTTAACCCAGATTTCATCCTGTAAACGAGGTTTCCGTTACTCTAACGAAGCGCCGCAGAGTTGACGAGTACCGTACCCAGGACGGAGACGGGGTCGGGGATGGACCTGGAGATGTCGTTATTGATTGGATGAATATTAATTTGAACTTGAAGGCAAGACAACTGTACACAGCCATCTCTAAGGGCATAGACAAAAATAGGACACGCTACTAAGTTCCACACTAATCAGACGTAATGGAAAAATACGACATGGCCACCACCTCAGCCCCATACTGCAACGGAAGAATAATCGAGGGATAACGAGACCAGCCCAGAAGAGAATTCCACTCACTGTACGCTCTCACGTACAGTATTCAGGGTACCAGCCAGCATTCCCCCAATCCAGAACCGCCGTGACATTATATCCCTCGGCACCAGATCACCATGCGTAAAAACAATCTCGTAATCCTCCCTGAAAGGCGAAGTTGCAAAATAGCGGAGAGCATTCGGGACTGTGTTGAGGATCCTTGAGAATAGAAATTGATTGAACTGACGTTCGTTGTCGAATGGTGCGTCCAGGTGGAATACGTAATTCCCTATTACTGCTTTTCCACGATCTGCAGCACCGATATAGTCGCCTTTCAAGTTGCGCAGTTGCTGAATGTAGCCATGAAGCTCATGAGTGAGCGTCACTTTCTGTTGGTCAGTCATGCTAAGCCAGGCCTTGTCCAGTCGTTTTCCTGGCATGTAGTCCATTGAACTGGCCTGCGCCGTCCCGTTTTCATCCCACTGGATTTCATGGACTCGTGGGACTGGGATCGTGGTGTGCTTGGCAATGTACTGTAAGTTGCTTGATTCGAACTCGTGGATACTGACACTTGATTTGATCACTTGGCCTTTGTGGGCAATGTCCTTGCGTGTTCCAATGGCAACCGTATATAGCACCGTAGGCTCTGTTTCTGTCAGCCAGTGTCATTTGGTAGCTCTTTCAAATACATACCTTCAACAGATTCTGAATCTTTGGGGATATGAGTCCATTTTGTTGATGTTGAAAGAGCAATCGAAGGTCATATGCAGATTAGAAGCAAGCCTTTAATCCCCTGAATATTCACTAGCTGGAAAAAGACAACACTCCAACTCGGACACATGTTGACAAAATGCTCCGCCGTCTCGTCTTTATAATTGAACTGCCAAAGGAATTTTGTGTAAAGTTTATTGAAACTACGTCACTTAACAGTGACAGTTGCCCTAACCCAACCTACTACCCATCTGCAAAGCCCAAAGCTTCCGATCAGACCGCTGCTCCAGCAAAGCCTGTTGATCCCCAGCATACATAAACGTCCTCCCAGACACCACTTCTGGCACCTCACCATCCGTAAATCAAAACCGACAAGGGCAAACCATCTACGCCCCCGTCTCATAATACGCAAGCTTCCGCGCCTGCTCTTCGTCCTTCACAAGCCACGCAGACCCAGAAACAACCTGCCCCTGTTCACCATCGATCAAAGCAGGATAATCGCCCCATTTAGCCAGCGCGTAGCCGATTACCTTGGCGGGTCGGAGTTTCGGTTCTTCTTCTTCTGGGAGATCTAGGTTTCTTTTCAGGGTACCGTAGAAGAAGTAGTAGACTGGGTATTCTGGGGGGAGGTCGTGGATGGCTCCTTCGAGGTTTGTGAGCTAGTCTGGTGGAGCGGATTCGAGCATTGTGTAATATAGGGATAGCTCTTCTTGTGGTGGGTTGGGTGGCATCTTGTGAATGCTGATGAGTTGTTCTTAACTTACAGAGCCTCAGCCCATTCACAGGCGCTTATAGACGTGGATCATAGATTATCCATGCTCCGGGTGCTCTCTACTATCTGAGACTTGACTTCTTTACATTTGCAACTTTGAATAGGGCAGAAGTGAGTACCGCACACTCAACGGGCTATACACCATGCTCCATGTTTTTACCCTGAAATCAGGGAAATATTAGAGAAAACCAAACTTGAAACGATGTTCTACAAAAGCAAAGTCAACCTACGGCGACTTTTGAAGCTGCTTGATGCTGCAGTGGGCATGACTCGTCATGACAATTGCGTTTTTTTCCGCACAGGGTGGCTATGCAGTGATGGCTGATGTCCGAGAAACTCCAAGAACTTCTGCTCGAACAACGCCCAGAGACACGCCATCAGCGGCCGGTTCATCTCGTCCGTGGTAGCAGACAAGGTTGTCCCAGGCCTGGAAAAAGTCTGGGAAAAGCTACTTGAAAACCCAGAAGCATTCATCGCAAAGGGGCTCGAGAATCTGGTGTATGTTCTACTCATCTTCTTGGGGGCTTATGCGCTAGTCTCGGAACGCAGGCTTGAATAGCTTAGATACAAGGGCCTTAGTTCTTGATCCGAAACGTATTGCGCAAGCAATTATTCACTTCAAGACTGATATCGGAGTACGGTGCGATATGAGCATCAAGCTAATAAGTACGCCAAAAGCAACTGGATTGACGTTGCTCACAAAGTTGGGTTTAAAGTCGATCCATCGACTTGACGACATTACAGCAATTAGTGTCATAAGAGTCAAGTTGACCCGAAACCCAGAGAAATCTTTTCCTGGTACTGACCCTACCTATATCAGGAAGCACAATGCCACAGTTAGACACGTCCGCTACATTCTGAATAGCGAGCGAAAATACGACGAAGAAGCACAGCGATTTATGCGCATTCATCGAGATGACCGGGTTATGAGTGCCGCTATTTTCAGATTTGCCTAGGCCCAAGAATGCTGGCTTCTTAAACGATTGCGAATCATCCGCTAACTCTACCGTTGAGTGAAGACAGCTTTAATGCCCGTCAATGAGAAATATAATTGACAAGTCCGCCAATTGGGAATGAATCCCGGACGATTTCGTCGAATAGAAAGGTACGCTGATAATCCAAAGCTACTATATCTTACTAACTTTTCATATTAGGCCGGCACGATCACAGTCTTGGTCTTGGTGCTTGCTTTTCACATTACACTTCGATGTTCACTATGCAATTCAATTACTGTCATTTGGATTCCGAGTCTTCTTTTCGTTCCAAATTAGACGAAGAATGCATAATACACACCAGAGGCACGCCGGTGAAGCAACCAGCTTATCCCATCAGTGGTATGAAGAAAACGTTGCCTTAACACAGATCTGGACAGCAAAGCTTCCATTGTAACGAAGGCTTTTGGAATCCGAACTTGAAAAGAATCACCAGGCGATGCTTCAATTCGAGACAGATTTCGAAGAAACGGTGCTCCAAAAGCATAGAGTCAACGAGTACACCAAAAGTAACTGGATAGATAACCCTACTCCGCTTACAAGATCCAGTCCTGGAACTACTGAGGACACTACAGCGACGCCATGAAAAAGATAACCCATGTGAATGAAAGCATGGAAAGATCTTTCCCGGGCTCTGTCTTTACAACCTCAGTTTCTATGAGGATAAGATGTACATTGTCACCATCCTCCGGCAAATCTATCGAGAGGCCCAGCCACACCGGACAGTTGAATGGTCCGAAATAACTCTATAGCCAAGCGACATAAAATATCTTGTGGATCAAGAACGAGACGAGCCGACGGCGTAAGTTGGTGGGAAGTTTCACATTCAAGCAATACAAAAGGCAGATGCTTGCCTCATCGCCTGCCTCAACATTCATTTATCATCCACAGAATGAACCCATGGAGGCTCAATATGCTGTCAATGGACAGGACCACGCCAAATCAGGTGTTCGATGCTATGAACCCAAGCAAGCAAAGTGTTTTGGATGGAACTACCTACCGACCAAAGGCGATGAAACCCTAAGTCCCATTGTGAAATGGTGGCTTCAGATCCTGTGCTTTCAAATGTTACCCATTGATCACAGGCTGGGGAACACACAAAGACGTATTTGTATACATTATTGGCCAGATAAGGCGGATGTCTGCTCCTAGAACTATACAAAACTGCAACCGCCAGCCAGGCCTAGTCGTCCCGATGCAATTCGCAAAATCGAAAACACGGCCAGGTGCTGAAGACTCAATCGAGAATCTACGCACACGATCCAACAATCCATCGTACGACAACAAAAAGAATTGTGCGACAAATGTCTACTAAAAAAAAAAAAAAATAGAAACGTGTATTATCTCCACAACCCGAGATGGATGTGAAAACCGTAACCTACAAGAGATGGAAGTATATAGACGACGAACTCCTCTACGAACGAGGCATGGGCTCGAACAAATGTTACACCTAGATGGGAAAGACCCCAGAATGCCTTCTTTCTATGGCACACAGATGCCTCGCTGGCCCCTGCTGACGGTTGATTTCGGTCACCGATCTGTTTGGGAGACTGAATACAACTGCAACCGCAAGAGAAGGCGTTGTATTTCAGAACTTTCAGAGAAGTTGCTAATTGCGAGGTACATTTTACAATGGCATTATAAACTCGATCTCTCCAATACCCGGGGCTCAATTATACTATCTCGAAGCCGAGAATGAACGTTCTCGGAAATATGATACATAGCCTACAAAAAGCAGGAGCTTGGTCAAATCGCTAGACAATCGCGGGTGGTACTTGACAATACCACACTACAAGAACTTCCAAGACAGACGCCGTACGAAATCTTCCCCTAAGTGGTTGATGAATACGGACAATTCACGGCACTTTTTGAATGACTACTGAATACAAATGGACAACATGATTTCGGTTAACTCACCACCGAAATACCAATGAAGAAAGTCCTGCTTTGGGATGTTTGGCTGCGGTAAGGCACCAATATCTACACTTCCATCTTCAAAGTACAACGTCCAATAATTCTTCAATTTTAAAACCTAGAATCCATAACCCATAATAAAAACAAAACTGAAAAGACATAACCACGCGCATGAAAGGGGGAAGGGGGATTCGAAAAAAGGTAAAAAAAAAAAAAACACAAAAACAAAACAAGCCGTATATTCGTTTCGTGTCCAGTCTATTAAGTTAGGTATCGGCACTGCAAAAAGAAAAAAAAAAAAAAAAAAAACAGACCCGAATCTGATAGCCCGTAAACGATAAAAAAAAAAGTAGCGTCTAGTCTCTTTCTTTCTTCTTTCTTCTGCGTGTATGAGCCGGGAATACAAAGAGGGGGGGGTGCAACTGAAAAGAAAAAGGAAAACAAAAAAGTAGAAAGAAATTGAAAAAAGAAATAGCTTCCCGGTCGAAGGCTTCGCATCCACGCCGAAAATAGTTAAAAAAGATAAAAAAAGAAATTAGGACAAAGCAAAGATCTCTAATAAATAGCATGTACCTGTCTCACCGCGCAACCAGGAATATCACACAAAATAAAAACGCCAATTTGTACAAGGAAATGTGTCGTGCTGAGTGTCTGTCAGCATTAAGAGCCAAGTGACAGACCCTGGAATCGACTGGTCCAGTCACCGGCGGCCGGAGGCATGCGAGGGGAAGCCGCATAGTCGACAAATCCCGTTTCCATCGGGCCGTAGGCCGTAGGGCCATAGGCGGAGAATGGGTCGGGTTGGCTCTGCATGCCAAATCCACCAAGGCCGGCTTCGGGATGGCGAGGGGCCTGGCCGAATGACTGGTAGTTGTCTGCGTAAGGGTTGCGCAGCATTTCGTTGGCGAGGTCTCGACCATTGCCGTAAGGGCGTGCGTCGTGTTGATGACGCCGGTCTGGCTGCGCCTCTTGGTACAGGGGGTTGCTCATGGCACCCGAAGAGGGCAAGCCAACGCCAGGCGGAGTAGCAAACGACGCGGGGTTGATGGCGGACATCCAGATTCTGGTCTTGTAGATCTTGAAAAGATCAGTCACAAGTGAATTGAAATTGATGTACGAGTCCGCAAAGTAATAGAACGTAAGCTTCTTCCAATCCCTGTTCAACATTAGCGATCGATCACTTCGGTTATATATATATATTTTTATAAAAAAAAAAAAGAAAAAAGAAAGAAAGAAAGAAAGGGACATTAAAATAGACACTCACATTTGGAACTCAGCATCCAGAATCTCCATATTGAGACGGTGCTCCACAACCTTCTGCTGGCAGACCCGCTTGGCCTTCGCCTCGTTACCTTCCTTATCGCGAAGCGTCAGAATCTCATGGTTCTGAGCCAGCCTCTTAATCAATTTCGGCTTAATGTCAGCAGGTGGCTCCTGTGGGCCGCCGTGGGAGCCATGAGGACCCATTCCACCAATAGCGCTTCTGCCATTCAAACCAGGAAGGTTTCCAGACGGATCAACGACGTTGGTACCGCCATTCTGGCCCTGACGAGAGAACATCATCAACCACTTGTAGTGCTCTTCCGCATACTGCTGCTTGAGCTCACGGGCCTTTTGCAGCGAAACGTTGGCGTGCTGGATAGTTCCCAGGTCCGTGCCTCGATCCGCTTCGACAATAACCAGATCGCCCGGCTTCACCTGAAGGCCGGTGTCTTCCTGAATGTAGAAGACGTCCGCGCGGTGACATTTGAAAGTCACAATGTAGAGAAGCTGGTTTTGGTGGAAATGCGCAAGAGGGGGCTGGTGGCGGCCATAGCCATGGTGCGGGAGGGAGTAGGTCGAGTGCAGAGACGTAGGGAGGCGCGCCTCGTCGGCCATGCGGAGGCCTTGCTCGTGGGAAAAGTACGAAGCTGCAAATTGACGAGCTTGTAAATGAATTTGTTCCATTCTCATTTCCTCCAATTTCTCGGGATTCAAATAAGGGACCATCTGGGAAGAGCTCTGGTGGTACTCACGGGTTTGTCCTGGGGCATTCACAAGGGGTCCATCAGCGATATGGGGGTGTTCGTCCTCCGGGTCTCCTAATCCAGTCCTAAGGTTGACGGGCGCCTGCGAATCGCCGGCAGCGGAACTGATGGAGGTGTGTCGCATGGGAATATCCGCAAAGGAGTGACGGCGACTCTGGGGTATCTCTGGGATGCTGTCAAAACCAAGGGAAGTCTGCCAATGAGCCTTTCGAACGTTATCTAGAGCGCGGTTTTCCAAGGGTGCAAGCCCTGAAAACTGCTTTTCCAGATTAGCAGAGTGTTCGGAGAAGCGCCTCTTCGGGCCGCCAAGGTTGTTGTTGTATCCATGAATGGCGTGAAGCTCATCCAGGTCGTGAACTTCTAGATCTGTCTCTTCTGGCACACTTCCGCGAATAGCATGCAAGTTATGAGGCGCGCCACCAACCGCGTAGCCGCCGTTTGCAGACGCAGTTGATCCGCGACGGTCCCTCATACTGTTGTCCATAGCCGCCTGGCGCAAAAGGGCGTTCTCCCTGGAGAGCTGCTCAATGGTGCGCGCTTGGTTGACAGTATAGTTCATGCTGCCATCAGAGCCGTTCGCGCTACCCTCCTCATCATCTTCATCTTCACGAACACGGTCAAGCGTAGCAGGGTCGTGGCCCAATTCTCCAAGAAGGCTGGGACGCGATGAACGATGCTGCAAGGCGGACAGCTGGTTAACACTGTTGCGAGGGCGCGCATTAGGATATGGCGCCGCCTGCGCTGTTCCTGACTTGCTGGCCATCTGGGTTAGAAACTCGGGGTCCAGTTGGCCCACTGAGTACGATTGAGACCGATAAGTCTTGGGAGTCGGATGAAGAGGAATGGAAAATGGGATGCCTGCGTCCCCAGACGAAGCACGGGCGGTCGGACTCAGTAACTCCTCTGCAAGATAAGTATTCGAGGTAGTAGGAGACGGAACGATCTCTGAGAGGCGAGGAGGTGGCTCTTTTCGAGACTCCGAATTCCAAATACCCGTACCCCATGGGAATGAGCTGCTTCCAACGTGGTTCCACGCGATCGAGCCACCCAGTCCTGGACTCGTGCTCCACACAGACTGATCAGTTGCGGGGCTAGTTGGGTTGGAAGCTCCCGACGATAGAGGGGCAGTGGTTGTCAAAGAAGACTTGCGGGTAACGTGTGGAGGGACTTCGTTCAACCAGGACGTGCGGCGACCGGGCTTGGGAATGGATACAGAGGAGGTCGGGGGTTGCGTCTGTTGAGAGTGATCTCCATCATCATCTGAAGATGCCAGAGCATCTGAGTCGGGGGTTGAGCGACGAACGCCGGGATGGGCCTTTTCGAGGCGAGCTGTCGCATTGGTGAACGAAGTGGGTGAGGTGGTGGATTTTGGCGCCTGTACAGGCTTGCTGGATGGGGCAGCCATGATGTGACGAGCGAATAAGAATCAAATCCTGACTGCAGCAGATACCGCCATTAGCAAGTGGATTGGATGAGGGGTCAACTGAATAAAACATGGAGAATCCGCAGGCACTAGAAGTGGTGGGCTAGTTGTTGTTTGGCGACCAGGACCAGGTCATGCGGTTAACGTAGCCAGAGTCCACAGCAGGAAAAGTGTACAAAGGTAAAATAGATGAAAGAGAAGAATAAAAAAGCATAGAATAAAGCATCAAAAGGTAAGAAAATCAGTGTGAACTCACCTTGAATTCTGTTCGTCCTATCTTTGGAGAGTGTTGACGTCAGAACATGAAAAAGTAGAAAAGTATGGGGAACTGCTAAAATGTGGGAGAGTGAGTGATGTTTGTTCTCAAGCCAAATGTGGAGGAAAATAGCACAACAACAGACATTCACTGCTGATCAGGCTGCAGAATTAATGCCCCGAAACAAAAACAGAAAGCAAACAGATGAAGAATGAGGTCTATTGGGCCACAAAGCCCTGGTTCTAATATGCAAAGGCAAAGGCCAGGAGAACTTCTCGATGCATATGGTGCCAGTTTGGCTGGAACAAAGCATAGAACAGTAGGGTATCAACATATGATGGAATTGGGCGCATAGGTGTAAAGAGAGAGTGAAAACTGGCGTGGCAATGAGGGCGCCGAAGAAATGAAACTATACAACCATGCCACCACGATGTGGCGAACATGCGCCCCTCATGACCTGAGTGACTTTGAACCAACCGAGCAGGGAGAGAAAGAATAGGTAAACTGGGTTGCGTCGTATCAAAGGGAAGAAAGGAATGGGAGAACCGCCCGGGTTCTTTCATTGGTAGTCTGGTTCCGTGGATGCACCAAAGCGGCAATGCGGATTAAACGAACAGATGCAATGATATGAAAGGAATGCCGGATATAATGCAAAGAAGGAAAACGACTATACATACCTGAGTTGATACAAAGAAGGCGCGCGGAATATAGGTTGTCAGATAGACAACCACGTCGTAGAGTGTACAAAGATAGATATCACGGGTGTTCCTGAACAAACGTAGAACAGTATAATAATAGTGTAGGTTCGTAATCGCGTCTATATTAGTATATCCCAATCGGTCAGTTGTCTGTCGTCGATAGAACTACCCTGGAATACTCTCAGGAGACTCACCAGTCTAAATGAAACTTTTATTAAATCTATATCCCAAGTAGTCGCAAAAGAGAAAAAAGTTCGTCGTTTCCCATAAAAATCGCAAGAAGAATTCAAGGTGAAGAAGTGACCAGGCTTCCGTTCTAACAGAGGTATTCGAGGTAGTGGTTGTCGCGTGAGAGAGGCGAGATGAGATGAATTGGTGATAGGAACCGAACCGGATTCTTTTCGATGATCGTCTTTAAATCGTATTGAATATCCGGTAAATACCAATCGTCTATCGTCCTATCCCATTCGACCAAGACAAGTAGAGAAGTAATCTATCGAGTTCGACTATGCGCCGTATTGTAGTCGGACTTGTAGAGAACGGATAGCGTGACCACGGGGATATTTAAGATGACGTTGAGAAGATATTGGATTGGTGGTCTGATCAATGGGGCGAGGGTCAACCCTCAAAAGCAACGCATCTTGAGGCGCAAACAAATCTAAGAAAGAGAAAAGGAAAAAAAAAAAAGAAAAGAAAAGAAAAGAAAGAAAAGAAAAAAAGAAAGTCAAGAGTAGTAGAAGAAAAGACAAATAAAAAAGATGGAAAGAGACCGTCGACGGAGGAAAGGTGATCTTGTTGAGAGGGAGTGCGGAGTTGGAGTGAGCGGCGGCGCAGCAGCTCTTTCGCTGGGTCCGATCGGAAGTGGTGGTTGGGTAGTACTGGTACTGTATGTAACCGTACTCCGTACTTGCAGATGATAAAAATCCGTTAATGGAGAAGGGGAAGGAGAGAGAGAGAGAGAGAGAGAGAGAGAGAGTAGTATATAAGTATAAGAGCAGAAAACACGAAGACGTTGTACGAGACAAGAGAGTTCGTTCACGAAGAGGGGACACAATGAGCCACGGGTCAAGCAAGGCAAAAGTAGTTAGAACCTGAGTTCCTGTACTCTTGTACAATACAGACACAGAGAGTTGTTAATGAGAAGAGAAACTTGTATGAATTCTGCAGGTAATTTGTTAAATAATCATTCTCTGGCCATGTACATGAACGTCATGCCATCGGTCTGTACTTTTGCCTCCTTACTACCACTAGCTCCATGCAATTAGTACCACCGTGTACCACGCCGTATCCGTACCGTATGTGACCGCATATTACCAAATTGCGGGGAAAGCTCTAGTGCAGCTGACTCATCAGCCCGGCCCAGTCCAGCCTTTTTTTTTTTTTTTTTTTCCTTTACTTTCCATTTACAACATCTTGTTTCATTGGATACAGTCGGGATACATTATCCCCAATTGCACAGAGTCCAAATATAACTCTGTGATAGTCGCCATTGCGGACCCATGGTTACCAGCTTGTTGCGGAGTACTTGTAGTAGTTACTAGTAGCACGGGATCTACCCAGGACGCTTGTAACGTCGGCAGCCACTGTCCACGGATCGCCCCGGGCAAGCAGTTGTGACGTTGTGTGGACAAGTTGCATTGGCTCAAGAGGCGGGGGGAAAAGACTCTCTTTGGAACGACTCCGGTTGATGTATCAGTGAACCCTGGTCTTGATGCACGCGATTATAAGGATTGTTTGCTATCAGACTTGGTTCCGAGTCTCTTCTGATTTACCCTTACCCCTCTTCTCTGCACCGGTTCTTCATGCACTCCCCGGCGAATGGCCCGCGCTCCGGCATTCCATGCACATAATACAAGGAGCATAGCTGGGTATGACAGTCGATTCCTTCAATACAGTACAAATGGTCTGGTGATTTTTCTATCCGATTAAACAAAAACCTCACGTGGTATATACTCTTCATATGAAACCAAAAAAAAAAAAAAAAAAAAAAAAAGGAAAAAAAAAAAAAAAAAAAAAAAAAAAAAAAACAAAAAAAAAAAAAAAAAAAAAGAAAGGTAAAAAGAGAGAAAATCAAGCAACCGTATCCAAACTACCCTTGCCTACTGTACCCGCAGTCGCCTCCGCCCCCTTCTGCTGGCGCAGCTTCTCCTCAAACCGCGCAAATTCATGCATCGAAATCTCTTCCTCCTGGTCCATGACCTGCTCAACACCCTGGACTTCCTCGATCTGCAATCTATTAGTTTGAATTCATCCATATCCATCGGGAAGCAAACATACGTAGTGCATAAGCATCGACTCAATACCATTCTTCAACGTCACTGTGCTCGAGTCGCACGTCCGGCATGCACCCCGCAACTTCAGCATGACAATGCCATCCTCAAAGCCCCGAAGCTCAATGTCGCCTCCGTCTTCCTGGATCGCAGGTCGAATCCGGGTCTCCAAAAGCTCCTTAATCATGCTGACAACCTCTTCTTCATCCTCATTGTAGGCCAGCGACTCCTCGCCACCACCTTCCTGGCCTTGTTCAGCAGCGCTCTTTTCTATAGTGTTGACGATCGGCTCGCCGGAGGTCACGGTTTGTGTGATTATGCTAAACACTTCCGGCTTGATGTGCGCCCAGTTCGCATCGCTCGCCTTGGTCACTGTGATAAAGTCGTTTCCATAGAAGACAGACGAGACGCCGTCAACATTCAGCAAATGCGCCGCCAGCGGGGAGGGGTGAGGAGGCGCAACCGTCGACCGAGGAGAGAGGTATTCGATAAATGTAGTCGGGAAACCTTCGGGAAGAATGGGGTGGTTGGGAATGAATTTCAATGCCTAGCAGCGTCATAAATTAGCAACAATTCTCATAGTTCGGATCAAAGCTGACAACTTACATCCGGGTTAGGTGTGTTCTCCGTCTGAATAAAGATGGTGCGCTTGCTAGTCGGCGAGGGTCCGTTAACCCGGGAATGAGCAGCAGGCTGGTGATGAGGACGCAGCGCCGGTCTGCGTCGGATCTCAGAGGCCGTCATTGCAGGCAATCGTGCCGACTGATGAACGGCTCTGTAGGAACCCAATGCAGGGCTTCTAACCGACCGGGAAGTCACCTCTGCGGCGTTCCACGGGGCCGCCAGTCTGGTGCTGAAGATTGTCCGCCTGAGCATGATTCCAGATGCTGAGCTCACTGACATCTTAATTGTATAGATCAATGGACAAAACGCAATGTTGACAAAATAGTTGTTTTGAGGCGAGAGTTGGATGAGTTCAGGATATTTTTTTGCCATGTCCGGACTCTGACGCAATAAATCCCACGTGAGTGGCTATTCCGCGGGAATCAATGCTGACAAATGCGTGCACCAATCAGATCAATTCTATTTACTACTGCGAGCGAGTCGACTCAACTCGAACTCGAACTCGGTTTTCAACTCGTTTGAGAACTCGTGAGTTCTCGCTCGTAGCCCGGAGTAATAATGTCACCGTTTTTTTTTTTTTAAAAAAAAAAAAAAAAGAAAAAAAAGAAAAAAAAATTTAATCCGATCCTCCCCCCAGGTGCACAGCACAACCCATACACTTTTGTGTGCTGAATTTCTTCCCTCCATTTATATCGCAATAAATCGAGGCCATTCAATGGAAAGAACCTGTACACTCCAAGCTCAAGGTACTCTCTGCCCACTTCAAACCTACTCCTCACGACCGGGCTCGCCAGCTTCATCGGCGCTGATACAATAACCTTATTCGTACACCTTGGCCACAAGACATCTCTGAATGGTTAATTAAGTGGGAGTCATTCCTTGATGAGGTGCATGGCGCGGGGGAGCCCTCGCTAGAGGCAAAGCGTTCTTCAAATCGAGAGGCGATCTCCTGCTTTATGGATGCTATCGCGCCTATTGATACCTTTTGTGCTACGGCTACGCGCCTTACAGCCAGCCTTACCATCCGTGACGTACTCAGGAACTATGGCAGACGCCATGAGTGCCAGCTGCAGGAAGCGCGTTATACCTCGATGCTCCATTAGGGAGGGTTTTTCTTCAATGATCAGGAAGCAGAATAGAGAGTCTGGTCACGGTAGTGATATGCGATAGAAGCATTACTAGGCTTGGGAGTTGCATCGGTTTAGCAATGATCTATGATGAGGGTGGGTTGACTATGGGGTACAGTACCTAGATTTAGACTAACTATTATTATTCTAATGATAAAATATACTATAAAAGTGGACATAGCATCCCACGATCTATTGTTCTCTGAGCTATGTACAGATAACTATGTATAGCAGACGACTCCGCGCTTCACATTGAACTGTCCCGGCGAATGACATCTTTCAAGAAAAAGTAAAAGAAAGAAAAAACTCAATTAATAAGAACCAAACTGGTTGGCAGCTTATCCGCTCATAGTTTAAAAGAATACCGGTGTCCGTCACGCACAAGCCATGAGGAGCTAACCCTGTTTAGACACTGAGTGCGAGCTGCCAATCCCCATCTCCACCCACGCCAATGCCATATATAAAACCAACCACTACGTATTCCGTACACCCCAGATGCCCATAAAAACAACCTCGATCCCCCATTAAGTAAGCACAGCAGGTGCCTCACCTGCCGCCATATCCTGTTGATACTGCTCATCAACCTGCTCCGGCGGAGTAGGCGACCTCCTCTTTTGCGACAACCGATACTGCGGCCATACCATGTCCTTCAGAAACACGCCGATCGCGAATCCCACCTGTGGCAGATGCATAAATACCGCCTGGCACCATTTTATCTTCTCGCTCGACTGCTCGACTTGGAAGAATTGTGTGCTTTGGCTCAAGGGCGCTAGGAGCATTTGTCCGCCTAGTGCTTTCATGTTCGGTTGCAGGCAGTATGCTGCTGCGCGGCAGACTTCTGTCGCATAGACGGCGGTTAGGGCGATGAAGTCGACTTGGTTCTGTGTACCGGTTGAAGGAGGGGTAGAGGTTTCGGCGGTTTCGATGGACGGATAATATGAGGATGTGGAGGCAGGGCTTCCGAATTGACTAAGACCAGGGCTGATAAAGTCGAACAGTTGGTTGATCAAGGGGTAAAGCAAAACAAGGGTTGTCCAATATATCAAGTGCGATTCGGCACAGGTGAGCGATGGGAAGTTGAGAGGCTGGGAAAAGAAGTCTTTTGGGACAGCGGTTCTGAATGCCCTCAGGATACTGGCGTCGCGTGGGAGTGGAGACGGCACTCCAAGTTTGGTCTGCATCCAGATGCAAGTATTGTGCAGCTTGTCCTCGAGCGACAGACACGAGTGCAACAGGCGTTCCCCTACTCGTCGAGAGCCTCTAACCACATACCCCTGGCCGAGGAAAGTGTCTACTTCCTCAATGAGAGCCGTGCATTCGATCAATATGTCGATGAATATATCGATGGGTTCGGGTGCAAGCGCGTTCTTGTCTCCCGGCTCACTAGACCGAGTCGGAATGTTATAGCGCCATGGGGATTTCCGTTTCCCAATCGCATCGCACAGCTACAACGATCAGCCATCGACCCGCAAACAGAGAGATAACAATACTCACGATGACAAATCTGAGCTGACGGAGGAATAGGTTTTCAGCAACGGCTTCCTTACTTCGCCCGCTGCACTGCTGTATCAAAGCGTTACTTCCCTGGACATGCGCCAGCCACGCAGGGAATCCAGATGGAGAGCAGTTGATCAACTGGTTTACACATTAGCAACCAACCCCTACCGAGAACCCGGGTACGCGCCACTTACTTCATATACCTGGAAAATGATCGTGGCATACAAGAGATCCTTGCCCAATCCTTTACCCATCATGATCTTCCCATGGAGGAGTTCCATTGCTTGGCTGTAAAGCTTGGTGCTGTACTGCAGCAACCGATCATCACGGTTGTTCTTTGCGACAAACGCCGAACAAAGCGAAATGACTGCCTTATCCAGGAGCGGACTACCCCCTACCAGATCTGGGAGAGTCTCATAGAGATTCTTATTCGTCTTCAACAACTGCGCTGGGGGCAGGAAACTGTTGATGAAAGACGCCAACAATTGAGATCGGACCTCGAGCCGCGCATTGAATCGAGGGACCTGCTCCACAGGATCGATCGCAACTATTGCTCCAGCAGGCCTGTTACTTTGTGCAACGTCCTTTCTCTTTGGCCGCTGGGCCTTTTGCGAATCATTGACCGCAGAGGCAGACTTGTGGATGAAGACCCTCTGTCTTTCATAACCGGTGCAGATATGGCCATTCTTGACGCACCGAAGACATTCGGGCTTGGCTTCATCGCACTATACATCTCGTCAGCGCTATTAGCGCATCTTCAAGACTGGCATCGTCGCATATAAATCCGTAGTCCAAGGAGCAGCTCACCTTGACTTTCCTCCGCCGGCAGGTATTACACCCGGTTGATTTGAATGGAATTCCACCCATGGTCTGTCATCATTCCATACCCCATAAAATCATGTCAACAGGCCAAAGACATTCAATTGATCCCTGTCGCTGTATGTCTTGACCCGTGATTCCCCTCGATTGGCGAGTGGTGGCGAACGTTTGCGGTCTTTCACGTGACATAACCGCAAGGATTCCTCTTTTGGGCGGGAGCCGAGATCTGGACCTTAATTTTTGGCTTCAACGACGAGTTTTGTTAAGGCTGAATACTACGTAGCTTGCTAGTTTTGCTGGTTTCCTTCGACGCTCATGAGCAACGAAGTCCGAGGGCTTAACAAATAGCAGCAGCGCAGCTTCTGACGTTTTCGCGAACCAGCACTCTACGGTGTCATATCAGCGCTCGACATCAAAATGGCGGTTACTTGCGAGGTTTGTTCTTCGGAACAATCCAAATATCGATGCCCTACCTGCGGGCTTATGAGGTACGTCTCCTTTCCGAATCCTGCGAATATGTACTTGGGACATCTCTAACACGACCAGTTGCTCGCTTGGCTGCACACAATCGCACAAGATCTACTGCACACCAAAACCTCAGGAACAGACCTCCTCGAATAACCATAACCCCCCTCAACCCGATACAGACGCGAACGACCCCGCAACCTCAAAGAAGCAGAATGACGACCGCCCCGACCCAGCGGCAGTGCTCAAATCACCAGACCTCGAACCTCTCCTCAACCGATATCCCCAACTCCGAGCCCAATTGCGCGATATTTACAAGACCTCATTGGAGGAGGAATGGGTCGAGCTACAATACAAACCTCAGGCAGGCCGGGGACGCGCGAATGTAAGAGGAGGGAGAGGCGGATATCGCAATCGGGGACCTTGGACCCGGGAGAAGGGGTTTAATCGGGGTCTAGGGAAAGTGAGGAAATATAGGGAACAATGCGAGGCTGGGTTGGAAATTGGGAAGGACGCGGAAGGGTTTATGCGATTTGTCGCGCTGGTCAATGGCAGTGGCAATGGTGATGATCCGTCGCTGTCCCAGGAACCGGCGTGATGGAACTGGATTAGGAAAATGGATACCCCTGGGAGATTTTGTTTCTTTTTACAGGATTCCGATCACCACGTGGCAGATGGAGAGCTTTGCTATGCTATTTTTCAGGTACGGAGTGACCGATGGCAAAGGCGAGCTGGGACAGCTTTACTGCGGATTTACGTTATATGTGGGTTTGCTGGGCGGTGGCAACATCTGATGAAGCTACGGAAGATGTGCTCTAAAGGTGATCATTGGTAAAGCTTCAAAGTAAAGCTTTATTTCGAACACTAGCCACAACAGCAAAGACCGGCAAAGCCCACAAAAAATTAGAGAAACAAAACGTGGGTCAAGGCAGTGTCTACTGAAATGAACAGAGGCCACGATACATCTTCAAGCCCCAAACTTCGGGTCCAGGTCCAGATCCGGGCTGCCCGCTGTCAATTGATTCAAATCCAGTTCTTCTCAAGCTGAGCTCTCTCTGCCGGCTTGTACTATTCCCCGACCCACTCCGGCATTAGAGTGTTTCTTTGTTCGGAAATATGGGTTCGGGATCCTTCCAGTTGGCTGGGCTGGATCTGGATAGAATTCGTCCACTAAAAAAGAAAAGAAAAGGCCCCAGTCTCGGCCCATGTCTTTGGAGATTTCGGCTAGATTTTAGACACCAATCACGACGGCGGTGTGCTCCGTCGAGGATTCCCCGAATAAGACTAGAGACGCTGCACTCCGTACACAAGGCAAAGGATTCTGACTCGTTAGTCGTGTGATAGGTTGTCTGATTTGGAATCGCCAAAGCACTTCAGGATATTTGTACAGTTAGTACTGCATCCAGTGTGTTCAGAAATGCAGCGGCCAACTTGAACTGGTCCGAGTGTCCAGCTCCCTGTCGGAGTACAAGCATGTACATATTCTATGTATGTATGCCTATTCCAGTCCGTTAATCGGAACGAATGTGATTGGGGGACCATTAAACGAGAACTTGTTTTTCTTTCCATTCTTATTTGCTGCTCGGGAGAAATGGTGTTTGAGAGAGAAAAAGAACTTCCGCAAAGGATTCTCCAAACGGGTGAGCCAAAAAAGTAAAGAAAAATCCACAGGGTCATCGTCGGCTCCCGACAAGCAAACATCTCTGCCAATGACTGTGAGTTTATATAAATCGGAAAAGACGGAGCTGTGGTGTTCAAAGCGAGTAAAAGCACGCAGGACAGTCGGGTTTTCTGTGTGGACAGTGGACAGTGAGAAATATGCAGCCAGTCTCGTCTAGATGCACGTACCAAGTAGCGAGGATGGAGCATCACTGGAGTACAATGTACGGACTGAGGGAAAAAAGAGAAAAAGAGAATGCTTGACGACGAAGAAACTCCGGCCGATCTCAAGCCAAAACTCAATCATGTTTGTTCTCAGCCTGCTCCATATTTGCTTAGACTTAACTATGCAGTTATGGTTGGTAAAGGGCGGCGGGGTATTATCATAAGGAGACTTTCTTCCTTCGTATCTTTACTGGTAGCCATATGAATATCCTTCCTTATTCTCTCATCTTTTCTTTTTCTTTTTCTTTTTTTTTCATTTCCTTTAAACATTTGTTTTGCTCCACGCGAAGATCCGTAGCAGCGGACACACCGTGGGGATAGCAAGTACAGTAAGTAATAGTAACTGGCTGTTATTGCTGTTGTTGTTATTACAGTGCAGTATTTCTATTTGCCTTCCTGTCATCGTTCCTTTAAAGCGAGTTTATTTATATTTCACTTATTTGCTGTTATTATTACATTATCAACCATTATATTACTGCATATTCGCCGTTGCGGAGTGTAGTGCCGGAACAGCGTCGCGTCCGGAGTACATTTTCGCTTCCGACTCAATGAGACTTCAATCCTCCCGCTTGTCTCGCTCAATTGCGGCTCATTGCTTATCTTGACTCTGTTTCATTTTCTGTCAGTCTCTCCCGTCGGACTTCTTTCAGTTTCAGTCAAAGAATCTCCGGGAAAAAAAAAAGAAATCAAAGGCCGAGTCGCGGGGGCCGTTTATCCCACAAAGTTGCGGCTCAGAACCACTTGCTCCTACTACCACTACTTCACCTTCTCGACTCTCCCACCTTGGAAATTTCTTGGGCGACAATGGATAAGCCGGTCGGGTCTCAATATCTCACCTAGTCAAGTCACCACTTGCGCCCTCCCGATTTTGTCCGCCGTTCGATTTCGTTCCCATTCATTCCCCTGGCGTCGCACTGTCCATCTGTTCCGCGCAGACTACTCTCCTCTATACCACCAATCGTTTATTGCCAGCACCTACCACCCTCCCTCTCCTACTCGCCACAGTCATCACTCCCCCCTGGGCTATCTCCCGAGCATGACTTTCCAGCAGATTCGGAGAGAACGTGCTTCCAGCGACAAAGCCCAGGGTCTGCCATCGGTTTCCGTTCCGCAACGTCCTAGTCTACCCAGCAGAACCAATTCCGCTCCGGTTGGGGCGCTCTTTCAACTGGATTCTTCTTCGAAAATGACATCGATGACGACCAAGGATGCCGGCTTGAAGAAACTCGTACGGCAACAGACTGTCCCGGAGGAGGAAATGTTGTCTACTACTGGGAGCCCCACCGCCATCGCGCAGCGTGTGAGCGACGAGGTATGGTTTACTTGGACTGAAGGGTTATATTCCGGGGACCTAGGCTAATTGTGGTATTTCGGGGTGATACAGTCATTGGTAAAGCCGGATCTTCCCCATGTGACAATTGCCGTTGCTGGTTGTGACGGGGCGGGCAAGACGACATTCATCACCAGTGCGCTAGATATGAGGCAGCCGTTCAAGGGCCGACAGACAACGAAGAAGATGTCATTGGATGGATCTGTCTACCTGGTTCGCGTGTTGGAGCTGTCAACCACTGAGATCACGCCTGACCCCAAGGGCCCTGTCTGGCCTCGGTTTGGCAGTGATCCGTCACCTCCTACAATAGATGGTGTACTCGTCCTACATGATATCACCCAGCCGTCGACTTTCCTGGAAACTGCGAAGCTATTAGGTGCGTCTATATTACCGTTATCTGTCTACCCCGGGCAGAGTGTTGTACATTGTCCTCCGTTTGAGTCAACAAAGAGTGCTGTGGCTGATTGATGAATCATTTTGCCTTCGCAGATTCCGTGGCTGCCTCTTCACTTCCGTTTGTAGTGCTTGCCAGCAAGAGCGACGTTGTTCCAACTCATAATGGGGTCCGCGACCCTGTCCTCGAACGATATGAAATCCACAAAGCAACGCCAGAATCGCCGCGATCGCAAAAGATGTGTATAGCACTGGTGTTGCGATCTGTTGTCAATAACAAACGTGGTAAGTGCTGTTCACGCGGGTTTTGCGATCTGGAGATCGCTTGCTTTTTTTTTTTTTTTTTTTTTCTTTCTTTGCCCTTTCTTCTTATCTACGACTTTCGCACGCAATACATCATGTCTTCCCCCCAAAAGCAGCTCGTGCTGGTTGCGAAGCTTGGGACAATCACCCCTTTTTGGCGGTCTACCCATGGTCGCGCTAATCCGCGGGCACCAAGCCCTTCTGCGCACTGCGGCCCTTTGTCTCGCCCGCCGATCAAACGTGGTGGTGGTGCAGCATGTGCCCGACACTAAAAGCCTTTTGCATCCCCGTGGCTTTAGGGATTCGATCATAGTACTGACGGTTCTTTCACGTTGATTTAGACATTGCGCTCTCGCATAACGGCCAAGCCAACAAAGCCGTCACCGGGAACTCGTCGCAAACTTCCTTACAAGCCAATCCCCCTATCGCACACGGATTTCCTCATCACGCTCGTGCGAATCAAGAACCAGCCGCTGGCGGCCCAACAACTACTAGTTCTACTGCTCCAGCTCAAGGAGTAGACGGAAGCGGTGAGATCAGCAGGCCCACAGACCAGCTGAATACTAGCAGTGGTGCTACAAATACCGGTGCCACCTCGAACGTCTCTTCAAATAATGCGCATGGCTCGTTCAGGTACGCCCGGAGCAATTCGAACCCTATGCGACCGCAGACTCCGCCCTCTGGGACTCTATTGAATCCGCGCGACCCTTCGGCTTCAAATGGGAGTTCGCCCAACAAGGATCTCAATCGACAACAGCGACTACATAGCGAGTGGCGGAACAGTGGTGGCTCGGATGCCTTCGACAACTTCTTGGCTATGGAAGAGGAGATTGATGGACCGCGGAGCGCTCCGCCCAGTCCTGACGGGAGCAGAGACAAGCCCAACGACGGGACCTCAAGCGATGTCGGTTACACGTTCGATGGGCTCGTTGATCGCCTAGTGTCGCAACCGGTATCAAGGCAGGACTCGAAATTTGCGGCCATATTTTTGTGTCTTTATCGCAAATTTGCGGCCCCCGCACAGCTCCTCAATGCGCTGATTAAGCGATTCGACCGGAACGAGAAGAATAATACCGACCAGCTCTCGCGCATTGCCGATCAGCTCCAGCTGCTAAATGTCATGGCTCAATGGGTGTCGGAGTACCCAGGGGATTTGGCGCACCCACGTACCCGGAAGCGGATAGTGGATTTTGTCTCGGCGCTGGAGCGCAGCCATTTCTACATGTTCGCTGCGAAGGAGGTTAGCTCATATCTCGAAATACCGGCGGAAGACGATGATGTGGGCTGGCCGTTCTCGGACAGAGGTATTGAAGAGTTGAATATCCCGGACACCCCGTTGGTTAGCTCGGGTCGGAACTCGCCATCGACTTTCCTCGGCGGTCCAACACCTACCCCGCAGGAGGAGGAGGAAGAGGAGGAAGAAGATCCCATCTACAACCTTAGCGCAGTGGATTTGAGTGAGGGGTTAACGGACCCATCAATGAAGCTATCCGGACCACCATCGAGCTCGTCGCTGGTTGAGAAGCCCGGCAGCATCGTGAGCCAATCTTTCACGCTTCTGAGTACCGAGGCTGCACAGAAAGAAGCTCCCCATTTGGAACTCTCGCCGATGATCCCGATTTCCAAGATCGTATGGCGGCAATTCATGGATTTCTCAGACGAAGACGTTGCGCGGGAATTGACAAGGATCGACTGGGTTATGTTCAATTCATTCCGGCCACGGGACCTTGTGCGCCATGTTAGCATTTCGGGGCCGGATAAGGATAAGATTAAGAGTCTGCAGAATGTCAATCGGATGATCAAGCAGTTCAACCATTTGGCTTTCTTTGTTGCGAGCATGATTTTGCTTCGCGACAAGCCTAAGCATCGGGCTAGGGCGCTGGAGCGGTTCATGAACATTGCATTGGTGAGTTTACCCCCGTGGTGTATCTCTAATAAATACTAACTAGTCAGAAACTGCGCCGCCTGAACAATTACAACTCTCTTGGAGCAGTAATAGCCGGAATCAACGGGACACCGGTCCACCGACTCTCGCAAACCCGCGACCAAGTTCCCGTCCAGGTCCAAAAGGATTTCATGAGGCTGGTTATCCTCATGGGAACCCAGAAGAGCCACTTTGCTTATCGATTGGCATGGGACAACTCATTCTCCGAACGAATCCCGTTTCTGCCTTTGCACCGCCGCGATCTGGTTTCCGCCGAAGAGGGGAACAAGACCTTCATCGGCGAATGCAAATCGCGGATCAACTGGAAGAAGTTTGAAGTTATGGGTGAAGTCGTGCTGTGTATTCAACGGAGTCAGAAGACACCTTACTCCCAGATGCACCGGTACGATGACATCCAGCGGTTGACTCTGGATATCAAGCTGGCTGGTGATGAAGAGGTATGTTCCCATCTGTTCATCAGTTCTCCTGACGTCGTTACTAACAAATGCAGGAACTGTATGCCCGCAGCATGCACGTCGAACCATCAGCTGGTGGTGAAACCGGACGCAAGAAGTTCGGTTGGTTACGCTCGTAGCCTCTTTCCCTCCTACCCTTCTTTTACATTTCCACCTTATCTACTACAGCGGTATTTTCTATATCGTATTTTACTTATTTCGACGAAAAGTTGGAGCGACGGCGACGGGGTTTGTTTCAGTTTCACATGTCTATACCATACAGTTGTGATGCCGATATGATTTTGACGCGATGGGATGGGATTTTACTCTTGGCTTGGGAGGTGATAGTGTTTTAGCGATTGTACATTGTACATATGGAATACATAATAATCAGCATTATCTTGATAGACAAGTAGGTCTATGGAGTATGGACTAAGGGCACGTATCACGTGATATCCACCTCCGATCATTCTGCGCCCTTCAACGACTCTCCGCCCTCTTCACCTCACCTCTCCCCAAATAAAAGCCAAAAGCCAAAAGAAAAAAGAAAAAAGAAAGAAAAAGAAACCCACCAAAATGCCCCTAACCCCGCACGCCCGCTCAACCTACCGCGCCCTCCTCCGCGAACATCCACGCCGCTCCCTCCCAAAAACCAACACCACCACACCCCTCCACGCCCGTCTCCGCGACCACTTCCGGACCACCGCGGCAACACCGCAATTCACAAACGTCGCGACAAACCCGAACACAAGCGAGACGGGGGAATGGGAGAAGATGAAGGGCAGGGTGCAGGAGGCGGAGCAGTTGGCGGTTTATGTGAGGGCGCAGAGGACGTATAAGGCGTTGCTGGAGAGGTATAATCCGGGGATGGGGATGGATGAGGAGGAGAGGGTTAGGCTTACGGCTAGGAGGGTGGGGTGGGATTTACCGGTTGTTGGTGGGGAGGGGGGGAAGAAGTGAGCGGATTGTGATGGGTGTGATGGATGGGTTGGAGTGGGTTATGTGATTGTGGATGAGGAGGGTACTGTCTACAGGGTACGGAGTACCAGGTGTCTAAAAGTACGACTAATGCTTTGGTTGGATACCTCTTTATGGTCATGTATTATATTATGTTCTTGTCAATTAACATGGGTTCTTTGGTGGTTTATTTGCATGCGAAAGAGCGGATATATCTTGGAGTACGGACATGAAGGAATGCATTATCTCATCCATAATTTTCGGCCATCAATATCCGCTATCTAATGATGTGGGTTAGGAATGGCTAGCCCTGGGTTGTTGGCATCGATGATTTGAGTATGCCTTGACTGTCCCGATTTGATTGCAGATAGTCAGTTCTTGTTAACTGTGGTTTCGGCTTGCTTGTTTAATCCGATGACTGCGGGTATTGCATCGTGTGGGATTTGGCTTGACTGACTTGACGGTATCAAGACCGGATCGTCCTCTTCATATGCCAGGCCGAGGCCGGTAGTGAACTGCTCCTGTTCGTAGTTGGAATGGATATGGACTCAATAAAGTCCACTTGTCTGATAACTAAAACCAGCAGAATGTCTTAACCAGACGTCAACTGAACCTGCTCCATCTGCCTCATAAGCGTCGAACTGCTCTCCTCATCCTCCATCCCAACCCCAACCTCAATAGCAGTCTTGGGCCGATTCTTATTAAGCCCCTCCAGCAACGAACAAGCCTTGCAAATCTTCTGACTCGAGATATATCCGCAGCGCTCACACTTGCCCATAGACTGCGCCTTGACCTGCTTCGGTGTCCGGCTTTTATCAGGGTTCTTGGTCTTCTTCTTCGGCGCTGCCGCTGGAAGCTGGATCTCGGTTTCGCGGGATACTGCGGTGTCATCTTCGGCTAGTTTCTTTTCCATCTCTGCCATTTCGCCGCCGCTGGAACGTCCATTTTGGCTACCGCAGCCCCCGGGTGTGTCGTCCTCTGCAGCCACAGCTGCGGCAGCAGGTTTCTTGGTTCCCCCATTAACCTCCGGAGGAACAAGTAGCGCCATATCCTCGCCACTCTTCACAATATCCAAAATCGAACTGGGCCTAATCTTCTCCAAATCCTTAATCAACGTCCTCGCACTCCCCCGAAACGCCTCCGGCGAGTAAATACACTCCGTACTGAAATAATCCAACTTCTTATGATGCGCATACAGCACAATCTCCTTCTCATAAGCGTACTTGAGCGGCTTACTGCGCTTAATATCCGACGCCCCAGAGTCCGTAACGATACTCGTACCCCGTGATAATCTCGGCAGATCACCACGCAGCAGGTTCATCATGACCGTCTCCGCGACGTCGTCAGCATTATGCCCCGTCACGACATGCTTGATGCCCAGTCTCGCGGCGCCGCGGTCTAGCGCTTGTCGTCGGAAGACACCGCAGTATGTACAGTTGCCCTTTTTACCAACCTGCGCGACGACCTGGTCCATCGTCCACCCATATAACTCCCCGTATCCAACGATCTCGAGCGGCATGTCATACTGCACCGCGTTGCGCTTGACAGTCTCCAGACTATCATCGCGATAACCCTTGATTCCCTCATCGATCGACAACAGACATAATTGCAACCCGTAATCGTAGCGCTCGTTCAGGGTCTTCATAACAGAGGCGAGTACTGTGCTGTCTTTTCCGCCGGACGCGCCGATGGCGACTCGTTCGTTGCGGTGGAAGAGGGAGGAAGAGGTGATGGTTTCGTGGACTTCGGTTTCGAAGATGGTCAGGAAGCAGGTTTTGCAGAGTTTTTGGCGGTTTTTGGGCCGGATAATCACGGCGCGTGTGGTTTCGCAGTTGGCGCAGAGGCTGGGTGGCATTTTGGTTTATTTTCTGGTTGAGATGGGAGAGTGAGTAAAAATTCTGGGGAAGATAAAAAAGATAAAAGATGACCCCGCTGTTGTGCCTGCATAAGTTTGTGCTTACTCAGCATAAGTTTTGTGCAATGGCAGCGTAGCAATAGTAAGACATTCAATTGTACATTCGTCTGTTCACTCTGCTATTATGTACATTATTAAATACTATAGCACCCAGGCCATCAATGCATTATATACATGACAACATTCTCAATGAACCATTCCTCAACATAACAACTCAGAACCACTCATAAACCTGTGCAATCGCATTACAGTTTCATCTGCAACAAGTTCTTAATCATCTCGCGACCGGTAATCCGCGAAGTCGCCCACAAAGTCGGGAAGTCAAGGGTGCTCGAGAAAGTGTCCGCGTATCCGAAGAACAGCATGGGGGGGATCCATCCACGGGCGTACTCAAGCGCAAAGCACGACTCGTCCATCTTGTACTGCTTGACCTCGCCGCGGCGCAGGTGGTGCACCGTGCCCTGCGGGTAGACCTCGGGCTCGTAGGATCCGGGGATGTAGGCGAGCTGGGTGCCCTGGAGGATGTTGAAGTAGTCATCGGCGGTGTGACGGCCGGTGTGACCTTCGGTGCCGATGGCGGTGCCGAAGACGATCAGGTATTCAGTGATACCTATTGGAGTGGGTTAGTGATGGTGATCCAAGGACGCGCAGGTTTGGTTCCAGGACCGTGGGTTCTTATCCATGGAACCGGACCAACACACAACAACAGGGGGTAAAAAAAAAAAAAAAAAAAGAAACTTACTGGCATGGATAATGTACATGGCACCCATAGCACCACCGGCATTGTTGAAAACCCATTCCTCTTCCTTATTCACGAACTGGCTGGGCACCTTCTGATCCAACTCAGAGACGATGTAGTTGACAACCGAGCGAGTGTCATTTCCGTGAGCTGCAATGGCGCGCTGGGAGACATCATGCAATTGACCGGGTTCGAAGATGTAGAATTGCTCAAGACGCGCGTTGAGATAGGAGTAGAGAGCTGAGAAGAGAGCCAGGAAGACGGCGAGGATGCTCAGGCAGCGCAAGGAGAGGCAGCGGCAGGACTTGCCTGCGCTGTTTTGCGAACGAGAAGACTTGGACATTTTCAAGGTGGAATTGAATTGATATTCCAGAGAGGTGTGAAGGAGAGGAGAGAAGAAGAAATAAAAGAAAAACAGAAGATCTGTTATTGTTGAGGCGGCAAGAAACTCGGTAAGAAAATCATCCGCTCAGGCCACTTGATTGGTGGTCAGCACTCAACTAACATCTCAACCATTGCCATTTCGACTGCCAGCTCATTGAATTGCTGTCGTATTCATTGTCATTGAGAATTCATATCTATATGGCTGTCATGCTGAGGGTCTTCAGTAAAGCTCCGATAGACATCGATAGAGATGAGACGAGACGAGCCGAGGTTATGGGGCATTCTGAAGACAAGCTCAGACTCTTATTTTATGATACAGATCTAAGATGAACTGGAGCAATGCTAATAATAACAGGTACAGCGACCTTCAGAGAGGACCGGCTAGTTCATAGATGAATTCGGACCAACAACTGCTCTCGGTTAGTGTGAAACAGGAGAATCCGTACTCATCAAGCCGGGTAATATATTGCACTATATTGACAGCTTCAAGGCAAACAAACCAGGGAACGCGAGAATGTTCGCCGTTTCACCCCGTGTCATGATGGGTCGGTTATATTGGATAGTCTCGGGTTGATTGATAACAAAATTGGATGAAGATGGCCGGTTAATATACCTGGTTTTGATGAACTCCTTGAAAAAAGATATAAAATGCTCTCCTAGACGTCCATCTTCTTCACGAATTCGGTTATCACAAGCAGGATCTTGTATCGTCATTCATTAACCACAATCAAAATGAAGTCTATCGCCGCGCTTACTTCTCTCCTTTCGCTCACCACGGCGGCCGTCATCCCCAACTCCCTCACCCGCCGGGCTGATCTCTGCGACCAGTATGCCCAGTCGAACGAAGGCGATTTTATCCTTTACAACAACGCCTGGGGCAAGGACAACGCCGACAGTGGTTCGCAGTGCATGGGGCTGGACTCCGTCAACGGCGACACCATCTCGTGGCACTCAACCTGGTCGTGGGAAGGCGGCGACGGCTCCGTGAAGAGCTTCCCCAATGCGGCCTATCAGTTTGACGCAAAGACGCTGGATAGCGTGTCGAGCATGACCACCAAGTGGGAGTGGAGGTAGGCAGGCAATAAGAAACATGAATTTGAAGGGAAAAAAAAAAAAAAAAAAAAAAACTGACAGAAATAGCTACACTGGCTCTGACCTCGTGGCCGACGTCGCCTACGACATGTTCCTCTCCTCGTCCGCCGACGGCGACGCTGAGTATGAGATCATGGTCTGGTTGGCTGCCCTGGGCGGCGCAGGCCCCATCTCCTCGACCGGCCAGTCCGTCGCGACCACAACGATTGGCGGCGTCTCGTTCGACCTGTGGTCTGGCAAGAACGGTAACATGCAAGTGTACAGCTTTGTTGCCTCGTCGGAAGCCCAGAGCTTCTCAGGTGACTTGCTGGACTTCTTCCAGTACCTGGAGCAGAACCAGGGACTTCAGTCGAGCCTGTACCTAACGGACGTGCAGGCAGGCACGGAGCCATTCACAGGCTCGGACGCGGAGTTCACGACATCCACTTACTCGGTGACTGTCGCTTGAATGATTCCTGCCTAATTATTTGTGGCGATCGTTTGGCTGATACTGATACGGAGGTGGAATGTGAAACTTGTATATACATAGTACGGGTACTTTGTACCGCCACCCCAATGCAATAAAGTTTTAATGAAGAACAGACAGCCATTGGCGAGATGATCGTCTCACGAGTCGCCTGTTGAAACACGCTTCTTTTGCGTGCTGGCCACTAGATCATGCCAGGTGATGTCGATGCGAAACAGTCGACGCGCCGACCTCTAATCTCGGACCGTTGCGGCCGATCAATGAATCGGATCGCTGGGTACATAGAAGAATGTTGAGCCATGACGTTCTCTGTCATTGGGTAGAGAGTAGCTCGAATTAGAAGCAGGCCAGGCGCCGGAGGGCCGGAATAGTACGCGCTGGAGAGACGGCGCTTAGTTGCACGAATGAGACAAATATAGATCAGTTGAGCAGGATGGAGTATTCTTCTGCCTGAGTAATGGCAGAGAGCAATTGAGGGAGCAGAGTGAGTCGCGTCCTTGGGCGTTAGAGGGAGGAATGTATAGACCTGGATACTTACTCCTGGTACAGGTATAGGATAGGAGGGGAAGGTGTACAGAGTAATGGTATTATTGCACCAAGCATAGATTAGAGCATTCATAATGCTAGAATGAAGCGATTGAAGTCATATATCCGCATTAAGCGACTGTACATAATAGGTGGCGGGGGTATCTCGATACTACTCGGTATAGAACTCTATACAGAGTACTCCGTACACAGGGATGCATTCCAGCGCCAATCCCCCCCTTCCCCCATCCATGCCTCCGCTGCGATTTTCGTGTCGCCAGCCAGGCGCTGTCCTTGCAGCCTCTCCAGCCGCCCTGCGATGCGCCCGCGTCGCTGTAAAGGAATGTCTGTCTTATAAGAGCATCCATGCATTCTCTTCGGTCTCTCTGTTCGGTTCTTTTTCTAGTGATATCAATCGTTGTGGTTATACATACCCCTCTTTTCTCTGTTTGCCCTCGCTCTTTACACGCATTTACACTGCTTACAATTTGCCTGCTTACGGCTTTCCATCGCTTCGATTTTATTGTCAGATTGTCAGATTGAATCGTCTATTTCCTGCTGGTCGGGAACGATAAAGAAACTATTCATTATTGATTGATTGCGCTGAATCCGACAAAGCACATTGTGCTGACAGCCCCAAACAACACGCTTAACAACGCGTCTGGTTTATACAAATCACTGCAAAAGTGATACATCACTCTGTCGAGCTATCTATTTCATCGTGTTATTGGGATATCTATCATCCCACATCCATGACCCAACAACATCCGTATACTTCAACCACCACCACCACCACCATGGATCCCAAACCCACCACCCTAAACTCGCTTAACCAAGCGGCCCTCAACGAATTTGTCAAGCTCCCCGTGTCCCGGGACATGGTCTGCCATCTCGCCCGTCAAGCATCACAGGTAATCCGCTGCGAATCACCACCAGCCAGCCCTCAGCAACCAACACCCCCCAGCACACCCCCAACAGACGATGCCCTGGACAACAGCGACATGCCCTCACTGCCCTCCGTGGAAACCTTCATCGCCTCCATCGTCACCCGCTCGCAAGTCCAGGTGCCAACCCTCATGGCCTCCCTAGTCTTCCTGGAGCGTCTGCGTGCACGACTCCCACCCGTCGCCAAGGGCATGCGCTGCACCGTGCACCGTATCTTCCTGGCCAGTCTGATCCTGGCCGCGAAGAACCTCAACGACTCGAGTCCCAAGAACAAGCACTGGGCGAGGTATACGGTCGTCAAGGGGTATGATGGGTTCGGGTTCTCGCTCCCCGAAGTGAACCTTATGGAGAGGCAGTTGCTCTTCCTGCTTGATTGGGAGACTCGTGTTACGGAGGATGAACTGTTCACGCACCTGGAGCCGTTCTTGGGTCCGATTCGTCGCCGGTTCCAGATTCAGGAACATGAGAAGAAGAAGAGGCAGCAGGAACTGTACAGACAATCGCGTCTGCAGCTCTCGCCTGAAAGTCTTCGTTATCAGACTCCATCTACACCATCCCGCCATGGTAGCCCCCGTCGACACCCCGAGCACTCGCCCACTCCTGCCTCGCGGCACTCGATGATTGCAACGCCGTACACACACCGGCGTGCAAACCGCTCCATCTCTCCCCCATCTATCAAGGACGTGCCACCCCTCTCCCGCGCAGAGACATTTACATCGCTCAGCTCTTGTGCCTCCAGCATGACTACTTCCTCACGGGGTACACCGGCATCAATCAGCTCATCCAACGGCGTCGACGAAGTCATGGTCGCAGACAGTGGCAACAGCCCCCATCTATACACAGCTAACTACATGACCATGCCCCCGAAGGCAGATGCCAAGATGCACTCCCACCCGCACTCACACTCCCTTTCAAGTGATGGCGTGAGCAACAAAAAAATGCGTCTTGGTCACCACTCCGGGGGATCAAGTCTCGTTGCGAAATTCCTGGCATCGGCTTCGTATATGGGTGGACGGATTGGGAGGACTTAGGTTCTGTTTCTGTTTTCTTTTGTGATGTGTCGGTCTTTTTATTGAGCTGGTCTCGTGCTTTTGTTTTTGATGATTTGTCTGATCTGGTTTGATCTGATTTTATGATCTATAATACCCTATTTCCTATTATTATTATTATTATTATTATATATATATATATATATATATATATATTATGTTGAAAATTTGTTTTATGCATTGACGGCGTTGCAATTGGTGGATGTTGTTTTGGTTATGATTGATTCCCTGGATGCTACATGTTATGCTATGTTATGCCTCGCCATGTCTTTCTTTTCATTTACTCTCATTTGTCTGTCATGCTCATGAAATCTAGTATGTACGGTTTTAATCCAATAACTCAAAATAACTTGACAATGATATTTATAGACTGCTAGTTTAATATAGATCTCCGACATTCCAAGTATGCGAGGTGACCACATAGACTTTTCAATACAGCAAGGACAACATTCCAAGGCATGGCTGGACGTGCGCCACCGTTACAGAACAGTATGGGGTTTCAGTACAGCCACGCGGGTTCTGGATTAGTTTTCCGAGGAATGTACATCAGATCTAGACCTGCGGAGGGGTTGGTTGATTTGATGGGGTGTATTCCGTAGAGTACTATACATTCTATGCTGATCGTCGATCGATATGAGGAAGTGCATTAAAAGACAACGATCAGATGGCCGGCGCCTCCCACGAATCACGCTTGATCTTCATAACAGCCGACTGCTTATGCGGGAAGGTCACCTCGCCTTCTTTGTAGAAGCCTGATTTCTGCAGATAACTTATGACCCTGTTCATCGTTAGCACTGCTTTGCCCAGATATGGAAAAAAAAAAAGGGGGGGGGGGGAGGGACATACTTCTCATTATCAATCCTCGGCTCCAACAAAACCGTCTCCGTCCTCGAATCCGCCAACCAAGCATAATGCACCAACGAACTCAACCATATATTCACCCGGTGAGATCCCCGATATTCCTGCTCCCCAACAAGCAAATGAATCCCCCGATCATAGTTACCCAGACCGCCCAACAACGGTCCCAAGCGATCTTCCTTCGCCCAATAGATCTCGAAGTACCCGAAGGGCTTCCCGTCCCAGCATCCGAAGACCGGGAAGCTGTGGTGCGAGGCGAGGTTGTGGCGCAGGAATTCCTGCTGGTGCTCGATGGGGCCTGCCTCACCCCATGCGGCATTGACGCGGGGGTCGTTCATCCATTTGTGGAGGATCTCGAGGTCTGTTGGGCCGTCTTTGGGCTGGGGTTGTTGCATGCCGATGGCGGAGGAGGAAGAGAGGGAGTGTGTATGGTTGGAGCCGGAGGGAGGGGTGGTTCCTGGTGACACGGACTGGGACTGTTTTGAGGGCGAGAAGTAGGGGACTCGGAAGGAGAGGTATTGGTCCACGCTGGGGATGTAGCGGATGTAGACGACTTCGCCTTGGTGCGGGGGCCTGGTGCGAAGTGGATGGCGCACGCCATTTGTGAAAGTGTATTGCGTTGGTGGCGGGGGGAAGTAGGTGGGTAGATGGCTTCCCGATGTAAACGGCCCCTCCTTTCTCAATCTCGCCTGCTCATCCGTCGTCGGGGATGAGATCTGCTGCCGTGTAATCGACGCCGGAATCCCCGCTGGCGCAAGCGTAAACAGGAACAATCTTGGATCCAACTGCCAGAAACTCCGTCTGCTCACAAACATATTATCCCAAGCCCCAGAGTCCTGGTTCTCATTCGGCTCGAGCCCAACAGAGCTATCCTCCGTCGCAATCAAACCCATGCGCTCAAGCTTCTGCAGCAAATTGCGCTTCTTGAAGATCCCCTCGCGCTTGATGTTAATCCGCCAGTCGCCCTTGGGCTTACCCAGCAGCGGGGTCTTCGCCGAGTTCGCCGAGTGTAGATGCAGATCCGGCTCTTGTTCGTGGAAATACCACCATAGTGTGATGTAGAGGAGCAGTGCGATCTGGCGCGTCGGGGAACTGGCGGGTTTGAAGTCTTCGCTGGAGGGGTCGACTGTGGATGCGATGTGGAGGCAGTCATTGCGGAGGGTGGGGTCTGTGAAGCGGCGCTGGCGGTCCTTCTCGTCCTTTTCAGAGGATTCGTCGTCGTCGCGAGTGTAGAGGACGATGGTCCATCCTGGGGGGAGGACGGAGTGGTGGAGAGTCAAGTCGTTGCTCTTGAAGTTGAAGCCGCCGAAGACGGGCGTCACAGTGAAGCTCTGCCCGTTCGGGAGGTAACAGGTGCCGTGGCGCATTTTGTAAAGTGATGTTTTTTAATTGATTGTAGACAAAGAAAGAGAAAGTAAAAAGAGACGAGGGGAAGAGGGGTTTTATGCGATGGGAAAGTGGGATGATGGGCCCCTCCAATATGACACTTCGGGATCGGCCAGTGGGGGGGAGAGGAGTAATTGGTACTATGTGAAGCACGAATTCAATTTATGCGATTGAGAATTGACTGATCGAATTGAATTGTCTATACCATAATAAAAAATCAAGAGGCGAGGGTCTGATGTCATGTTCGCTCAGCGTGACAAAATGGGAAAAGTTGACGCTATTCCCAGTGTCCCTCTTCGTAGACACGCATTATTCATACAATTCTAAGAAATACAGACTGAATCGCATCTAAAACTCCTCCACCGTAGTTCCCAAGTTCCTCCCACGGGCCAGCTGAATCAGATCGCCTCCTGTCACCAAATCCATCAATCCCAACCCAACGCTCTTGTAGATAACATTACCCCGTTCCAGCCATTCGCGCAGACTCTTGGTGTCGTCCCCGCCGCCCGTGTCCTGACGAGAAGCCTCGCGCACCATGAGCAGTTCGCCCAGTTCGACGGCCTGGTGTGGCTTGACGTCCGCCTGGATGAGCTCACCGGCTTCCTTCAGCGCGGCATCGAGACTGTCAACCACCACGACTCCGCTGCGTTTGGCGTGCTTGCGGAAACGGCGATGCGACGTGTGCACTGCCACCTCGTCGCGCAGGATGTCCGGGTGCAATTCCGCCATGTGTGCTTTGTACGATCCGATCGCGCTGACGAACCGGCCCTTGCGACGACCTTCGTTGGAGGTGAGCAGTCCGGCCGGGAACAGAGGCTGGATGGACGGAGTGCAGCAGAAAATGGCATCGGCCTTGTTGACGGCATCCCCGACAATGCGAGTATAGTCGCCGAACTCACTGCTGACGGCCGAAAACTTGACATCCCCACGCCAGCTCGCGTTCTCTGAAGAGTAAATGTCCTGAAGGAGCCTAGCCGCTCGATCAAACGACCGGTTGATGATGTACACCTTTTTGATCTCAGATCCGCGCAGGGTCAGCGCCAGTCGAATGTGCCAGTAAGCCTGCTTGCCGGCCCCGAAAACAGTCAGCGTGCGCACCCGGCTCCGCTTGTTGAAGAGCATGAGCGCCGTCAGCGCCGTGCGGAAGGGCGTCAATTCATGTGCATTAATCAATCCAAATGGCAGACTCTCCTCATCCAGCAACGTCACACTGCCCTGTGGTGAAGTGTCGCGGGTACCAGCCCCAGGCCACGCTCCCAACGTCTCCGACACATTAGGCGGGATGGGCTGCTGGTTGACAGTTCCCGAATATATCGACGACCGGAGGCTCGGCCCGCTCGACGAACCATTAGCATCATTCTCGTTGCTACTATCGCCGTCATCTTCATCCTGCGACGATGCAATCGTGTGATTATCCGTGTCGGACGATTGAGAAGTAGAACCCATGGAGCCTCTACCGGCGCGCGACCGGGACCGTGTCGAGGGCTTTTCGTTTTCGGAAATTTCCAGGCCGGTCTCCACGGCACACCCCGCTTTGTCTGTGTCATCTAGTGAAATCAGTTTCATCCCGATCGTGTGGCCGGTGCTCGCAGGCATAAAGAGTGTCGTGCAGCCATTGGCTCGAGTAACCGCGGTTCTCGGCGGTTGATAGGATGATGAACAGCCATGCTCTTGGGATCCGGTACTGTATTCACGCAATGACTCTGCAAGCCTGTGCTGTAGCTCAATGATCTCTTCGCGAGTCAGCGACAACAGCAGAGATCGCAGCTGCGCTTGTGAAAGGATAGTAAGCGGCATGATCCTTCTCAATTGGAATAATAGTAGGTAGAAACGAGAGTGATAGAGTAAGAAAAAAGAAGTGAAGTGTTCGAGAAAGACAGTTGTTCTTCTAGAAGTCGACGGGAGGCGTTCCTTCTCTCTTCTACCACCAGTCAGCGAACAAGCGCAATCAACGACGGGGCACTTGGCAGCATATATGAATACGCACCCAGTAATTTATCTCGGCTGTCTTTCTTTCTCCTTTTAATCAAAGTGGGAAGGCCAAAGACGAATCGGGGAAGAATCCGGCGAGAAACAGCGACGAAGACGGCGGTTGAAGCTGCTTATGACGACAGACAAGCCTTGGCGGACCACAGTACTCGTTGCCGACAAAAGACTCTTAGGTAGTGATGGGGTTTATCTACACGAGAGTATCTACAGGAACATAGTTGCAATATGCAGGTAAGAAAACTCCGATTAGAAGACGCTTGGTCGTTATGCATGCCGGGGAATCAATAAGAACAAAATGTCAACCTCCACAACGCCAGGATATAAAATCGTGATAAAACATAACGATTGTATGGCAGGATTAATACCCCCACATGTCACCATCATCCTTGACTATATCGTCCTCATTTAGAACATGTAGTCCACTCTCCTTGCCCTCTCGTTTCCGCTCTCGCTTCGTCACTATCCGACTGGGCGTCAACGGCGTGACTGGCGTGAATGGCATGTACGGACTGTACGGGGTCGGCATCCCGGTCCTGGGTCCATTCACTTGTTTCGCGGGACGTTCTAGGATCGTTGTCTTGGTGGGCGGGGCGCTTTGCAGACCATAGGCATCTCGGAACGGTAGACTGCCCTGCGATGGTCCCGCATGACGTGCTGAGTATGCTGCATGGCTTGCAGCCGATAGACTCAGCGGAGGAGGTGCTGGTGTTCGTCTCATGCCTGTCGATTTCGCCGGAGGAGGAGCTGAGACATGGAGCGGGGGCGCTGGGGGAGGTGGCGGGTTGTATAGACGAGGCGTCAGCGGTGGTTGATCCTCGCCGTACGACGTGTTTGTCGTGGGATCTGGCGATGCCAAAGGAGACGAGATGGACAGTTTCCGAAGAGGAAGCCGTGGCGAGCGGATCTTGCCCGAGCCCGCAGACGTGCGTGTGTTCGAGCTAAAAAGAGACAGCGACGAAAGCCTCCGCGATAGTCGAGAATTGCTCGATCGCGGACTGGTAGGTAATTCATTTGCCTGGGAGGGTTCCTCGAGGACCCGCGATGAATGATCCGTGAACGGGTTGGTCACTACACTCTCCCGTGACTGCAAACTGTAGTTATGGCTGTGACCGCCGCTACTGCTGCCGCTTTCCTTGGCATGTTCCTTCTGTTCATCATACTCCATCACGGCAGCATACAGCATCTCCATCTGCTCTTGTGCCCGGCGTCGATCGGTTGCGACCACTGTTTCATCAATGGTGGCCACACTGCCATTGTTGGATGGATGATCAAGTGTCCTAGCACTTCTGCCAAGGCTACTCCACGATCGATCAAAACCATTTGGCCGGTTTGGACTGGGCAGACTGGGCGAGATAGGAGTGACAGGACTAGGGTCCACGGTGGAAGGAGGTTTGAACGGCTTCATCATTTCCACCTGTAGCGTATAGTTCGACGCGTGCACCGTCCGTCGTAGACGTCTCCCCACGAAGAGCAATAAAGAGAGAGTAATCGCAACGAAGCCGACGTAAGCCGCGACGAGGCCACCAACTTGAGCAGCAAGAAGAGACCGATCCAACTCGTAGTTATCAGCACGAATAGACTTTATATCCGACGACGCAACGACTCGAGAAGCCAAAAACGCGAGCAACACAAAAATGTGCATTATGGGTCGGTAATCCGCAGAAGAAGAGAGATTAAGTATCACCCCGTAATCTCAACGGGCACAAAAAGCATTGGGAACGAGGCCGCAAATCCCTACGTGAACAGCACACGACATCCTGGAGGGGGGGCGCGTATGACGAAGGATATAACCTCCAAGTCACTGTGGGCCGATTGGCCGTGACAATGTGAGAGAACGCATTGCCAGACACTGAGAGGGCCATTCAAGCCGTCAAGAACAGCTCCGGCGAGTGTCGTTGGTGCAATACGCGCCGGGCTGACGCACGGCACATCCCATCACACACGGGTTTTGGCCACTGAGATGCGGAGGATTTGCTGGAGAGATCGTCGTCTGAGATATTTTTCCTCACTGGCCTCATTTTGGTCTCATCTTTGGGATTTGTCTTTTTTAGGCTGTGATTCGGACGGTTTGCTTGAATAGCCATGTGTTGTAGATTGTGATTGGCCATGTGGGCGAAGAATGCGCTAACTGTATTTGGTTATTTTATGCCTTAACCACAGGGCACAAATAACTGGGCCTAACTGTATTTGGAAGGCACGATGTATAGACATTCCAGCCTGTATTCCCGTAAACAAATTCCCAATCAGAGCACCAAACGTCATTCCTCTGATCTGAGACAGAGACTACATCGATAACCCAGCTCGTCACCTGTCACTCGTTCAAACAAAGTAACTCTGTCATACCTTGTCTCAGAAGCCATTCTCGCCTCGAACTTCATCCCACCCACATTCCACCACCACCACCACCAAAATGGGCCACAAAGCCTCCGTCATCCACGGCGTCAGATCAGAAGATTACTACAAGCCCGGCAACGCAATCAACGAGATCTGGATTGGTCACCTCGAACTCATCTCTCGCCTCCCGTTCGGAGACTCCGATATGGGTCAGGCTGGATGGCCGGCGGGCAGTTTCCCCAAGATCCCCTGGCATAACTTCATCATTCCTTTGAAACGCCGAGGACTCGTTGAGGCGGACTGGAACGATCGATATTCTGAAAAACTGTCGGGAGGGGATCAATCGGCGGATCGGAGTGATGTTGGTCTTGCGTCCCAGGTTACGTCCTTAGTACCAGCCTTGGCTATGCTATCCCTCGTCGTCCTCGCATTTGGTCTTCCGGTGGTTCTGAGACGGTATACCCTATCATTCAATCGGATCCGTGGGAATGGGATAGAAAAGTGCAAGCAGCGCAGGGATGGATACGCTATACGGACGTGCATCGCTATTATCTCCCTCATTACGGGCTTGTTGCTTTCTCTGCTTGTTTTCCAAGTCCTGGCGGATGTCGGACAACTGGGGATACTCAATGATTCGGTCTCGGTGTTGGTGCAGGTAGTGGCGGCCGTTGCGGTTGGTATTGGTTTCTGTTATTCGGTTAGGGCAGCGTATTCGCTTTGGGTGGATTGGAGGGACGTTTCTCGTTGGCTGGGAGAGGATGATATTGTTTCGGAAAGTGTTATGATAGAGGAGAATCTTCCGATGATTGTGTCTTCTTGGGTGGAACGGCAGCATCGGGCTTGATTGATATTATTGCTTGGATCCTGTTGACGATTTTATGTCATGATTCATTTCCTATTTTTATGATATCCTTAGCACAGCTTGCCTATAAACTCCAAATATACAGCGGACCCAGTCCAATTGCATCAATTATATCGTACAACCCATTCATATATACAATCCAAGTCTACCTATCCTTCTTTGAGAACAAATCCCGCCAAAATTCTCTAAACCCATAGCCCTTCGACTGATCCTCATCGTAAACATGAGAAGCCTGCGTAGTGCTCAACGAGTCCATGACCGAGGAAGTCTTCTGATGTACCATCGTCGACGGACCGTGAGCCTTCTCCGTTGCCCTGCGTTTGATTTCGTCGGCCAGGGATGGCGCTACATCCGCGAAACAAGAGGACAATTCGCGGTCGAGATTGATATAGGGTTTTTGTGCGACTGGTGGTGCTTGGAGGTTGTATGAGCGGGCTAGTGCGTTGAGATTCTTCACTGTGACTTCGTGGTATGGGCGTTCGATGGAAAGATAATTATGGTCACGTAGAGGGGGTAAATGTGGTAAATTCTCGTCGCTCTTCTCGGGTTGTGTCTCTGGGGTGGAAGAGGACGCTTCTGTCGTTGACTCTGTCGCGGGTTCCGAGCTATCTTCCTGAAAAGAATTCTCGATCCTCGCCCTCTCAGCCAGTCGTGCTTCTGCTGCAGCATGTGTCCGAGCACGCCTCATTTGCTCCTCCAGAGGCCCTCCCTCACTAGCAATCATTCTCGCAGCATGTCTCCTCCAATCAGCCCGCAGGCGCTGACGGAACCGGTCGACCTCCTTCGCGAGTTCCTGCTGTTTCTCGATCCACGGCGGAACAATCTCCTGCCTCTGGATCATCTTGTTCATGAGATACTCGGTTGTATCCATGAAGGCATTGTTTGCATTGTGGTCGATTTCGGTATTGATACCCTTGCCCCGCTTGATGTTCTTAAACTGTCCGCGCGCGATGGCATCTTCGATCCGTTCGTTGGCAAGCGACGCGAAGCCCTGGACGGACACAGGCATTGGTCGAGCACCTGGTGTGAATCTCTCGCGCAGCTCTTCCCGTATGCTCTCGCGTTCTTTATCTGTAAGGCCAGGACTCTGGCTTAGATTGAAAATGGCGGTACGCTCTTTGGCTTCTGCGATGCGGACACCGGGCGAGACTTTGCGCTTGGGGCTGATGCGGAGGTCGACGGGATTAGGCTGGGGGATTTTATAGGGAGTGCGAATCGGCTTCGGCTTCGCGTCGTCTAGCATTCGAAGAGTGATGTCGGGGAGTTCTTCTGCTCCAGACCAGGGCGTGGATCCGGCGATGTCTTGAGTTCCTTGTCCTGCGCTCTCCTGTAAACCATTAAGCAATCATGCCAATCTATCCCGTATAGCTCGAAGATAGACATACCGGCATATCCACAATGGAGTGAGCAGCAGCATACTCATTCTTGAACGTACTGCCAGCAAGTCTCTCCTCGAGCTTTGCCTTTAGATCCTCCGAAAACCCCGCCTCCTGTATGTTCTTGCGCGCGGATCGTCCTCCTTCCAGCAATGCGTCTTCTGTCATCTCTGACAGTCTCCGTGCCATAGCACTTTCTTGCTGGGGCTCATTTTGCGACGATGAACCATCTTTCTTCTCGCTGTTGCCATCCTGCTTCCGGACGTTCGATGTAGAGAAGCTCCTCGGGACGAAAGTCGTTCGTTGTTGATGTACAGCTCTGCACCTCGCAGGAATCTTGGTTAAATTCGACACAGACACATGCTTCGCGCGCATATCCACGATACTCCGTCGAAAACAAAAACAACAAAGATTCGCCTCTGTCAAGCGCAGTTCAATGAGTTCAACTAACTATGCTCCGAGCGGCGACTTATACAACCGCTTATGTCAGCCACCGACAAAGTCTTGGCATCTCCGAAGCCTTTCCGACGCTTTTGATTTGGATGCTTTTCTCCGGTTGTCTATAGTTCGCTGTCCCTCAACTTTTCCCTCGTTTCCCGTCGAGCCGGACGATAACCGCCAATATGCCTGCTAAGGGTGCCTCGACCCGTCTCAACCCCGTCCGTTTGCAGACCATTCCCCATCTCCGGGTCCGCCGTCCGAATCAACATGAGCAGAATCCCTGCGTGACCGTGATGTCTACGATGTTGAGTATGTCTCGAAATACCGCACCTGCTTGGTGATTGGATTGCGCTTGGAAGGGATATATTGCGTTGGATGGAATGGGGCTGACATGCGACAACAGGCTGCTGGGCTTCGTCGGGGTTCGGTTCGGAGAACTGTGCGGCGATTGAATCGCAATTGAAGAAGTGCATGGATCAACCGGTGCGTATTCTTGAACCTGCTGGGCCGTTTTACACTGGGTGTATGCTAATTCCATTTTTCTGGGAAAACAGAAATCGCAGGGCGAGAAGAAGAACACCATCAACTACCACCTTATGAGAATGTATCCGAAGGTCGTCGGGCCCCAGAAGAGGGATGGCAAGCTTGGTTAAGCGAATTCTTTCCGTTGGATTTCTCCCTGGAATGCACGGTTATACGACGATGGTTATCGGTTAAACTGAATGGTGGGGGGGAAACGTTCTATTTTCGGAGTTTGGGTTTCCTTTTTTACGGTATATCAAAAGGCCATGCTCTAGATTTGAGGGCATGTGGGTGTTTGCCATATGCTGGTCTGTACATTATATGTGATATGTTTGAAAAGCTCAATTTATGATCTTCAAGAACTCATTGACTATCCAGTGTTCTACAAGACATAGGACTAGTGCTAAAGAGGCATGAACCGCAGGACCAGTTTATCTCCCCTTGGCTTCACTGTGTAAGCGTCTGTCGCTTCAATATCCTCATCATCAATCACGACAGTGCTGAAGTTGGTGTAAATGGCAGCAACAACCAGCTTCATTTCTGCAGACCATGTCAGCAAACCATCTTCTCCCAGTCGCAGCGTAGAATAACGTACCCTGTAAAGCCAAATTACTCCCAATACACATCCTTCCACCGCTCCCAAAAGCCCAGAACCACCGTTTCCTTTCCTCCAGATCAACGGATGAATTGTCATCATTGAGCCACCTCTTCGGCTCCCACGTTTCCGGCTCCGGAAATACCTCAGGGTTCCGGTGGAGCGAGTATGCCTGGGCGTTTACGCGCGTGTTGGGAGGAATATTGTCATATCCGGCTAGAGTACAGGTTGGATAGGGGGTCACTCGAGGCTGGATGCCTGGGATTGGTGCATGAATACGCAGCGTTTCTGTGACGGTTGCCTCTAGGAGAGGCAAGGAGTCGATAGACTTGGGCGATGGTAGCTCTCTGGATGTGGGAGGTCGAGGATATTTAATCCTAGGTTCTAGGGTTAGGAGCTCTTCACGGAGCTCTTTTTGCAGATCAGGTCTCTTGCTGAGTTCCCAAAATAGATATGTCAGGGCCACTGCGCTCGTCTCGAAGCCAGCTGTGAGTTGGTCATATAGCTCGGCTGCTATGTCGAAGCGTTGCTGCTTGGAGCTGTTTGTGTGAGACTCTAGGTCATATTTTTCGTCCGGTAGATGCTTCGTGATGCTCTGCTTGAGCCGCTTGAAGACAAGCGGTTCTTCTTCCAATTTGATGGATCCGACAGATTGGTCTGCCTTGTCACACAGGTCCAAGCACCAGGCACCAAGCCTTTCATTCGCCTCATCACACCACTTCGGTATCAAACGAATTCCGAAAGAACGCAACCAAGACACTAGATTCGGGATCTCCTGATAATAGAACTCATATGGCTTCCTGGAGAAATACAGGCGGAGCATCCTACGCCGGTAAGCCTCGTCCTTGAGAAAGTTAGTACCATTTGCCAGACCAAAGATGTACGCCGAAACGAAGTCCATTATCAGCGCCTGGCCAGTCTCATGCATGTCTATCGGGGTGTTGGAGACTGCCGCTTCATGAATAAGAGGCAAGAGACGTTCAAGCAACATGGTCTCCGAGATCAGACACATATGCGGCGACGACTGCAGAAACGACTTGCTGTAGATGTTCGACAGCATCCTCTTGCGGAATGAATGCTCTTTGTTCCCGGTCATGGTAAACATGCTGATGGTTCTATGGCGCCCATTAATATCCACCACCGTAGATACGGAGGGGTATTTTCCTTATCTTACCCAAATGACCCGAACACCCTCGGGTACCATTCATGCTTCTCAAAGGCGCCGGTGTAGACGGACTTGATACCGCCGTCGACGCAGTTGATTGAGATCTCTGCCGGTGTCAGTCTGACAATAGGACCGAGTCTTTCGTGGGCTGCATGGATGGTTCGGTTATTCTGGCTCCTGAAACGCTTCCATAGAATCCAAGCAGGCGATATCGGGACAGACCAGTGTGCATTCGGGATCTTTGACAGTGGGGAGAAGAAGACGGGGTATATGATGCCTTTGTAGAAGAGGAGTAGAGATACAGCAAGAGCTGCTATGGCTGATATTGGAGAGAGCACCATTTTTGACCCTGAATGGAACAATTGAAGACTGCCTTGAGGGGAGTATAGCAGTATTTCTATCGCTGAGGAGTGTTGTTTTAGGTAACATTAATGTTCAATCCCCGCGACTCCCCGCAGATAAGAGTGGATGACATTACCCATCATAGTAACGTATAAACTCTAACAGAAAATAACGATGTAACTCCTTGTCATGAACTTTGATTGGGTATAGCAATGGAGAAGTATAGAAAGAGAGATGATCTTGTTCCTTAAGCCCTGATAACATCCCCCGGAGATTCCGAGGCCCAAAAAATACGTCTGTATTGTCGATTTCAAGAAGCTAACCAAATCGTACCGGAGATTTGGGAGTTCACTCTAATCACTATAGCCCAAAGACAGCCTTTCATGCTCCAGGAGAATTTTAGCAACTCCCAAGTGCTCATGCTTTTTTGCAGCAATAAAGCACTGTGTCGGAATCCATCCCGAGCATCCACGAAAGCACCCTTTTGTAGCAATAACCTTACGATGTCTTCATGGCCTTCTCGGGATGCAACCATCAATGGTGTTTCAAATGTTGAGTTGCGGGATCTGGGTATGCGCCATGAGAAAGGAGAGTTTCCATGATCGAAATGTCGCCTTTTAGCGCGGCGCAGCAGATAAGGGGCTGGTGGGAGAAGTAGAACAATTCAGGAGGAATTTTCTGTGAGGTTATCTATTAGCACTTCTCAGATGGCGTTTGAGATGGCGACTTACAGGTTCATCATCATCCGTTTCTTCTTCCTCCTCTCGATCGTCTTCATTGTCTGGGTCTGAACGACTTAAAACGACCGGCTGAGTCCGAATATGAGTAGGCGTAGTGGTCCGAGACTTCTGAGGATTCAGCGTAACGCGGATAGTATTCATCTAGATCTCTAGTTTCTTTGCCATCCTCCCCTTCAACTCCCATTTCATCCGGCGATAAAATCCGAGCATCAATGAGTGTCATCTTGATAGCGGCTTCCATCGACACCCCACAACCATCGATATCTGCCCCATGCGCAATGAATTTCAACACAGCAGCATTACTACCCTGCCTGACAGCCAGCCAGGGCCCGAGTCCAAGCGGGTGACGTGCACATTCCCGGTATAGAAAATCATTGATACCGTATAAACGACGATTTGTCTGGGACAGAGCGTTGATGGAGGACTCATCATCAAGTTGTTTACATATGATGAGAAGTAGCTCGGTTGGAAGTTCTGCGAGAGCCATAACGCCTGGTTTATCTCAGGCCCACGCGTGGAAAAGGATTAAAAGTGCCGGTGGATATTTGGTTTAGGCTTCCACAGGCAGACAATCGGAAGCACATTTTGAGTAACTCAGCATCATTTGGATCGTTTATCTGATTTCTTCTTTGCTGCGTCCTTCTCGGCCTGTACATCTTGACTTTCAAGACACGCTTCATTGTGGCCTCCGAGACCTCTTGCGGACAGCTCGCCATCAACTCTTTGATAGTTATTGCAGGGTTCCGGCGAACAGTCTGACGTATATATCTCTGAGCTGATTTACTCAGTTTCTCAGGGCGACCGGATCGATGCTTAGTTTCTAGGCTTTTGCGGAGAAGATAGTTCTTTTGGGTATTGTAGATTGTTGATCGACTGACATTGAATTCTTTGGCGAGCTCGGTGGGTGATTTCTTGATTTCGAGGGCAGACTATAGCAGCACGAATGGCAGGAGTAAATTCGTGATTGGGATTCCTGTCGGCGCTAATTTCTGCGCCGAATGAAGACATACTGAAGAATAGGAGCGATGAGGTTGTTGAAGGTGGTGGACGCGTCGCGAAGAACTACTGTTACGATCTTATCTCCACTAATTCCTAATTAATGCCTTAGGTATAATTATGGGCCTCAGGCAACAAGGGTTGACCCGCCGGGCGGTGGAGACCATTGGCTCGCCTAATCGCTTAGTGTCCCACACACAACTTCGTTGAAAGAGATCTTCTTCTCTCAACTTTTTTGCGACAACGACGACAACCGACCGACCTGCCACGCCGACAAGGTATGTTGAAATCCTGTGCTGCTTGATACCGTTCGACTGGCGACATTCGTTTTACCGATTGCGATTTGCGAGCGAAGAATTCGAATTCGTCACGAACGGCTGAATTGAGATACCGGGACAGAAAGCTAACGATTGGATTTTTTCAAGATGGGTGCCCTCAAATACGTGGAAGAGATTCAGAAGAAGAAGCAGTCCGATGTGATTCGCTTTCTGCTGCGTGTCCGTTGCTGGGAGGTGAGAAGCCCTTCCCTAGTCCCCTAATCCTCGACCATTTAACATCCCGCCGGGTGCTCGTGTGCTATGCCATAGGCTACCTCTTGATTTGTTTTTGTTCGTTACGAATGAAAAGAACGGGGGTTTCTATTGGACGGCTTCATCAATCATTCCGAAAAGAGAGAAAACACGACGCCGGCGGATAGATGTCAAAGCCCATGAAAAAATTGTGGCACACGAGTCCTGTGCGGGAGTGCTGGCTTGTTGTGTCTTGCTATACACTCGTTGAACTTTGCTGAGAGTGCATCAATATAGCTCCGTCAACTGAACGCTATCCACCGGGCTTCCCGTCCTTCTCGCCCCGACAAGGCTCGTCGTCTGGGCTACAAGGCCAAGCAGGGCTATGTTGTCTACCGTGCCCGTGTCCGCCGTGGTGGCCGTAAGAGGCCTGTGCCCAAGGGTGCCACCTACGGTATGTTTCCTTACTAAATATCGAGAGTGGTGGCAGAAGCTAATGGCCCAATAGGTAAGCCTACCAACATGGGTGTCAACCAGCTCAAGTACCAGCGCGCTCTCCGTGCCACCGCTGAGGAGCGTGTCGGCCGCCGCTGCGCCAACTTGCGTGTCCTGAACTCCTACTGGATCAACCAGGACTCCACCTACAAGTACTACGAGGTTATCCTCGTCGACCCCCAGCACAAGGCTATCCGCCGCGATGCCCGCATCAACTGGATCGCCAAGCCCGTCCACAAGGTTCGTTTCTCGCCAGGAAGTTCGCTACGGAATGATACTGATACGTTATCTACAGCACCGCGAGGCTCGTGGTCTCACCTCGACCGGCAAGAAGTCCCGTGGTATCAACAAGGGCCACCTCTTCAACAACACCCGCTCCGGCCGCCGTCACACCTGGAAGCGCCAGAACACCCAGTCTTACTGGAGATACCGTTAAACTTGATTGGGCTGATCAAGGAAACGGTGGTTGGCGTTGGAAAAGCTTTGTTTTCGAGGGTGTGTTTCTTTTCAAATCACAACTCGCTGCTATGATCATGTCATGTGGATATCAGGGTGCGAGCCTAATGCAACCATTCTTCTGAATCGGATGTTAGCCAAAAAAGAACAGGGATTCCAATTTTTCTCTATCTTGTTTTATTATAACGAAGTATGACGACTTTTCTTTTTCTTCAGTTTGGTTTGTTGGATGCAACGTACAGAGTACGGAGTAGTATATCAGGGTTGGGCCGTAGAGCACCACGTGACCATGTCTGAAGCATTCCATAGTCCCCCAGAGTCGGTCCCATGGGAACAAAAGAAGCATTGTCCAATCCCATAAACTTGAATCTAGAATTCTTGCCCCTGGATTGGCATAGTAGTATCGCTGTCAATTGTCTACTAGTGACTGCCGCTTAACCCGTTCGGGCAGTGTTGCAGTTTCCACTTTCCGCTGGTTGCGGACTCGACTCCAACCATTCATCCATCTCTATTCATATCTCCTTCTCTACTTCTCTTACTCTCTCCATGTGTGCTTCCGATTTCTTGTCCTCTCACTGTCAGCCAATTCTTTTCGCGAGGCTATACGATCTCTCGTACTATTACGGTCATTCCTCCGGCAGGAATCGGTTATCGCCCACCTGATCTACAACTTGTCTGCCTTATAACCTGCAGAATTCCAGACACCCACTTATTTTCTTCACCACTTTTCATCACAGTACACACCATCCTCTGCATATACCCATCCTCTCGTGCGACGACTCGATAGACATACCTACATCCCTCCGGTCTGAGCAGCAAATGTGCCCCGATGCCGTCGTCGTTCGCGCGTAATGTCACCACCCCCTCCAACCGTTTCCCCTCCTCATCTACTTCCTCTGCCACGAATCCTGCCATGAGTGCACCACGTGCGATACCTCAAGACATCCCTTTCCTACCGTCATCCGCAGCAAACACCAGCCATGGCCCAAGCCCGCTTGCTTCCCCGCCGCATCAACGAGGCCATTCCCGTTCGATAAGCCATCCCTTCAACCATAACCTCTTCTCGGGGATAACCAAACGGCGCAACCAGTCGATCTCGACAAAGGACTTTTTGGATTCCGACGATGATGACGAGGTTACCTTTACGCCGGTTCCGCTTTCTTCGAGTCCCCGGAAACCGCTGCCTCGTCCGCCGCCTGGTGGGGAGGAGTTGATCACGGGAAGGTGCATGACATGTAGTACGACAGTGCGGTGGCCTAATAACCTTAAGACGTTTCGGTGCACGGAGTGTTTGATGGTGAATGACCTTGAGCCGTACAAGGAGTCGGGCGATGCTGGTCCTGGGAAGGATGGGAAACCGGCTGTTCCTAGGAAAGGTAAACTACGTTGTTTATCTCACATCTTGGTTGGTGGGCTGATTTGTGTCTCTATTTAGCACTTCCGTTGTCTATCGATCGAACGAAAGGCATCATCGACAATTGCGTCTCGAGTTACCTTCGGCGGATTCTGGAGCCTGAGACGAGGGCACCTCCGATTGGAAATCTGAACGGCAAACCTTTGTTTGATAGACGACAGTCACCAAGTCGGGATCCTGGTCCAACCCGCCCCCGAGGACTCACTAGTAATGTGCCGGTAAAACCCAAGGACGGGACGCACGGATCTAGCTACCCAACCTCTTATCTGTCTCCACTCTCTAGTCACGGGGACTCTCAACCACGAGGTCGTTCCAACTCAGATGTGCAAAGTGCATCGAAACCAGGTCGCTCGCGAGACGCCAAAGACCACACGAGTCGCCCGTCGATTTTCAAGCCGCTCGAGGATTACATTATCACTTCGTTCAAAGGCTGCGACTGTCTGAACGCATCCTTTATCACATTACCACCACAACCACCTTCGCGTCCAGCTGGTGAAAGTGGCCCCGCAAAACCGGTTCCCGAATCGAGCACTGTTCCAAATCCTCAAACTCAGGCGTCGTTTGAGCCTGATGCAAAGACGCTTCTCCTTGGAGATTTGGCAGAGAATTCATCTTGGTGGATGCATGACGGCGCTCGAGCTAATGGCTACGGTGCACCTTCGAAAGAGAAGTCTTCCAGCTTGTATCGACTGGTTAGCTCCAGGACTCCTCGAATCAATTGGGCGGAGGTTTCACAATGGTACCACTTGATCATGACGGCCGGAACGTCATGGGTAGAGCAATGGTCGGCTATGCAACCGACGGCAACGGACGAGGACGATGCTGTAAGGAAGAAGAGATGGGAATCCATGGATCTGGTCTTTGTCGAACGGGAAGTTTCTGAAGCACGGTACCATCTGCAAAGGGCTCTACTCAAGACCACAGAGAATCTTCTTAAACGACCACGCCGACCATTAAAGAAGGCGGAGGAGACCCGGGTTTTGCTCATACTTTTGGCAAATCCTCTTTTGCACTCATCCACATCCCCATCAGGACCAACCTCCACGTCATATAGGGATGAACGGAGACCATCCAGCAGCAAAGATCCTCAAAGGCTGGGGCCTCCTGATCCGAAGCAGTCTTCCCGTAAAGACCCGTCAAGGCATCGGAGCCAGGGCCCTGGTCAGCATTCAGGTATCGTCAAGCGGATATTGGGCTTGATGGCCAATCTACCCAATGATTGTCATCATTACCTGGTCTCGTGGTTCTCACGTTTCTCGGCGGGGCAGTTCGAGAAACTTGTCGAGCTCATAGGCAGTTTTGTCACCTATCGCTTGACCCGTCAGCACGGACGTAAGCGCAGTGAGTCTGTTAAGAACGATAACAATAGTTTGATCCCCAGCTTCTCCAGTCCCAATGGAAATACACCGGCAGAACTGCACGCTGCCATCAATGGGAGAAACCAGAACAAGTCAGGAAACGATAAGAAAGACCAACCAATGCTGTATGGGGACGATTGGCAAATTCGAGTGGCAGCAAGGATTATGTCGTTACTGTTTACAGCGAACCATACGCATCGAAGGCCCGAAAATCAAGATGCGGATAGTGCGAGCAAGAACCAACCCAGTCGTCGTGGCCATATCATTCCCATCAGTTCATTCTACAATACGCTACTGGACTACTCTGATTTGGTGGCGGACTTTGAGGCTTGGGAGACCAAAATGTCCAAGTTCTCGTTCTGCCAGTATCCGTTCTTCCTCAGCATCTGGGCTAAGATTCACATCATGGAATATGATGCACGTCGCCAGATGGAGGTAAAAGCGCGCGAGGCCTTCTTTAATAGCATTTTGAGCCGAAAAGCCGTCAGTCAGTTTCTAGTACTGAAGGTACGACGGGACTGTCTGGTAGAAGACAGCCTTCGCAGCGTCAGTGAAGTCGTATGGTCAGCTCAGGAGGAGGTAAAGAAGGGGCTGCGGATTGAATTCATTGGTGAGGAAGGTGTGGATGCTGGAGGTCTCCGTAAAGAATGGTTTTTACTTTTGGTCCGGGAGGTGTTTGATCCTAACCATGGTACGTCTTTTGTTTGATATTTTGCCCTTGGGAAATGTTGTCACTGACGCGGTGATAGGGCTCTTCATTTATGATGAGGACTCCAAGTACTGCTACTTCAACCCGTGCTGCTTCGAATCGTCTGAGCAATTCTTCTTGGTCGGTGTTTTGCTGGGACTGGCCATCTACAACTCAACTATCTTGGATGTTCCTCTCCCGCCATTCGCTTTCAAGAGGCTTTTGGCAGGCGCCCCGCAGCCGAGCGGAACAAACCCACCACCGACTTCAACGCCATCGCGGTCCAGCTATAAGTGTACGTTAGATGATCTAGCGGAATATCGGCCGGCTCTGGCGAGGGGTCTTCGCTCTTTGTTGGATTTCGAAGGCGATGTGGCCGAGACGTTTTGCCGCGACTTTGTCGCGCAAGTTGACCGCTACGGGGAAGCCGTCGAGGTCCCTCTCTGCCCTGGAGGTGAGAAGCGGCCGGTGACCAATGCGAATCGACGGGAGTTTGTAGACCTCTACGTGCAGTATCTTCTTGACACCGCTGTGACTCGACAGTTCCAGCCTTTCCGGCGCGGATTCTTTACGGTCTGCGGGGGCAATGCGCTCTCCCTCTTCCGGCCCGAGGAGATTGAACTTTTGGTGCGTGGATCAGAAGAACCCTTGGATGTGACTTCACTCCGGGCTGTTGCCACATACGATAACTGGCCGGCAAAACAGCCGGAATTAGAGCCCGTGGTGCAATGGTTTTGGGAATTCTTTGAACAGACGCAACCGTCCGCGCAACGGAAACTCCTATCATTCATCACGGGCAGTGACCGAATCCCGGCGATGGGAGCGACAAGTCTGAACATCCGACTGGCATGTCTGGGAGAAGATTCGCCCCGGTATCCGGTGGCACGGACATGTTTCAATATGCTGGGGTTGTACCGGTATCCCACGCGGGAGAAGTTGGAGCGGATGTTGTGGGAAGCAGTAATTTACAGTGAGGGATTTGGACTGAAGTGATATATTACTAGCCGATGATAGCGATGAGGGAATTTCATTTTTATTCAAAGCATGAAACTGTATGATACGGCGTCCCGGTGTGCGTGGTTTTTGTTCTGCGATGCCTCTCGGGCAGGCCCTAATGCATAAACTCGGACGGGATGACGAATTATCGGCAATCCGAGACAAGGCGAAAGGTACGATGTATATTGCATTTGGTTGTTTTATCATTCTACTCCCAGAAATAAACACAACATGCCATTCTTCCCAATCCCGGGGCTTTCCATTGTGGAGATCAATCAATCACATGAGGTTATCATCCCGCCTATCTATTTGTTTGTGTATAGCGGCTCCGGAGTATAGAGCGCCGCGAACGGAGTACACGGAGTCTTATCTTGGTATAGACGCAAGGAAAGTATTCAGCTTTTTCTATCTTGACTGGGGTTATTTATAGACTTTGTATTCCCTGGGTAGAATATATATTTTGTCCTTGGGATAGCAATAAGCAATCAATTTCTTCGTTTCTCCTAGCAATTCGTCTTTTGACAGGGTCAATTGGCAGCAAGTATGGCGGCGGATCTTCCTCTGACTATGAAGGCTCTCAAGTATGTTGCCTGTTTGTCCTGTCAGGTTAGTGGTTGGTTGGTATAGGTGACTGACAGTCGCAGATACGAGAAGCCAGAAGTGCATAGCATCGTCGAAGCTCCTCTTCCCATGCTTCGGGAGAATGATGTCTTGGTGCGTTTCCCCTAAGCATTGAGGAAATGTACCAGTAACAGGGCTAATTGTATGCCTGTACAGATCAAAGTCAAAGCCTGCGGCGTCTGCGGCACAGACCTGCACATTCACGAGGGAGAATTCATCGCCAAGTTCCCCATGATACCTGGTCAGTTTTACCCTTCGCTCTGCGTTTTTCTCTAAAGGGATGGTGTTAACGAATGTGAGCAGGCCACGAGACAGTCGGCGAAGTCGCCGCCCTCGGCCCCAACGTCACAGGCTTCGAAATCGGAGACAGAGTTGTCGCTGATAACTCCGAGTTATGCGGTGTGTGCTTTTATTGCCGTCGCGGGGAGGAGTTGTTCTGTGAGAAGTTCCAGGCGCATGGGGTTAATATAGATGGGGGGTTTGCGGAGTATTGTGCTTATCCTGGTATGTCCCTATTCCCTTGGTTTCATGAGAAGAAGTGTTGACAGGGAACCGGCAGCTGCGCGAGTCTTCAAGTTCAAGAATCTATCTGATGTCGATGCGACATTGCTCGAGCCTGCTTCTTGCGCGGCGCATGGGTTGGATAAAATCGCGCCGAAGATGGGTTCGTCGGTGCTCTTGTTTGGGGCTGGGCCGACTGGTCTCGTACGTACTTCTTTCTCCTCTCCCTTACTCCCTTCGCTATACCGAAAGAGACACTAAGATGAATAGATCCTCGCCCAACTCCTCCGCCTAAACGGCGGCTGTCGGGTCGTCGTCGCAGCCCCCGAAGGTCTGAAAATGGATCTGGCCAAGTCACTCGACGCCGGCGACGAGTACATTGCTCTCTCGCGCGAGAACCCCAGTGCGCAGTTCGAGCAGCTGAAAGCTGATAATCCGTATGGATTTGACATCGTGGTCGAGGCGACGGGGAGCGTCAAGGTCCTTGAAGATGCGATTAACTATGTGCGGCGTGGTGGGAAGTTGGTTGTTTATGGTGTTTATAAGGAGAGTGAGAGGGTTGCTTGGAAGCCCAGTAAGATTTGTATGTCTCCCTTTCCCTTTATTTCGTCTCTTTGGGGAATTCAGAGCTAATGATGCAGTTGGCGATGAAATCACGGTCGTGGGCAGTTTCTCGGAGATGAACAAGTTCCCGGCGGCAATTGATTATTTGGATTCGGAGAAGGTCAAGGTGAAGGGGATTGTGAATAAGGTCTTCAAAATCGAGGAATGGGAGGAGTGTTTGGAGGCGATGAAGAATAAGAGTGCGATTAAGGCTGCAATTGTTTTTGATTAGTTTAACTAGTTAGTCTAGTTAGTTGGGGTTGAGATTGAGGCATTCCATAGCAGTAATACAGATCTCCGCTGATATCACCGTCTCCATTTCCGTCACCACTTCACCAACACAATACATTCACCAGTACCAATTAAACAAAATGGTCAAACCACTAACCTTCAAAGGAGACAAGCCCAAAAAGCGCAAGCACCGCACCGACGACTCCTCCACCTCCACCCCTAAACCTCCCAAGATCGCCAAAGACTCTGAACAAGCCGCCGAGGACGCGGAAGAAGACACAGAAGACCAAAGCTGGGTCTCAGCAGACACATCCTCTGACCTCGCCGGTCCGATTGTCCTCGTTTTACCGTCTGAAAAGCCTACATGCGTCGCCAGCGACACGAATGGAAAGGTGTTTGCGAGTGAACTGGAGAATCTGATCGAGGGCGATCCGGCGACGGCGGAACCGCATGATGTGCGACAAGTCTGGGTTGCGACGAGAGTCGCAGGGACGGAGGGGTTTAGTTTTAAGGGACATCATGGGAGGTTAGTTACTTTACTCCTGAGATACATAGGATATAGGAGACTGACGGTAGCAGATACCTAAGCTGCGACACCCACGGCATCCCCAGCGCAACATCCTCCGCCATCTCCCACCGCGAATCCTTCCTCGTCATCCCCTCCCCCGACCTCCCCAGTACATTCGCGCTGCAAACCCACGGTGGCGATCAAGAGTCCTTCCTCTCAATTAGCGAAAGCGACTCCGGGCATAAAGGTGGTGGCGTTGATATCCGCGGCGACACGACCACGCTCTCCTTTGAAACGACGATCCGCATCCGCATGCAGGCGCGTTTTAAGCCACGTATTAAGGCGAACAAGGAGAGTAAGGCGATGGAGAAGATTAGTCAGAAGGAGTTGGAGGGAATTGTCGGGAGGAGGTTGGAGGATTCGGATGTGAGAAGGTTGAGGAGGGCGAGGAGGGAAGGGAATTTTCATGAGGAGGTGCTGGATGTTCGGGTTAAGGGGAAACATGATAAATTTGCGTGATTGTCTTTTGAGGGACGGTTGGTTTGGGTGTTGAGCCCACCCTTTTTTCAATTTACACTGGCCCAGGTCAGGCCAGACAGGACAACCGGGAGAGGTCCCAAGGTTACTCTGTCGACTACGATACCACGCTGACTCGCATGATGATCATCGCCTCCGAGTCATTACATGAAAGAGCAACTTGTATACAACAAGATACATAACATTGCTAGGGGGTATCATAACACAACCAATAACTACAAATAGACCAGAATGAAAAGATCAGAAGAGAAAACTAATTCGTCCTCCGCTGCATATAATCCCGTTGAACCATGACATTCGTCACGGGTATAGGATGCGTCCCCGACGGCAGCACGCTCTTCTTGCACAACGGACATAAACTGCTATTCTGCGTCAGGAACGTATCAATGCAATGTGCATCGAAGATATGTCCGCACGGCATTTCTCGTACAATTGACAGTCCGGGCTCGTAGTCATCTAAGCAAATGGCGCATGTGGTCTGGGAGTAGCTGAGTCGGTCTACGGAGGGTGTAGTTGATATTGGCTGGTTTATTGTAGTAGTGGTTGTGTTGGCGGTGGTAGTGGTAGTAGTGGCAGGTTGTGGTCGTTGGACATGAGATTCATGATCTGCGTCAATCTCATCTCTGTCTTCTGGTTCTTCTTCGATGGTGGTTATCGATCCATGGCCGTCGGTAAAGAACTTCGTGTGGTGCGAGTGCATATTGTTGGGTAGTAGCGCCTCTGGCGGCGCGTTGACATCAGGAAAGGTATATTTTGGGAGCTGGTCCACGATCTCTTGTGGAACTTTCATCTGGTTAAGGCCGAGAGACTCAAGATCTGCATCGCCAGCTTCGATTCTTCGTCGCAGACGTCGTCGACGTCTTTTCTGCACGATCTGATAGCAGACCAGCAGGAGCATGCTGAGGACTAATATAGTGCCGAGGATAGCGAGGATAAACCCCCAGAGACTGGGCATCTTTTTGCCGTTTTTGGCTAGAAAGAGACATGGTTGGACAACATATCAGCTGCCTATATTTCCCTTGCCGTTTTGTGTATCACTTGGAACGTGGCGGATACGACTTACCCAGGTCAATGAATGTAAAGAGTCGCACGTTCTCATTATGGTGCCGATGCGGTGCAACAACGCTACTGTCACTTCCGTGCGGAGAGGTAGAGGTCGCATCCCCCGAATACCAGGATAGTCTCTGCATCAGCGTCGCCGCATCCGGCTTTGGGATCGCATATACCGGATATTCATTCCGATTTTTCCATTCGTCGCTATCACCCAGAACCCATGTCGGATCGTCTAGCGACGGGGGCTTTTCTTTCTCGTCTTGGGTAGGCAAAAAGAATATCAGCGCATCAGGTTCATCGCGCCGCGAAGCTTTCAGAAATGAGTGGGTGCATTCGACGGATATCCATGGCGCCAAGGCGATGGAGTGATCTCCAAACGGCGAGACGTCTTCTTTCCGCGTGACATTGGGAGGTATAAATGGCGCAGCTATATCGTTACACGGATCATGGGGGTTGAGGCTGGGAACAAAGAGTAATCCTTGGATCGGGTCATTTTCCGGAGCGTTATGCGTGGAGAGCGTCTGGACGTTGCCATTCAGCACGAGACGGAAATCCAGGCTACTCTGTAGTGAGAGTTTTAATTGGTACGTTAGTCTTCATTCACCACAGAAAATGAAGCAGATTAAGTGAACTAAACTCACGTACATTGGTGGATGGTGTTGTATTTGTCGTCCCAGGGCCCGCAAAGAGCGTGGCCGCCGTGGTGAGGGAATCGGCAGCTGTATCCATTGTCAGTCTCTGCGATAATGGTATATCGATAAAGGGCCAGAGATATTTTGGTTATCTCCTAGCAGATGAAGGGATGGAATGACAGGCAAACCATGGCTTCAGGGAAGGGTTCCATACACATAATGATCGAAACCACAACGAAGCAGCGAAACACACAAAATTGCCTGAATTCGCAGGAGTAACGAGAGGACCAGAGTATTAAAAACTCTAGCTAGCAAGCCATGCCGCATCAATATCCAACGGCGATAAGCTGAAACCCAGCATGACCACTGCTTCCATACCTAGAAACTTGGGAGGAATGCAACACCTTGAAAAGGAAGAACCGTCGAAGAAAGAAGAAGAGAAAGAAAGAGAATGCCTGGCGGACAGGACGCATCCGTCTCCGGACGTCACACGGATAGGGGAATCAAGCTGGCACGAAGCCCTTGTTCGCACCGCAAGGGGATCACACAATGCATGGTTGTATCCGAAAGGAGAGCGCCGTTCACAGAGGGAGTCGAAGGACCGACGTTTTTAGCATGCCGCGGCTGAATCCAGTCAAACATAGCGAGAAGGACAGTAGTATATGCCCCTGGATATGATATGATATGATATATTGCAGTGCATGCAGTCCTGGCCGTATCAAACTCGCCGTATGGAGGTCTACAGAGATTAGTATGGGATTCTTCAGCGGGATTAGAGGCACTCAACGCAGTAATACCACACTATCCTCACTATCCTCACGAGGCCAGCTTCTAGATCTGCTATTCTTTATCGTCAAATTCTCGGGGCTGTGCTGAAACAAACAAGAAAATGTACCCCAGATTCACCTATCATCACGTGGGGTCACGTGTACTTATCACCAACTCCTCTCTTCCTCTTTGGGCCAACTTTGGCTTCGACCTCGAGTCGCATACACTCTCTGATCAAGTCCATCCTGTACACAGCTGTAACCTGTACCTGTGCTGGATGTTGCAGCTCTGATTTTTGGCATCCTTCCTCATTCCTCCCTGAATAAGGGTTACATTGCCTTCGCTCCCTGTCTCTACAACATGTGCCTGTGATCTCGACCATTCCACAACACAGCACTCCTTCGTTAAGCTCTTTGTTTCTCGACCCCACTCGTGCCTTCGAATCGCCTTCGAATACCTTCCCGTCCCTTTTTCCTCCCATCCGTAATCGACCCTCATAATGGCGCCCGCGACTAAAGGCAAAGGCAAAGGTCGCGAAGCTCGCCCCTCGCGAAGTCGCAACACGACACCAAGCTCCAGTTTTAGCGCTGGCCCTACCGCATCGGTCCCTGCACCTAGCTATTACCTCGACAGCGACCTTTCCAAATTACTCATACCTTCGTCGCAATATGCGGAGATCCTCGAGCGGATGGGTGGAGTCGGCCCCATCCCCGACTCCAAGTCGCTAGAATCCTTGGTGGAAGAACTCAAAAATCTCGCACAAATGGCCGACACTCGCGGAGATGTGTGCAATGCTGGTATTCGAGAACTGTCTCAGAAGCGAAAAGATGTGCCGGAAGAACCCGAATCGATGGATCGCGATGCTGGAGAACGTACGAGGATGAAGCGCGAGGTGGATGAAGATGAGGATTTACCGATAAAAGGTGGCAAATTGAAGAAGCGAAAGGAGCGTGGAGGAAGTACCAAGGAAGAACGCCCGTTAAATCATGGTGCGCATGAGGTCGCTCGGCAGGATGGTGCTGAGACGAAGATTGAGGGTGGTGAGTTTACCTTGTTTACATTTGTGTCCCCTCTGCTATCCACTGCTCGTCATATTGTCCTGGACTCTATTCATGTGCATTTGCATCCTCGAATTTCGCTCTATTATGTATACAGAATGCTAACCTTCTACAGCGGCCTCTCCAGCCTCGAAGAAATCTAAAAATGTCGCTTCAGAGGGTTCCCCTCTTTCTCCTGCTTCACGAACATCCCCTGACAACGCTGCGACAACCACCACGGAAGCCCCCGCGGCAGCTGGCTCGCCTGGCTCTGAGCACAGCGCAGAGTCACATCAGCGCGAACCGGCACCGACAGTTCCCCAGGTTCAGGTCTTCGGTCCAAATCCCATCAAATTCGACGATCCAACCATATACCATATCCGCGACGTAACGCCTGAGATGTCGGATGATGATAAGAAAGAGATATATTCGGTTGCTGTATTCCCACAGAGTGATTTGAGCGATCTGATGGCCGGTACTCCGCCGGATAAGGATTTCAGCAATGCTAAGCCGGCCAACCAAGTCAGCGCGAACACCTTCCAGGCGTATATCGAACCTTTTGTGCGCCCGTTGATGGAAGAAGATATCGCTTGGCTCAAGGAGAAGGTCAGTAACTTCTCCCACTTTTGCGCACCTTTGAAGCTAACAATCAGACAGGGCGACCGTGTCACTCCGTTTATCATGCCCCCACGTGGAAAGAAGCACTATAAGGATACTTGGGCTGAAGAGGACGGATCGATGAACATCGACAGGACCAATGGCGATAGCCTCCCGCTGAACCAGGGCCGTGGCAGCATTGACCAGGTTACAGATGATACTGCAGAAACTGACCAGGTATCAGTTGGCCCTATGGTCAGCCGTCTTTACTCCCTTTTGCGATATGAGCATCGTGCTCCCGCCGAAGAAAATCTCACAAATGGCACCGCCAATGGGGAACCCTCCACCAACGGCGCGCTGAACGGCAGTGATTCAATGGACCTCGATAACCCAGCACCCGAACAATCAGAGAACAAACCCCTACCCTCCGCAACCTCATTCCCCGACGCATCACCAACAGGCTTCAAAGTCCCCGCAGCAAAACTAGACCACGCCCAACTCGACGAACGCCTTAAAGCAGAACTACGCCATGTAGGGTTCATCGGCCCCGACGACAACCCCGACTACGACGCCCACTACGACGACGACATAGCCCAACGCCTCCGCCTCCTCCAATCCGAACTCAAAAAACAAATCACAATCAACAACGCCCGCAAAGCCCGCATCCTCGACATCGCCCGCGAACGCATGGCCCACCAAGAATACACAACCATCCACGACGACCTCGACACCCAAGTCCAGCAAGCATACCTCAAGCGCAGCCGCACACTCGGCAAGAGCAAAAAGGGCTCGCAGGCCAAAAACCGGCCTGGTGCCGGTGGCGCGCACATCGGCGCCGCGCGCCCTGCCATCGGAGACGCTGCGCGGACGCTTATGGATCGGAGAAAGCGATGGGAGGATTGCATTGGACCTGTTTTCCAGGATTGTAAGACGAGTGTTCCTGCTGTTGGGGAGACTGTTTTTGAGCCGGGGGTTATGGCAGAGTTTGAGAAGGCAGAGGTTGAGGGGTGGGATGAGGAGCAGGAATAGTTGCTTTGCATCTCTTTGTATAAGTTTCTTTTCTCGTGTATAGATTTTTTGCCTTTACTTTCACGATGGATACGATAAACGGAGTATACAAGTCGGAATGGGCTGGCGATGGCGTTGGTGGTCTTTTTAAATATCATGCTTTACTTATACAACTGTTCTATACCATGCACAATCACAAACCATCTATTCAAAAGAATCAAGGTATCTCAATAACTACATAAAACTACCGATGTATAATCAACACCTCCCCAGGATACCTCTTCAATCTCGCCATCAACACCTTCTCACTAACCTCCAGCTCCGTACAAATCTGATCAAAACAATGCACCCCATCCAAATACCTCGACAAACTCTTATCATCGATGAAATAATCCTCCTCTTCACCGTCCTCGTATGTGAAACTCCGATTTCCCTGCGCAGAAGTCCCGTACTGGTACTCGTCGCTTCGTCGGCCGATGAGGGGCTCGCTATCGCCTGCACTCGTGGCATAAATACTAGGCGTGTTCGCGCCTGTTCCTGGGCCTCGTGAGGAGAAGCCGCTGTTGGTGCCTGTGCCGGGGAGATGGTGGTGGTTATGGTTATGGGAGTGTTTGGGGGACCCAGTCGCATACGCGTATTTATGAACGCGGTACAAGAAACCCTTGATAATTCCGAATGTGATGAAGCGCCGAATATCGATGTATGCTAGTTGTCGGCTGTGCTGGGCGTACCACTGTTTAACGCTTTGGCCCTGTTTCAGGCTCGCGTAGAGCTCGACGATAGCGACGCCGTCGACGACTTGGTGCGGTTTTAACCTGTCTATTGCGCTTTCTGTTGCGGTAGATGGGTCGTTGGGATCGCTGGGCGATTCGGCGTCGTCACCCATGGGTGGCCAGACTTCGTCGGGGTCGAAGAATCGTCCGCCGCCGGCGGTGATGACGGTGCCTGTTGCACTGGCTGTGGTGTCTGAGCTGCTTGGTCGCCTGGTGATGTCGCTGCGGGCGCTAGACCAGGGGGCTGCGGGTGCTTGGCCTGGTGTTGTTGGGGATGGTGCTAATTGTGGTGCGAAGAGAGTGTTCACGTATCGAGCGCATTCGCGCTGCATGTTCTCGTCGGAACCGATGCTTGAGCTGAACTGTGCTGTTGGCGCGTAGATAGCGGAGAAGGTGAAGATGTCGAGGAGTAAGAGGCAGCCATAGTAGAGTAAGTGTTTGATTGCGCGACAGGTCAGGGAGAAGTCTGTGTCGGCGAGGATGGAGATGATGCGGACGCTGTTGACACCGTTGATATAGGGAACGACCTAAGTTGTCAGCTTCATTCATTGATAATAGTACAGTGTACATACTCGCTGCATGGTTAAATCCCAATTCTCGTCCATGAACGCTTGATACCGCACGGTGAACAGGGGGACCTGCCACGCCTTGACCGACGGAGGAGCAGGATAAACCGGAAACAATTTGATATTCAACGTATTCAAATCGTCTGCATCGCGTCCGTTAGCAACGAACACCAACCCAAGGAAGCCGGGGCATATACCAATCGGAATCATACTCTCACAATAATTATTCAAATCCTCCATCAAAGTCTCACAAAGACTATACACCTTCCCCTCCCCACTCTTCGAATGATCCCTCGACAAGAACCCACTCTGCTCTTCCAATTCCCGCATCAAATCCGCCAATTTCTGCACCACGCTCTTGTACGTGCTAAAGTCCTCCTCCTCCGCCAGCACCACACAGAAGTTGAAGATGAACTCATTGCGGTCGTATCGCTGCGATTTGATACAGATCGGATAACCCAGGATTCGGTGACCGTTCGTGCAGACCTGAATCAGGTTGCCACAGAGTTCCTGGCGTGGGATCACGAAGAAGGAGATGTCGGAGAAGGTTAGGAAGAGGGATTGTGAGGGCGCGTCGGCGGAGGGGACAATGGCGCCGTCGGGGACTTGGTGGACGACTTTGGGGCCTGTAGAAGTCAGTGGGCATGTGGCATTAAGAATTATGGATTGACTTGCCCTCCTGGGTATCGAATTTGCTGTAGAAAATGGCTCTGATCATGGTGCGGGATCGAGCTCAAGGCCTGTTATCGTTCCAGCGCAAGCTATGGAAAGAATTTCAATATGAATGTCATGGTCGCAAGTCCAGCAGGACCATTCGTCACTTCATTATGGCATTTGTAACGTTCATTGCGCGAGGTTCTGTAACGAGAAGAAGTTGGTAGGAGTTGCGGGAGATATGCGGGGAGCTCCCAGGCGGAGAATCAGTACGGAGATAAGCGCAATGGAATTATACTTAATTGTACACTGGCGATTGGTTAACAAAAGGAATTAATTAACACTCTCAACAGCATTCTATGCGGTGTTAAAAGTATTGAGCTATAGCTATATTTCACGATAGATCTGAAGATAAAACGAGACGGCCAAACCAAACAAATCGAGAAAGAAGGGGTATTTGTAGGACAGCAATATGCTTAAGGAACGCAAAGAGCCACACAGGTATTCGCAGCCAGAGACCGGATTTGGTAAAATGCAGCAAGGAACGCCGGAATGGATCTCATACTAAGAGATTGTAAGAAGCAAAGTAAAGAAAAGAAGGAAAGCACCCCCATATCAAATGACGGCTAGAGAACAGGCGCTGCCCGTTGAATCGCAATAAAAGAGATTAGGTTAGGAAAGTAGGAAAGAAGTGGTTGTCGGTATCCAGACTCTACCGCGCTCGAGGGTGCACGGAGGTACGTCGAAGGGTTGACCGATCTGATGGATCTGAAAGGATGTAAGATCCCGGATATGGAGATGATGTCGAGGAAACACCAGTCCGACTAGAATGGGCCAGCGGAGAGTGAGGGATGTAAGTCACGAATCTCAGCGGTTGATTTGCTCGAATCGCGTTGATCATGTTGGCGTAGCTACCACGCTCGCCGGCTTCTTTCAGCCATTGCTCCCAGTCTTCATCGAGCGGGACATTGACACCTTGTTCTCGCGCTGCCGTCGCTGCCATAAGACGATGGTTCAATTCGACGCCACAGCTTTCCATCTCCTCATCGCTGGATTCATCCTCTGATACATTATGCGACACGGGACAATCCACTCCTCGATCGTCAATCACACCGGTGGTCTCAGTGTCGGTGATGATAACGTCACTTTGGGATTCGGTGATCGATTCAGTGTCCGCGACGGATTCAGCGTCGTCTTCGTAGTGGACTTCGATGGATGGGAGGGGACGAGGCGACGCGGGTCGAATACCGTTGGCCGTGGTGTCTTGAACCTTAACCCCTGCTTCCTTCTCGTAACGCTCGCGCGCGGATTTGGTGCCCTCCCAGCGACACAGAGAAGAGATCTCAGCTTCTGTCAGACGAAGCTCGTCGAAAGTCCGGAATAATCTGCGATGCCAGGGAAATCGACCCAGGCGCATGCGATGGGGGCCATATGAATAATCCAACCCCGGGTACTGGGCCTCGATGCAATCCAACGAGCCGTAGAAAGTGGATGTTTCGATACGGACTTCGGGAACTAGGTTGCGAGTAATGTGCGCCGACCATGAAGACGGATCACTGGTGCGAGGACGAGGGAAGATCGCATTGTAGACGATCTGGCCAAGGGATGGTTTATGCATGGTGGGCAGGGCGGAGAACGAGAGGGGAAGAGAGTAGAGAGATGAACGAGAGGGGAGGAACGAATTCAAAAGAAAATGGAGATAGTATATGAGGAGGTATTTAGAGAAACAGTACTCCAGAGAAGGCAACCCAGGCCTTTCTGAGGAGAGAAAGAGTGATGGTTAAGGAAGAAGGATGCGGAAAGGGGAGAACGACCGATAGTCAAATCCGGGGAAGTCAGCGGGACAAGCTGAAAAGACAACCACAAAGACGACGGTCTCAAGAGGATTATTATAGACGGGTCGAATATATAGGAAGAAAAAGAAACAATGCAAATAGCTCAAGAGAGAAAAATAAAAAATAAAATAAAAAAATAAAAAGCCGCTGAGGTGACAGGAAGAGTGAAGCCTCGGCCACTGAATGGCAGCTGAACGACTCGCGATGAAGCACTGGCGAAACACCTAGACCTGGTATATATATTTATAGATGGAGTAAATTCGGTAGAATTGGAATTCCGCAATGTCAATGGTTATTCAAATTTGCGAGACCGACGTGGTCGCTTTCATACAGGCGCAAGAGAGAGATCTCACAGGTTCATCGCACGGGGTTCCAGCTGGTTCCTGATGTAAATCGCCAATCTGAAGCAGAAAGAAACACGACAGAAGGACAGAAGGACAGATATGGATATTCCAGATGGGATTTATTCAATATATAGCGCAGGATGAGTCGAATGCCGGCCAGCGCATCCCTCACAGCCAGCATGTAAAAAAGGATAGATGAAAAATCCCACGTCTGCGAATGATGATTGCCGAATGTCTTGTCCTATCAAATAATCCAATGCCTCCGATTCGCGCAGAATGAATATTGGCGGTCCAGCCGCGCCCCCGACTGGCTCTAAAAGTCCTCCGGTTCAGCGCTGGCCGGCGGGTCTAGCGCATGGCCACTTGGTCGTCCGGGCCAGCTGGAAAAAAGATGTGAAAAGTGCCATTTCCACTTGTGGATGCCAGCATGGCCGGGAGGGTCTGAAGTGGGAGAAGGCAAGAAAAAAGTGAGCTGTGTTGGTCAGAATGCGGGCTATGCGGTTTTCCAGTCGGATTCTCCTCCCGGCCAGAAAAAAAACTTCGTACTTGTTAGTTGTCAATGGAAGTGGTCTGGTTCACCGTTTAATTGTCATCGGAGTAAAGTAGAGCAATAGACTTGTAGCTTGCGGTGAGATCGGCATGTTTGCTTCTCCCAAGAGACGGTATGTATGTAGCTTTCTGACCTGTCTACAGCTAAGAATTCCCAAAGAGGGAACTTTGGAAGCTTTTCCGATGCGGTCACGTGCCATGTCATCCGCTCTCACCTTTTTTTGAGCCTCATCGTCGTTCATAGTTCATCATACTTGTATACAGAATACGGTCAGAATATTATTACCAGCTAGGGCGATGTCCTACTAGACACCTCAGTCACACCGATGTCGACGTTTGATGGCATCGTTCAAGGTAAGAGCCATACTACAAGTCAATGGACTCGAGACTGACCTCTATAGAATTCCCTTATATACAAAGTGGGCTCTACTTCCATATAAGAGCTGAACGAAGCTAAACAACCAGTCGACTACTTTCGCAAAAACCCAGACAGGCCACCGCCACTTGCCTGCTTTCTTAGCCATGTACACAGCGACCATCTTCAGGGCCTGGAGTCCTTCCGGGCTCCTTTCATCTATTGTTCTGCAGCTACGAGAGAGGTATGCTTGTATATATTGGTATTTTTATCTTGCAGGTCTAATGCAGAACAGCTGCTCTTACGCATCGAAAAATATCCCCATCGTATGAACTTCGACAAGGGTATCCTAGAATCCAGGAGGCTGCATTACAAGCATCTATACAAACTTCTTGTTTGTTTCCCTATAATACGGGGTGAAGTACATCATTGACCAAAGCAGAGACCGATTCCACTAAATACGCCAACGGAAATCGAACTCACGCCGCGGCTGTCAATTCGCGTTACCCTCTTTGATGCAAACCACTGCACAAGTGCGGTAATGTTTCTTGTCGAAGGCGATGGAAAAGCTATCCTCTATACCGGTGATATTCGTGGTATGTAATCCTACCCTTGAGTAAAATAAGTGACTAACTAGAATAGCGGAATCATGGTGGGTTAACAGTCTTGTCCGGAATCCAATCCTGATCCCATACACCCTGGGCGCAAAGCGTTTGGACAAGATATACCTCGATACTACCTTTGCTCGTGCAGAGAACCTCCAACAACATTTCCCATCCAAAGCTGAGGGACTGGCAGAGCTTCTGCAAAAAGTCAATCCCTATCCGGAGGACACCACCTTTTACTTCCGAGCGTGGACATTTGGCTATGAAGAAGTGTGGATGGCGCTCAGCACCGCTCTAAATGCCAAAGTATGTGCATTCCTTACTGTGGAATGGACTCAAGCTAATTGAAAAGATTCATGTGGATCGATACCAACTAGGACTCTATCGATCCGTGAGCCTCGCCCGAGGTGGCAACGAGGTGTCAGCTCTGTGCGGATTCGAACTTGGAAACAGGTCAGTCCCAGGGTGTCTCACTGACGACGAAAACTCGCGGATTCACAGCTGCGTGTGTGACTTGCCCTGCTCTGTCGCCAGGTCCGAGAAAACGGTCTACATAGAACCAATCGTCGGCCGCTTGCAGGATGGCTCGCAGTTGCCTGACGTTGGGATTGGCGGTGGCGCAGGCGATCTTTATCAAGTGCATGAACTTGAGCTGCCCGATCAGGCATCACTAGAAGAGCTGGAGAAGCTATGTCTCGAACGAATTCATGATAGTCAAGTGCTATCTCAGACTAGAGATGCTCTATTCGAGGCCTTTCGATCAAAGAGCAAGTCGCTCTCGCTGGATAGCTATGGGATAAAAGACGATACGGATATTCCTCTGGAGAAGTTGGTTAGCATCTTATCCCGTGGCCATGCGGGTGACCAACGCTCATCTGCAGACGTGAAAGACAAAGCAGGCAACCAGCTTCCAAATATCATAGTAAGTGTTGTCATTCCGCTCCCTTGCGTTTCTCGCCAGCTAACCGATACAGCAATTCCCTTACTCCCGCCACTCATCATACAACGAACTATGCGAGCTGATCTCTGCATTGAAACCCAAAGATGTCTACCCTTGTACGACTGACCCTCTCACCTGGGACGAAACCAGCTCGATTCAGGCCCTTTTCGGGCACCTCTGCTCTGGTGATCACTTCTCTCATGACACTCACATGCGGGAGACAATCGCAAATGATGAGGACCTACTCCATTCGAGAAAAAGAGCACACTACGATGAAGGATCATCGCCACAAGCAAGTCAACAGTCTAGCTTCGCGGATAGCGATTTCAACCTTAGCAATTCATTTGCCAGCACCCAGAGACATGTCAAAAGACCAAAGCCGTCAACTTTCCCAGCCAAATACGTCACCAAAGACTTCTCCTCTTCGTCGTCCTCGGGGAGACTTCTTCCCTCGTCTATGGAAATGATCCACGAAACTCATGTTAATACCAATGCCAATTCAAACGAACCCCTCACCGTCCCTGAACCAACCCCCGAAACTGAACGAGCCAAGCGCAATGAAATCCGCCGCACCTGGCTTTATTTACGCTCTAACTTGCCAAACACATCCCATCTCGGTCCACTTCCATCCTCATGGCCAATAGAGGAAGACGATGGTCTGCGAAACGAGGACAGAAACGTCAACGATAACAATAACAGCATAAATACAGAAACACGTCTTCCACCATCAACCGCTCCATCTCCATTTCCGTCCCCATCACCACCTTCACATAACCCAAACCCAGACATCATGGAACTCGATACCAATACCACCCACCAAACCGAAAGCCAACAAACAAACTCCCCCTCCATCCCCGAATCCGCCTTTGCATCGTTCTCTTCCCAGGATCCAGAACAGGAGGATGGCCCAGAAATAGCATCCACTTTACGCAGACGCAGTCGCAAGGCAGCGTATGTTGCAGCACAAGCGGATACCTATGAAGCGTGGAGTTTTGTATCGCTTGTTTCGGCGGGGAATAATCATACCGAGCCGGAGATTGAGCTATAACTTCACTACTTTATGAAATATTATAATGATAACCTAGATAATGGCTATGATAATGGCCATAATAAACGTTATATTCGTCAACTCATAACATCCGTACTGTACAGTAACCAGACCTACTATATCATATATACTCCGTCCCAGGGACCAGGGGGGTACAAACCCCAATATACCCATATTATATAACCCACCCAAAAAGAACAAACACGTTTTTCTCTCCCTCCCTCATTCATAATTGTCAGCTCAATAAACATAAAAATCCTGACTTAACGGCAAACTCTCCGCCGGCTCCGCAACACACGGCATCCCATCAGCCTTCACAACATAACTCTCGGGATCAACATGCATCTTCGGCATAGTGTCGTTGAACTTCATGTCGCGTTTGCCGATGGTGCGGCAGTTTTTGACTGCTTCGATGCGCTTGCGGATGTGGTAGGATTGCACGGTGTTGGTGTCGATGGAGGCTTGGGAGACGAATATTATGGAGGTGCTGGGGAGGAAGGACTGCATACATTGTTAGATGGGTTAGGGTTGGAGAGGATAGAATGGGGGTAGAGGGAAAGGGGACTTACGGCGAATTGGGGACGCATGATGATGGGTTCGATAGTGGGGATTGAGGCGTTGGGGTCACCCTGTTCAAACTTGGTTAACACTTATTCCAGATACCAGAAGGGAAAGAAAGGACATACCATCATAGAAGCAGCAATCATCCCACTCTTAAGAATCTGCACAGGCTTCGTCCCAAACGAGCTCGGACTCCAAAGCACCAGATCCGCTATCTTACCCACCTCCACACTTCCAATAACATGCGACATGCCCTGCGCAATCGCCGGGTTAATCGTATACTTGCTAACATACCGCTTCACGCGGAAGTTATCCGCCTCCGTCCCCTCATCTTCCGCCAATCGTCCGCGCTGCGCTTTGTTCTTGTGTGCTGTTTGCCAGGTGCGCAGGATGACTTCACCGCAGCGGCCCATGGCCTGCGAGTCCGAGGACATCATGCTGATGGCTCCCAGGTCGTGCAGGACGTCTTCGGCAGCGATGGTCTCAGCACGAATGCGCGATTCCGCGAATGCCACGTCTTCGGGGATATTCTTGGACAAGTGGTGGCAGACCATGAGCATGTCGAGGTGTTCGTCGAGGGTGTTCATTGTGAATGGACGGGTGGGGTTGGTGCTACTAGGGAGGACGTTGTCGTGTTCCACGACGGAGATGATGTCTGGTGCGTGTCCGCCGCCAGCACCTTCGGTGTGGTAGGTGTGGATGACGCGGTTCTTGAAAGCCTTCACCGTCTCCTCGACGAAGCCGGATTCGTTGAGCGTGTCGGTGTGGATCATGCATTGGACGTCGTACTCGTCGCAGACTTCGAGACAAGTGTCGATGGCAGCTGGGGTTGAGCCCCAGTCTTCGTGGAGTTTGAGACCGGCTGCACCGGCGCGGATTTGCTCTTCGATGCTTGTTCGGCCGCTGTCGTTTCCTTTACCGGTGATGCCGATGTTGACGGGGAGGCAGTCGGTGGCTTCGATCATCTGGCGCAGGTGTGTTGAGCCTGGTGTGCATGTTGTTGCGTTCGAGCCGGTGGATGGACCAGTGCCACCACCCAGGAAAGTCGTGATACCCGATGCAAGTGCTTCGTTCGCTTGTTGGGGACAAATGAAATGGATGTGCGTGTCGATACCCCCCGCCGTCACGATCTTGTTCTCTCCAGCAATCACATCCGTCGAAGCACCCACGACCATCTCCGGATGAACGCCATCCATGATGTCCGGGTTACCAGCCTTGCCAAGCCCAACAATAAACCCATTCTTGATCCCAATATCAGCCTTGTAGATCCCCGACCAGTCCACGATCAATGCGTTCGTAACCACCGTATCCAAGCACTCCGTTTCTGACCGCGCAGAAGCCTGCCCCATACCCTCTCGCAGCGTCTTACCACCTCCGAATGAGCATTCCTCGCCATAGGCCGTGAAATCCTTCTCCACCTTGATCCACAGATTGGTCAATCCCAGTCGCACCAAGTCACCCGCCGTAGGACCGAACATGCGCGCATACGCCTCTCGTTCCATCATACAAGGCGTCGCCATCAGCGCATTATCCGCCTCGGGCTCAGGCGCATGCGCAAACCCAGACTCTTGCAGCTTTGTCACAATCTCATCCGCGCGACTCAAGTCAACAGTCCCATTAGCAAGGAAGTTACCCCCGCGAATAATCCGGTGTCCCCCAATCTCCACCAGTGTAACCGTCTTAGTATCACCAGGCTCAAACCGCACCGAGGTCCCAGCAGGAATATCAAGCCGATACCCATACGCCCTGATCCGATCAAAGTGCAATTGCGGATTAACCTCCACAAAATGGTAATGCGATCCAACCTGCACCGGCCGATCACCTTTACTCATAACCTTCAACCTTATCCTCCTCCGCTCCTCATTTAACACAACCCCCATACTCTTCACCGGAATCACAGCCCCGGGCATCTTCTCGGGTAGATAGTCCTCTGGATCGGGATCGGGAAACGTGTCCGCCGGCGGGACGGGCAGGAAACTTCCATACAATGCTTTTTCCAGATCTCCGTCGTCGCTGCTAACTGGGTGGTGCACGGTTACGAGGTATGTGCCGGTGGGGAAGGTGCCTTCAACTTGGAGCTCGACGAGGGTGGATGTTACGGAGGGGAGGACGTGGCGGCGACCTAGCATGGTCTTGCCGATGGACATGAGGTCTGCGACGGAGTAGATGCCATCGCGAATTAACTATATAGTCAATTAGATATCTAGCAACCCTTGGAATGAAGTTGGATGGAGGGAATTGTACCTCTTGTAGATTAGACGAAATCAATGCCTACTTGCACGTACTACTTAGCACCGATTTCGGAGGGGTCAAAAAAATATCCACATACCACCGCTTCAGCATGATTGAGACGAATCCCACGTGCAAGACGGCGTTGGGCCAGAAATCCCAGATGGGAAATGGTGAGTTTGTCCAGCTGTCATTTTATCAGTATATCAGTATAGATATGTTTAAATGAGAATGTGTAAGTACGAACCTCCTTTGGGATGAGGTGCATCCTTGGCTGGCGTCACGTGGGGTACCTGTATAGTGAATGCACTCCACAATTGTATGCACAGGGGTTTTAGTGGTATGTATAAAAAGAGACAAATAAACTATTATCTACAAGGATATTTACAGCGGACACGGTCTTATATACATAGTACGAAACTGAAGAATCCACGAGAAAAAAAAAGGCTCCACCGAATTTGGCCGATGCGAATTGATAAGAACCTCATCGCCGTTAGTCATTGATAAGAGTTACCGGTTTCCTTTTTGGGACAGACATCATCAACTTTTGGATTCATTGCAAACTACTACTAGTAACCAGTACTACATGCGCCCAGAAACTCCCGCGAGACAAAGAACACACAAGATGCTGATAAGCAAAAGTACATCCAAGCACCCACTAACCAAAGATTCAATATATCATTGGCTAAATTACTCGTCGCCGGCATCGCTCTTTCTCTTCTTCCGAGGACGCTTGGTCTCGGTAGTCTTGCGAGTAGAAGCAGGCGCAGGCGTTTCTTGCTCCTTCTCCTTGCGAGCACTGGTGCGCTTCTTCTTCTCGGGGGACTTGGGTGCAACGGGAGACTCCTCGACCGCCTTGGAGGTCTTGGCGACATCGCTGCGGCGACGCTGCTTGCTGCTGCGCGGGGGCGACGGCTCTTTGCGGGGCTCGGGAGTAGGAGAAGCCTCGACCTCAGACTCAGGAGAGGCTTCCTCTTCGTCCTCTTCCTCCTCGTTCTCTTCCTCGTCATCGGATCCGGCCTGAGACGGCTCGGCGGTGGCCTCCTGCTGCAGCTGGGAGCTGGCCGCTTGGTCATGCTCGTGGGCTTTTTGCTCCTTCTGAGCCTTGTACTCGCCCATTTGTTGGCGGTACTTCTCGAGGTTCTCTAGATAGATTTTCTTCCAGACCTGCGTGCGATCAATTAGCATCATTCTTAATGGTTTAACTCCAACTAAGGGACAGCATACAGCTTTCTCGACATCAGTCATGCTCCCCCAACGACGAGTACCCTCTTCAGCAACATCCTTGGGCTTGACGTTGTCATCGCCAAGCTCCTTCTGGATCTGCGGCCGGTTGTGCTGCATGTACAAGAAGTACGGGGTCAGGGCCCGCTTAGGGGCGTTAGGGTCGTGATTGCGCTTGCGCTTCTTCTTGTCACCACCGGCCTCGGACTTGGCGCCGGGGCTGGAGGGACGGGTGAGCAGACCATTCTGGTACAGGGCGTTGGTGATGCCGCTGTTGATGATGCCCAGGTCGAAATCCTCGGGCTTGCGACCCAAGACAGTGTTGGAGTGGTTGATGTAGGCGCGCGACAAGTCCGCGACTGCTGAGCTCAGTTGCGTAAGGCTAACGAGGACCTATTTTGTGGTGTTAGTTGTGGTGGGTATGACAGAGACAGTGGGCCCAGCGATGCGTGAAGTCGCGACGCGAAGCGCGCGAGCTGAACATGGCCAAGTACAAAGAATAAAGAATGCGATCGCGATGATAAATGTAGAAAGGAAAGGCAGCAAGCGGGAAGCACGACATGCTGTATGTACACGGTGCATAACCAAACGCAGGTAAAGCCACTGGGCGGGAGGTCGCCCAAAGGAAGCTCTGTTTACTGGGGGGAACACGCGGGAAAAGAAGCTCTTGTTTTACCCAAAAACCAAGGGGAAAGACGAATCAAAAGGAAATAAAAGAAAAACTTACACTGTCGCGAGATCTGGTGAACTCATCAATGTTGACGGTCACAGTGCCATCCTTGGCCTTGTTATCCTCCTTGGGGGGCATTTTGGGGGGGTTGTTTAACGAAAAGGTAGCAAAGTGGAAGAGGGAAGAAAAGAAGAGGGAGAAGAAATTTTCGGGACTTATTCGTCTTTTAGGGGGCGGCCGCTAAACTGCCGCTAGGGCGCTGGTGGGTTTGGGGGGGGGGGGCGGTCGACCTGGGCTCCGGGCATTCTTTGATTAAGCTGGTTCAGGACTTGCCCAGCCACCGGGTTTTTCGGGGCAGTCTATACCTAGTTTTAGGCGAGCGCCCACTACTACTCCTCACTATTTTGCAGCTAAGAATGCGCCCAAATTCAACCTCTTGGGCTCTAGCAACCATTAATCTTTTGCATACTATGTCAAACAAAAGGATACTGCTCGTCATTCATCATACTGAAAAGGCTCTCAATCATTAACAATATCATCACTGTTTCATTGTCTCGTCTTATTTTCACTGGGTCGCTGTTCATGTTGCTGTGTTGACGAAATATATATCTGCGCTTGAGACCCGCCGGGCCACACTTATAACCATGGCAACTAATTCTGTTAGCAACAAAAAATAGCTAGCAAGCAAATTGTATGATTTCTCAAGAAGTATCACACTACGCATATAATTGTACTTGTACATAGAGATCCTATGCGCCACCAGCCCATCCGTAGCGGGGCGCTGCCCGTACTTTGGCATAGCTTTCCCCGCGAACGAGCCTGTGCCGGGGGTGCAGTTACCCGGGGGCTCCGGTAGATACAGTAAGTTTTGAACACATACGCGAAGAATAGATGATTGAAAACCAAGGGATATCAATTGAAATACTGTCGCATCCAGCATCATATCGGGTCACTATAGTACAACTTCACGGGTGCATACCCGTCCAAAAACAATGCTTTCTTTTTATTTGACAACATAATACTTCTATGCCACATAACCATGAAACGTAGTCAATTCGCTTAGAACTTGAAGACCTGGTCCTTGCTGTAGCCCAGCTCCTTCAGGACACCATCCAACTCGCCCTGATCCTTGGGGCTGACCTTGGTGCCACTGATGGCCTTGTACAAACCGGGAGGTCCGCAGACGAAGAGCTTGATGCTGCCCTCCTTGGGCTCGGGGAGGACGGTCTTCAACAGGTCCTTGTTGATGTAGCCCTTGCCACCGGTCCAGCCCTTGGGAGGGTTGTCTAGGACGTAGAAGGCCTTGAAGCGCTGGGGGTAGGTGTTTTCCAGATCCGAGAGCTCCTTCTTCAGAAGGATATCGTCCTCGCTGACGTTGCCAAACACCAGAGTAACCTTGGTCTTGTCGTCGGGGTTCTTGAAGATCTGACGTGCCAACTGGTACATGGGAGTGATACCGGTACCACCAGCGATCAAGGCGATGTGGTCGTGCTTGTTAGCTTCCCAGGGGTACTTGGGAAGAGGGCCCTTGAATTCCATGCGCTGGCCGACATTCATGCTGTGGAAGTGCTCCGACATGGGACCGTTGGGGTAAGCCTTGATGACGAGCTCGAGCTGGCCGGCTTCCTCTAAATAGATTGGTTAGTTCAAATCTCATACAAAGTTCAATTGGCTTGACTTACCCTCATCGTTAGTGGGAGTGTAGGGACGGATGACGGGCTTCTCAGCGCCAGCAGGCTTAAACTTGGCCAAAAGAGCAGCTATAGTTCCAGTTAGCATTGATCCTTTGTGAGACCACACATCAGAATCGGGCTACCTACAAGCAACTTGCAAGCCAGAAACAGCTTCCTTGTCCTCAAACTCAAAGCGGAAACGCTTGGTGTTGTGGCTCACAGTCTCAACTTCCGCGAGCTTCAGGTCAACCCATCCTTGGTCACCACCGACGAAAACCTTCTGCCGGGGGGCCTCAGCGGTAGCAGCACCGGTGCTGTAGCGGTAGAATCCAATACCGGCACCCGCGAGACCGACAGTAAGGTAGACGGGAGTCAACGACTTGCCCTTGGGGGCCTCAGTAGAGTACTTGCGGAGGCCCTGCGACGAGATTTAGCACAACCCCGAGGTCCTCAATTGGAATGCTCCCCGACAAAGAGCGAGATAAATAGTAAATAAGAGAGGGGAAGCTCTCTTACCTGTTTGAAGGGCTGCGAGCACCTGAAAGCTTGACGCGCGAACATTGTGAGTAGAATTGATGGTCAATGGGAGGGGAGGTATCAATTAGTGAGAGTGAGAAGAAGGAAGAAGAAAGAAGTAGGGATGAAGTTGAACAAATTCCGAGTGCGGGCGGCTCTGGTGCTCGGCGTCCGAAAGACCGATGGGGACCAATGACGCAATCGGTACCTGGGAAATTCCGCGATATTACTAACCAGACCAATGAAGTACGATAAATATACGGGCAGCTATCTTTGGATGTAAAGCTCTGTACCAGGAGTACCTGTAGAGAATACGAGGGTTGATGGCAATGTTCGATAAGAGGTATTGAATCTCATTGCTTTTCAGCACCAACAGCGCGCCAGCCAATGGCATGCTGGATATCCGTCATGAATACTACCCTAGCCGTATGTCTGCAAAACAGTAAAGCAGATAGATAGCAAATGTTTGCTGAAGATATCCGTAGGTTCGATATGTATATCATTTTTAATATACCGCGAAACGCATAGTGCTGACGGGAAAAAGCAAAAAAGAAAAAGCAAATACATACGGGGCAAAATTGGCAGGCAGCCGCCCACAAGTGTACTCTGATCTGTACTTATCGAGGAAAAAAAAAAACTACATCATCATTCAAACATTGTATACACCATGGCCGGGAAAAATCATGAACCGAGAAAAGAAACCCCAAGTTTTGTTTTTTGTGATATAAACTTGAAAAACCGTCGCTGCAGAGGACTAGAGTGACATCAAAACAATCCTTCCCATTTTCTGAGTGGTAAATACACGCTGTGTTCTCTGCGTGCTTTATGACCTCTTTGCATGCTATGGCTGTATCATTATCGTTCATCCACACACTCCTACTCCCAAAACCCCTAACATCACATTTATGCGAAGGTAGATGGCCGCGAGTAGGCGAAGATCTTCTTGCCAGCAGGCTTGGCGGCGCGGTGAGGCAGAGGGAACTTGAGGTCCTTGGTGAGGAGCTGCTTGATGTAGGGGCGGCGGATGTTCTCGGCGTTGTCGACCTCGATGACCTTGAGGATCTATATTGCGATAACGGGTTAGATAGTGGATTCGGAAACACAGAGCCGGAAGGGATGCATACGTTGATGGAGCCGAAACGGGCACGGTGACGGGCAGCCATATCCTGGTAGAGGGCCTCAACGGCGTCGGTACGGCTCATCTCACGGAACTCCTTGTACATGTTGTGGGTACCGGAGCGCGAGTCGTAGCGGAGCCAGATACCGAAGTTCTTGACCTTGGTGGGACGCTTCTCGGCGATCTGAGGACGCAGTCAGCGAACGTCGCTCTCATCACTTAGGAGCCTCCACAAGACATAAACATACCACATTGAGGCTGACGATCTCACCGTTGGCCTTCTTGACCTTGCGGAGCTGGGTCAAGAAGTACCAGAACCGGGACTTGGCCACGACGGGGTTGGGCGCAAAGATGCGCATGCGGTAGAGCTTGGGCGTGGGGTTTGCCTCGGTGGGCAAGTGACGCCCGATGACCTGGTACTCCGTGAGACGCCCTATAAAGTCCAGTCAGTCATTGTTCGTTCGAGGCTTGTGTGGCTTTCCGTTTTAAAGCGGATTGATCAATGCGTAGGCTGCGTGCGACATGATGTAGACGATTTGCGGATTCATCGATAATTCGGAATGAAGCGATGAAAAGACTTTGGTCCAAATGCGATCTTATTTCGTTCTCCCAAGCACCCCATAACCAGCTGTAAAATCTTCGAAAAACCAAAATTCCACCTTCCAAAAATTCGTTCGAGAACCCGATATCATCCAAGACACTTATTTTTTGTCCAAACGTGTTCGTCGCAGGGGGAACGCATCGCAGCCGATCGAAAGGGAAAAAAAGGACGGGACAGGTTGGGAAAATTTCACTTACCCATCTGGACAATCTGAAGTCAGTAACAAATCCTCAATTTCAAAAATAGCAAAAGGTAGCACTTACTTTTGTCGACGCTGTGATGATTAGTCGCGAGAAAGGTGTGCCGGGGACTATGGTTGCCGGAGTTCAGGATTTGTGAACTTGTTGTGGTTAGGGTTGCCGCCCTTCGGCTAAGCGAGTGGAGGACAGCGGCGTTTTTTTGGGCCCTATTCCCGTTTCGGACATTCAGCCACAGCGGCTGATCACGGGCTGTCAAGCCTCATCTGCTTATCTAACGATATTTCCCCGCCTCCACCGCCTTCGACGATTGAAGGTCTCCAGGTCTGTAGCTATTGAGGCGACTAGATACAATCGGTGATCTTCGCTAGCAGTTGCGACAATGGCATCCGTATTCACCGATTTTAAGGAAGGCCACAAAGAACTATCCGGTCCCCGCCTGGCAGCCTCTCTCACACCGGTCGCACCTCCCGAATACCCCGATCGTCTCCGATCGTTCTACGCTTACTCCAACGGCGCGAATCTACATTCGGATCTTCGATACTTTCTTTTCCAAGCCAATGGACCAAAGCTTCCGAAACAAGAACAGAATGCATGGATCGAGGTCTTTTCGGCCTATTGGAAAGCTGCGGGGGAGATACTGAAGTTCGATGATGGACGCGGTAGCTGGGTCGAAGTATTCAATGCGTGGAATCAGGTATCCAGTGTTTTGGGCCGGGGCTATACGAATGCAGGCATCGAGGCATGGACTATACCATGCTTGTATGTCGTCGGGAAATACGTCCGGACGTTCGCGATTAGAGCAGACGCAGAACTAGCTTCACAAGACTCGGTTGCATTCAACGACCGTTTCCAAGATGACATCTCGTTTGACTCGGAGAAGAGTGCAAAACTTGAGGAGGCCGCTCGTGTGATTAACAAGCTGTTCACCATTTGTCTCAATGACAGGTAAGCAACCACCCGGCTATTTGTGTTGCTTTGCTGAAACCCAGATAGGACTCCTAGTATCGAGGAATCGCGAAAATGGGGTGTTTACAACATGATTAGTTTGACATTCAAAACACACTTCAAGGTACGAGATGACCGCGTTACCTACGATGAAAACTTCTAATTTATTCATGTAGCTCAATTCGATTGGGCTCTGCAAGAGCTTACTTCGCGCCCTGAACGCTTCGTCGGCAGACCTTCCTCCATTGGAGGCTTTCCCTAAATCCCACATCGTTACTTTCGAATACTACGTCGGAGTGATTCGTTTCTTGGATGAGGATTATGCAGAGGTATACCGTACAAGGACTTGCTTTATGTGGATGCACTGATTCTTACAATTCTTTGACAGGCAGAGAAACATCTGGCATATGCATGGAAACTATGTCATCGGAACGCAGTCAAAAACAAAGAGTTGGTATCCTTATCTTGTTTCTTCACTGTTTGTTAACTAACTGGTATAGATTGATCTTGATGTACCTGGTGCCTTGTCATATCGTCACGACACATACTCTCCCTAGCGAAGAACTGCTTGCTCCATTCCCTCGGCTCGAGAGATTATTCCGCCCACTTTGTGACTGCATCAGAAAAGGAGATCTCGGTAATTTTGATGCAGCCATGTCCGCCGGAGAGGATGAGTTTGTCAAAAGACGTATCTACCTACCGCTTGAGAGGGGACGCGACATCGCATTACGGAACCTATTTCGGAAGGTCTTCGTTGCAGGAGGATTTGAAGAACCGAAAGATGATCAACCTCCTATGCGACGAACCCGCGTTCCTGTCGCTGAATTCGCAGCAGCTGTAAGGATTGGTACTCATGCAAATGACAGAACCCGCGTCGACATCGATGAGGTTGAGTGTCTCCTGTCGAATCTCATATACAAGGTAAGCTTTGCAGCATCTGATCTACCTGCTTTAGCACTGACCATCTGTTAGGGTCTCATGAAGGGCTACATTGCACGTGAACGCGGCATGGTTGTTCTGAGCAAGGGTGGTACTGCGTTCCCTGGAACAGGAGTTTAGGGTCTTTCGGGACAAATCCTCAACGAATCTCGTAAAGCAGATATCCGCTTCTGCGCAACATCACTTGCGATCAAGCATTTGTTTATGCCGGATATACTTACAGGTACACATACTATGGCCTTTATAACCTACGCAGTGACCATCATACACACTGGTTCATTTGCCCAGTGCTCTGCATTGGAATCGAAGCCGGTAACACCAACTGCCCATCGATAATGCACCAGCGTCGACGGGTTGATATGAACAGTTCTATCTGATACTGTGTTTCCCACGGAATACACGACAACTGTCCCTGGTCACCGACGCTTTCTTATATCATGCACAGAAATGCACAGACATGTAGCAGGCTGCTGTCTCTGCTGTTATTCATCTGAACATATTATTATAATGCTAGTTGATAGAGAAGAACCGTATTATACAAAACCTACTATACAAAACATGACAAGAGAGGTATTAAACATGACCCAACAGGCGAGAGGGGAATAGAAAAGACCAAGCACATCAGACAACAACAGTAAGCCGCACCAGAATATTAACATCATTCGAATCACGAGCAAGACATCAACCTTCCCGCTTAGCCATAGCCGAAAGATCATCCTATAACACCATCAGCAAACCCTCATCATAACTCCAAAACGAAACAAGAGCACGGGATACAAACCATATGATTACACATCGCAACAAACAAATCAAAAAACAACTTCCCCCCCTCCTCCATCTCCATCTGCATAGTCCCACTCCTCTTAAAGGTCGATCTGCTCCGAATAATCAGCGCAAGATAGTGCGCTCGAAGCTTCGACTCGCTATCTGGCGTGTTGGCGTAGGCGTATCGTGCGCTGGTGAGGATCGTTCTGCATTGGATGCCCGTGTGGAGGCCTTGTTTGCGTAGTGCGAGGCGTTTTAGGGGCTCTAGTGTGTATTTTTCTGCAGCGCAGCTGTTCCCTGTTAACTACTTGGACCTTAATAGAAGGGAGGAAGAGGAAGGAGGGAGGAGCTCACTAGACAGCCGTATCCCTCAAAATCACACCCCCAGCCGCCTTATGAAGCATCGTAGCCCCATGGCTCTGTCCCTCACTATCCGTGTCCATATCCTCCAACTCCCACTGCTCCCGTCGTCCATTATGCACTAGCCGAGGTGTATAATCGCCCCTGTACAAATACTCCAGAACACACGATAAAACCTCCGGCTGTTCATCAGGGAGCTCGATCCGTTTCCCTCGCGACGAAATACCGAATTGTTCGCGACAGCAAGTTGCAAAGTACGGGGATGCGCAGAGGATGTCTTCGTGGCAGGCGAAGAGGCGCTTCTCGGGGCCAACGCTGAGGGTTACGATTGGGGAGCCTGAGGGGCTGGATATTGTTAACACATCTTCGGTTGCAAATTGGGGGGGTTGGTTACCTGCGATCCTGTGGACTACTGGGTTTTTGTCTTCGTTCTGGGCGCCTGGATTCTCGTGCTTCGCGGATGGGATTTCTGGTTCGGGAGCAGGTCTTGCCGGGGCGATATTTGGAGGTGTTTTCTGGGGGTAGGGGGCGTTTTGTTGAGATCATTTTATTTTCTTTTTGTTGCCTTATAATTACTTCTGTTGAATGATGTACTTGTAAAGAGAAAAGAAGAGACGAAAGAAAAGAACAGTCTGGAAAAATCAGGGGCAAAAAGGTTTATCAGTAATACTGCTAGTTACAAAACAACGTACGTATCCGAAGGCCAGAAAATCCTTGTCCTCGAACGGCAGGGAACAGGTGCTTTTGTAAGAGCCCCTCATCGAGTCATTATAGGAGGGAAAATCCGTTCAAGCAGTTATTTTATACATTACATTTCCCCTCTATCTAGATATGCATGAAGCGTTGTGATCAAGCAACGTTTCATGCAGCGATGTATCTCTCGCAGCTGATAAGACGCGTAAGATTGTATTCCACGCGTAAAGTGCATCGCCAAATTGCCGCGTGGTCACGGGTCTGACATAGACCAATGAGATACTTGGATTGTAGGTGAAGTGGGGATTAGCGGGCCAATTAGGAGGCGGGGTTTCTCTTGAAATGATTCCTTATATGGAAATGTGATGGGTTTTGTTCCGATGGTCGGAATTGACGAGTCATGATCCTCATGAACAGGAACTTTTTACAAAAGGGGAATGTCAGAAATTTCAAGAGGTCCTTCATTATGTTCTCAGTATAGTGGTTATATGGCTATATTAGGGTCCTTAATTCATATCCTACTCGACCACGGCATGTATTTAATTACTGCCGCCGCCACCACCACCACCTCCCTAGTAATTCAGACACTGTTAGCGATAATAAAGTAGGAATGCAAAGGCAAAGACTCACATTCAAGAGATCCTATGTTCATCAATGATATTAGTGATTAGCAACCAACCATGATCCCTTACACGCCTAGACAAACACTTGAACAGAGAGAGACCACCTTACTATGCAATCTGTCGAGAAGAGGTCGAGCGCCATGTACCTTCTTGAGCAGGGCTTGGGTATCTTCATCGTGCTTAGTTGTGGTTATATTGTTCAGTGAGTGATGGATGGCAGCGTGGAGCTGCTGTTCAGCTTTTTGTGCTCGAAACGGGGCTGGCGTGGGCTATTGGGAATGTGAGGAGAGAGGGGAGTTGCATTTTGGATGGAAATGATAATGGATAAGGAGGGCTAGCGACGAGAAAAGAAGCATTTCTCCAGAGCATGGTTAACTGTGACAAACGGAAGCATCCCCACAAGTGCACAGAAAGCAGAGATAAGTGAGTTCAGAAGTGACCTTTCCATTATGTGCAAGTAAGTGATTATATACCCAAGACTCCATCCCAATCCAATACGCCAACCCATAACACCGCAATAGAAATCATGTATCCAGTCTCAAATGCTAGTGGGAAGTCTCTACGGTAGCTTCTCCCATGCCCTTGGCATAACTGCAATGTTCTGCTCGTGTAATCAAAACGCAAATCACATAAATATCTTTCGTGCTTCGCCAGGATGGCTCTCGTTTGGACAATAAGGACACTTGAACCGGCTGCTCTTGCACAGCCGTTTCAGTGACTCCTCTGCAATCACATGTCCGCAAGGCATCATCATCGGTGGGTTTTGGTCAGTCGCTTGCTCTTTGGACACGGGGCAGACGAAAATAGAATGGAAGAGATATGATGGTGGAAGTGGGATTTCGACCTGGAACAGGTTAGCCGTGATCTTGGACAGAAGGAAGAACTTGGAATAGGATACTCACAGGCAACTCATTTTGCGTCGTCCACTCAGTCCGCTTGGCTTTCATGATTGTCTGCAGCTTCAGTAATGTCGGGAGAGCAATCGCACCAGCAGTAGTAGCTATATACAAGGGCGAATCCGCTGAAAGGCCCATCAGTGAGCAGAACTCGCGCGTGAACGATAAAGAGACGTCGCTCCAGGCGGTCGGGTTATTGAAAATATTCCGATAAGGAGAGTTTTGCAAGTTCGGGCAAAACGCCATTGCTCCTATCAGTTGCTGCACTTCCCGCATATATCTAGGCAAAAAGACATGAAACTCGCGTTTGGCATATTCCAGAGCCGCCTGCCGTCCTGCGGAAAGGGGTACCCCGGGGTATTGTTCGCAATTAAAGAGCCAGATAAACTGTAGCCGACAGAGCTCGAATTCGAGGTTGCTGCCTCTTGTCTCTAGAGCGTCTCTGTTCTCCCTTGCCCATTCTATAGCCGGCAGCAGGTTTTTGTTCTCCTTCAGCTCATGCAGTATGTAATACATTTTGACGAACTGTTTCCGGACTTGGTCGGACGGAGCTTCGTTTATATCGAGGAGGCTCGTCGCCTCGTTCGCGGGGTTATATTCCGTCGTTTGTTGTGAGTTCCGGGATTTCGTTTCGACTAACTCGGAGAGGAATGTTGCAGCAACAGAGAACTGGCCTTCTCGCAGAAGGTGCATTGCGATAGCTCGGTTGATCATGTGTTCTTGGGAGGATAGGGCGTCATGTTCGGTGCTCGGGAGTGGCCTGTCTTTGAAGAACTATAGAAGTTAGCGATATTCAGGTTAGAATATCATGTGGCGTCCTTACCTTGTCGAGCGCTTTGCTGTATTTGTTAAGACTGCTATGGCTTTCTTTGAGACTGTCGTTGATAGAGTCGAAGGATGATTTGACAGGATTCTGGAGCTTCGCCATAGTAATCGACGCCTGGGTTGGATCTGATATACAATTTATCGTCAGCGCATATCACCGGCCTCCAACTCCGAAGGGAACAAACCAGATGCGATCGTATCCCGAGCCGACTGGAGCAAGTCTATCGTGGACTGCACATTCTGAATACCCTGCGAGCCTCTCAGCTTCTTGAGCAGCCGCTCGTGCTCTTTCTGAACGGTATCCATATTGTTCGATTGAGGAGGGGGTGGGCTTCTTAATCCGATGCGGAGTGACGATAATCAACCGATAATGAGATAGCCATACGGAAGCTCCAATATGGCTTCAACTGGGAGGATTCAAAAGAATATGAAGATAGTTGTATTGTGAGTAGCCCACGGAAGGCCACAAGCGTTCATTAGTGTTCAATTCGGGCAGAGGGACATGCGGCAGCTTCTACCAGCAGACAATGAGAGGGCGGCACATATTCCGGTGACGGCATTACGCCATGTGTCACGTGCAGCTTGGGCGGTGGTATGCTACCCCTCATGATGGCCGTTTGGGTACTGCAAAGTGCACGTCTTACGGAGTACAGAACGAGGATCCCTATCTGGAGAGACTGTTTATTAGTCTCTACGGAGTCGATGTGAAGAAGCCGAAGTGGTACTTGGAAATAAGCTGTTTTGTGCTCAGTCCTCCGCCCTATGCATGGGGTAGAGTATTACTCTGGCATCAGGTATTTGTACTTCGTACCTAAGTAATAAAATACACATTATTATACGAGTCATCTGAACTATGTAAGCCAGTCCTGTTCTCTGTAGTTACTCTGTTCTGTTCTGTATGACTCCCTCTCCTGGTGGCAGCAGTCGGATTTCCTAAACAGGTATAGCTCGCCCCTTATAGACCAATAGTAACCGACTAAGAGGCTCGCTTGTACTAGCGTCGTTTTATGGTCTTGGCACAGGTATAAATAACCGGCTCCCCCGGACCCGATTTGATTCCTTTTCTTCTTTTCCTCTCCATCCTAGTGCAAGGGTTTTACACATGTCAGTGAGGATTCGTCCGAGACTGTGTTTTTGCTAGTTGAAAACTACCTAGTTTGACCGCTCTGGCTGGTCTTCGGATCGGACAGGAATTTTTGAAACCTTACTGCCTTTTGACTCCTCGCTTGTCTTGGAGTTCAGCATCCTTGGTCTTGCACCGATGGATGGAGAGCTTAGAAGATCTGTGTTCTTTTCACTGCTGTTGCCTCCCATGTTGGAGGCCTGTAGAGAAGAGAACTGTCATATCGTATCGCTATTGTAGACCTTCCATCTAAGAATAGAAGTGAAAAACACTTGTTCTTGACCGTTTTTGTGAGCCTTTGCCCGATCTTCCGATCTCTTCTCGATGCGGAGCGAGGCTTAGTGGTATGTCTGAGGCTATGCCGAAGACTGTCAGTTGCTGGCCAATAACATGGTCGAGAATACTCACCGCTCTGCTATTCATCCTTTTGGTGACGTCGCCGAGGCGCCGTTCGATCATAGGCATCTTTCTTTTCGTGCCTGTGTCGGCTTCTCTTTTTGCTTCCATACAACCAGCTCTGAAGGATGACATGACAACTCTTATTATCTCTGCTCTCGCCGTCCCAATCTCCTGACTTGTAAGGCCATTCAGTTTATGATCTGTCGAGCCTCGGATATGTCTTGCGTGCCGTGTTCTCTGGCAAACAGTACAAGGTGACCCTCAGGAGGGTCAAGGGCACTTGCGTTTCTTTCTCCTTTTTATAGAGCTGGATCTCTCCTTTGAGTGCTGGGTGGTCGTTCTCATCATATTGAGATTACCCCTGGACAATCCTGTCTGAAAAGAAGCATTTCCTATGTGATATTGCGTGTCTACTATGCCGCCACCAACTGCTACGCAGAACGGTGCGCCAACAGCACCCCCTACAGTGAACCCTCGCGAGTCTATCAAATCAACCGTCAGTCCCAAGCACATCCCGTCTTATCCCAATGGGGACTCTGATGCACCGTCGCTGCCATTGCAGAACCATCAACGACTCGCCTTCACTGATCCGGTCGCCCTCCGTTACCTCGAAGAAGACCCTTCGACAAACGTACTGCACCGGCGAATGACACTGCAAGGTTATGAAGTTTACGTTGTGGAACAATGGGCGTGTTCGAGGATCCATCCGACATTCGTCATTACAACTTATACGGGAGACCCTTCGCATACGGTCGTGGTGGGAATACTAGGTGTTCCGACTGATGAGTCGACTTGGTCTCCTCGCCTGAAACTTTATTTCAGCGCTGTGACAAAATGCCACGCGCGAAGAATAGAGACGCCGCTGGGGGCTCTCATGGTTACCGACCTGAGTACCTTTCCGTCGGTCCTCACGGTGATCCCGGTACCAGATGGGGATTTCAAAAAGCATCGAGGTGATTTCATTGTCAATGAGGATTTGAAACGGTTAGGCTGTGCAGGACGCGCAGGCTTGAGATTACAACAACCGCCTCCAGCGACTGAGGCCAAGTTCCACCAACTTTACCGGACGAGTGAGAGAGTGGCTCTATACAGCGCGGTCATGGAGTTGGTCAAGCAATGTCAGATGGCGTTGATGATGTTTGACAAGTTGGCACCGGAGTACGTGGATGGGCTGCTCTGCGATGTGACCGAAACAGCGATTAACGATTGGTGGACGGACATCGGGATTGATCTGTATAATATTGAACCTAACGATGGAGTCATGGGGCCAACCACTGTGGCCGCTTTGCTGGGAACATTACTAGGTGCCCGGAATCGGCTTCACGCTCTTGGTGCACCGGTCGCAAAGGATGCCTTCGATATTCATAATCTCAAACGAGGAGTTGGACGATTCCAAAAATCACAGAAGATGAAGAAAACACGAAGGTTGGATCGACAAACCCTAGACAAACTACATCGCGTCACGGCCAAGGCAGCAAACGCAGAGGGATGGACTGACGCTGTCAAGTCAACCATGGCGGAGTTGAGCGGACAAGGAGGAGAGATGGTCATGGGCATGGTGCGAGGACGCGACAAGGCCGGTATTGCCGATATTGAAACACTCGACATTGACAACTTCCCGCATTTGGTCACAGGCGAAAGAGCCAAGTGGTTATGGCGAGGGAAACCGCGCAAGAGTGGCGTTGGTGACGGCTTTTCAAGCGGTCCGCCAGCATCAGACATGATGTTCACGACGGATGATCATGGTCGTTATATCTGGACGACTCGTAGGCGACATTCAAATGAAGATCTCGCGACGGATCGCTCTTTTCCGGCATCGGAGCATTCATTGAAAGCGCCTGAACAAATAGGTGTTCCGGACGAGAGGGACCAGAATCTGAGTAAGATGGTCTTCAAGGGTGTCAGTGACAAGGTCTCGGATGCGCGAATAGGTTTTGGCCGGTTTAAGGATGCTGTGGGATTGCCAGGTCTTCGCTCGCATCACCACCGGCTGACAAAGGAGGGAACTGACTTCGTTGGCGATGCTGCCTATCTTCCTCCGATAGACAGCGAGACCGAAGCATCCGAAGCACAGAAGACAGCCATTGATGGGATTCAGCCCGGGAATGAGCTTGTTCAGAACACAGCTCGTTACGAAGAAGAGCAAGCCGGACCACTACTTCCGCCTGAACTCAAACCCCCAGAGATCACAGTTGAGCCAGTGGCATCCACAGAGGGATTAGACTCACCAGTGAAACCTCTGGATGATGATGGACAGACCTTGATGCCTTTTAGAACGCGATCTAGTGGTGCATCGGATGATAGAGGCCAGCAGATACCTCGACAAGCGCTCATGACCCTACGTCGACCCCAAAGTTGTACCGATCTTAGACCAGAGGACGATTTCAGACATAAGGACAATTATTTCCCCCGACATCTGTCGTTCAGCACTGTCGAGGAGGTTATCCTCGGCTGGGAAAGTGTGGGAGACAAGCAGTCTGTGAAAGACAAACCCAATGTCACTTTCGAAGAAGCGATTTCCCAGGAAGATACACGTGCGTCTGATGCACGGATTTTCTGCTCCAGAGTCTTGGACCTGGACCAAAACACCGTCCCGTGGGTCGAAAGACAAGTCAACTCTGTGGACGGGCTGAACCGAATACTTTACGACCGTCATGAAGATATCAATGCGGCTTATCTGGAACAACATGGATATTTCCAGCAAGTCCGGGATAAGTCTAGTGACGTCCTTACGGACGAGCACATGTACCTTGCGGATTATATGAAGAGAGTGGAGCTCCAGGGTGCCAAACTCGACTATGAGCTGAACGTCCTGGGGTCCAAGGTCGAGGAAGTGGAATCCGGCGTCGAGGAATTCGAACGGCATATCTTTGAGATGGAGGCGCGAGTCAAGACACTAATTCAAGGCGAGGAAGAGAATCAGAGCAATTCATGGCTCTCATGGTTTGGAAGACTGACTGGGTTCGCAACGCAATGATTCGATACCATCGTTGCATTTTTACTTGTACTTTTAGGGCTCCAAGGATGAACGTGTAACATTCTAGTGTACATATATTCCAGAGAATATAACCTTTTAAAATCCGAGACATGAGCCATCAATGATACACAGCGGCTTCCTGCCAGTCAATGGCACCGGAAACCGTCAACCAACCGTACCAATGCAATTCCCAGAGCCGTAATATTATTAAACCACGGAAGCCTTTCCTCATCCAACATTCGCCATGCCCTTTTTGCCAGATGTCCTCTTACATTCCCATACCCATGCCGCCCTGTCTGCCGGCGGCATCGCCCTGCATCTTCTCGCTGACCTTGATGTTGACGTCGAAGAACTTGCCGACGCAGCGGTCGAGGCAGACGGATTCACCCTTGTTCAGGTCGCCTTCGCGGTAGTCGTTGGGGATACATTTCTTGGTGCAGGATTCGGTCAAGCTATCCCATGAAGTCAGCATTCTCTCTTTCAAACGTATGGGTATTGCAGTTGAGCGCACCGGTTGAACATGTCCGAGACCATCTCGACTTCGGTCTCTGCGGCAGAGATCTTCTCTGCCGAGGACATCTTGGGGGGGCCACCGAAGAGGAAAGACATTGTGACGGGAATATGGTATTATTGTTAATTGGATAGTTCTGAATAATATCGAGTATCGTTCTTCTCGGAGTAAAGGTGGACGGCGGACTGAGGTCGGCGGGACTGAGGCCCCTCACCGCCTTCGGAAATCTCTTTTTCTCCGCTTCGGCTCGATTTTTCGCTTTCTTTTTCTTTTCTTCCGCACACAACCACATCTCTTCATGTCCGGGATGTGACTTGCGTAGTGCTTTTTCTTTACAGATGTATTCAATTCGTCCTCTTCGGGCTTCCTCAAGGTAAGGCATTACATTTCTTTCTGCTTCTATGTGCAAATCAGTCCGCTATGATGAACACTCCCAAGCAACGGAACCGCTGCAGTGTCATGCCCAAGAGGCAAATGAACGTACTTTAAATCTTACCCTTTTGTTCTCTGAGAGGACTGCTTTTTGCTATTTATGCTGCCATGGCTTTTGAGTGAACTGTTGGCTAATAATGATGCTCAGTGCAGGATTGTCATCGATTCTTAATGCCAGTCGTCTTCGTCCTTTGAGGACATTCCCAAGTACTAAACTCCTTAAGGGAAGGATAAGGAATAGCAGCAGCAACAGCAGCACAACAACAACAACTGCATCTCCAGAGCGGGCGTTCAAAGAACGTCTCCAGGAAATTCAAAATGCCTGTCCCGACCCGTATCCCCGTCTAGCACCAGACTCTCGCTCGGTGAGCTGTTCGGAGTTCCGCTCTCGATACAGCCACCTGGTGGATAACCAAACAGTAGAAGAAGACAGCGTTGTCGTTCATGGTAGGCCGGCCTTACCTTGTGATTTATAGTTCCTGTACTTAGATTAGTTAGGTAGGATCCGTACGTATAGACTTGCGGGGAGCAAATTGATATTCTTCGATGTCGTTCAGAATGGTCATAAAGTTCAAGTTATGTGCAATAAGCGTCGGCTGGAGACAACGAGCCCGGAAGAGTTTAAGAGGTTTTACCGTCTGCTCAGGCGCGGTGATGCTTTCTGTATGTGCCTCATTGTTCCATCTATGACAGCTGCTGAACGACCATAGCCATAACGGGTATACCCCATCGGACAGGACGAGGCGAATTGACTGTGGTTGCAACGGAAGTGCCTCAATTGCTATCTCCTTGTCTTCACGATGTACCTCTGGACGCCAAAGACCACGAGACCTCTCCCTATGCTCGCCATGTCCAGCTCCTCGCGGACCCTAGCACGGCCGATATCATTAGAGCCCGGTCCGTTATTATCCAATACCTTCGTCAGTTTTTCCTCGACCAGTCTTTCATGGAAGTCAGTACTCCGATTATTGGATCGGTTGCAGGCGGAGCTGTCGCCCGTCCTTTCTATACGAATGCTACGGAGTTTCCTGAACGGCAATTGTCTCTCAGAATCGCGCCGGAGCTATGGTTGAAGCGGATGGTCGTGGGTGGATTTGATCGGGTGTTTGAGATTGGGCCTTCGTTCCGGAACGAGGGTGCGTTTTGATGCCATACCCTGATAATAATAGAAAATACTGACGTCGCAGGACTCGACAAAACACACAACCCCGAGTTCACCACCTGTGAATTCTACCACGCCTACGCCAACCTAGAAGACCTCATGTCAACAACCGAGAACCTCCTCTCCGGCATGGCAAACCACATCCACCAATTCAACTCAAACAATACCCTAAAACCAACAGAAGTCGACTTCACCAACCCCTTCCGCCGAATCGACTTCATAACCGGCATCGAAGAGAAAATCAACCGCAAACTCCCCAACCTCACCTCCCCAGACGCCCTCTCCCAAACAACAAACCTCTTCCACGACCTCTCCCTCCCGCTCCCCGAAAACCCAACCCTCCCCCGCCTCCTCGACGCGCTCTGCAGCACCTACGTCGAACCAGACTGCATAAACCCAACCTTTATCATCAACCCGCCAGAATGCCTCTCCCCGCTATCTAAATCCTTCACCCATCCCACCACGAACCAGCGCGTAGCGGCGCGCGGCGAACTCTTCATCGAAGGCCGCGAGATGGTGAATACCTACGAGGAAGAGAACTCGCCGTTCGAGCAGCGGCGGAAGTTCGAGGAGCAGGCGCGGTATAGTAAAGCCGCGGAGGCAGAGGGAGAGGGCGAAATCGATGAGACGTATCTTGAGGCTATGGAGTGGGGTTTGCCGGCTACGGGTGGTTGGGGGTGTGGTGTTGATAGACTTGTTATGCTTTTTACGGGGGCGAAGAGGATTGGGGATATTTTGACGTTTGGGAATTTGAGGGCTGTTACTAGAAGGCCTGGTGGTAGTTCGGAGGCGTAGGATGGGGTTGTTGGGATGGTAATGTGTATTTTTATGAGTCGATCTTTGAGATCTGTTGTACAAAACTGCATTTACGAAGTTATGTATGTTAGGCTGAATGTTCATTATCTATGCAAGACTCCATGATGACGCACGTGATATGTACCTACTACAACCAATCTCTCATCACCATCAACTCTTCACAATGACCAGACTCCCTCGAATTCCTAGATCAGTTCTCCACAGTCCAATCATTCTTCCGCGCCATCATCTCTACCATCATCACTATTATTATTGACAATTAACAACCACAACCCTCTCCGGCATCCTTCTCCCACCAGCCGTCTTCCTAGGCCTATCATTAACCCTCTGGACCTACAAATGTCTCATGATGATCACCCTCCAGAACAGACTTATCTACATGCCGAATATCCCGCCGTTTTCACGGTCGGAGACTATCGATGATTATGCGGGGCAATGCCGACCTGTGCAGTGGACAGAGGATTCGCTAGCTACGGGTGATGGGGTGAGGATTTCGTTGGCTGTTGGGGCGATTCCGAGGGATGAAGATGCACGGGGTGATGGTGTGGAAAATGGAGGGGAGGATGTGGTGGTTTTGTATTTTCAAGGGTATGGTTCCATTTATATGTTTGGTGTTGTTCGGGAGCTGATGGTATATAGAAACGCGGCTTCGCTTCCACCAAGATTACCATATCTTTCAAAGGTCATGAAAATGGCAGATAGAGATGGTATGCTCAGTGTTACAAATGGACCAAGGAAGAATATTACCATCGTGGCAGTCTCATATCGCGGCTACTGGACGTCAACGGGCAGCCCGTCGCAGAAGGGGATTGAGCAAGATGCGGATGCTGCGTTGTCATGGGTTCTGGAGAGATACTTTCCTCATGATTCTCTGCGACGTCGACGTCGGAAACTGATGATATGGGGCCAGAGTATCGGCGCAGGCGTAGCTACTAATCTCACGGCGAACTACCTGCACGATCCGCATGCATACCGAGCACAGTCACAACCCGAGCCACAGAATGAAAGCGTAGCCCTCTCCGGCCTAATCCTCGAAACCCCCTTCACAAACATGCGCGATCTCCTCTTCGCCTTCTACCCCCAAAAATGGCACCCATATCGCTACCTAAGCCCATTCGTCCGCTCCCACTGGGACAGCCTCCAAGCAACACAACGCATCGCAGAAGCCCCAGCAGACCACAAACGGCCTATGATCATCATGCTGGAGGCTGGTGCCGATGAAGTGGTCCCGGCGGGTAACCCAGAGCAGCTGGAGAGACATTGCAGAGAGCTGGGGTTGGATGTAGAACGCAAGGTTATTAGGAATGCGCTGCATTCGGGTGTTCTTGCGAAGAGGGATGGGCAGGTTTTGGTTGCACAGTTTTTGAGAGATGATAATACATAGTACTTAGTGGTGGTTATCTGTGATACAGGCCGATGATAACCTCGTCGGAGCGGGCCGTTGCAAACAAAGTCTGCGGGGAAGCCGGCTTCAACTTCTTGTCTTTTTATATCCTTCGTTTGTTAAATTTTATTCTTATAATCATACAAAATGAGTTTGAATGAGGTAACCCAGGCCCAAGCGGTCACTGTGAGTTTACAAGAACTGGTCGATGGTAAGTATGCAAACTTTTCATAGCGGTACTTCGGACTAGATGCTGACTGTTTTACAGGCACCGTTTCCTTCGACGCTCTGACAGAGGCATTTGGCCCCTCTTCACTTGGAATAATCATCGTGAAAGACCTCGATGTCAAATTCCAACAACTGCGCTCTGAGGTTCTTTCCAATGCATCCTCCCTCGCCGCTCTCCCTGAGCACGAACTAGGCACCCTCTATTCCACCTACTTATTTGTGCTAGTAACTAACGCACACAGAATCCCTCACCAGCCCAACAGCAAAATACCTCGTCGGATGGTCCCGCGGCAAAGAAACACTCCGCTCCGGCCACTTCGACACCCTCAAAGGCTCCTACTACATCAACTGCGCCTTCTACCAAAACCCATCCCTCCAGTCCGCCCCCGCAGATGACTTCCCTGATGCATCCGAGTACACGACAGATAACATTTGGCCGGACGCGGAGCGACTACCTAGGTTCCAGGAGAGCGTCGAGGAACTGTGTAATTTGATCATTGACACCGCGGCGCTGGTGGCTAGGGCTTGTGATCGGTATGCAAGGGCTGAGATCGAGGGGTATCAGGGGGGTTATTTGGAGAGGGTTGTTAGGACGAGTTTGACGACGAAGGCGCGGTTGTTGCATTACTATCCTTCCAATGATAGCAGTGATGGCGATGGCGAATCCAGGGACAGCGGTGAAGCCGACGACGACGACTGGTGCGCAACACACCTCGACCACGGCTGCCTAACAGGCCTCACCTCAGCCATGTTCCTCAACGAAGCTTCACCCCCACCCCTAACCGAACTCCCCACCTCCCCAGATCCCCGCGCAGGCCTGTACATCCGCTCGCGAACAGACCAAATCGTCAAAGTCAACATCCCCAAAGACTGTCTTGCTTTCCAGACAGGTGAGGCGCTGCAGTCGATTACGCGGGGGAAGTTCCGGGCCGTGCCACATTTTGTTAAAGGGACTAAAGGGGGAGAGGGGAGGATTGCGAGGAATACGCTGGCTGTGTTTACACAGCCGAATTTGGGGGAGGTTGTGGATGCGAGCTCGGGGAAGGTGTTTGGGGAGTTTGCGAGGGAGGTTGTTGAGAGGACTTACTGATTTGATTTGATAGTAGAGCAGAGCAGTAAATTGATTATTGTACATTGTTATGGGTTGTGCATGGACTGTTAGGTCGCTATGTTGGTCTTCTCTGGTTTATATATCTTTAAGCCATGCCGTTTCATGTCAATTGAGGTATTACCTGTATAAAGATTCATTATAGAGGAACGTTGTAGACTGGCACAGAGCCTACGGTGTCTATTAGAACTATCGTCGGTCTTCTTTGAGTGCTATATCGTATAGCATCAGAGTGCTTATATATAAAGAGCGTCTCGGACGAATTTTTGAACGACCGGATTGGGTGACTTGGAAGTTCCAGAGCATGTTTTCGCTGGGACGAAACAATGCATGTCCGGGTATTCTGTCGTTAATTCTTCGATTCTGAGAGATCCACGACTCTCATCCAATTGGGCTCCTTATGGTAGGCGTTTCGACAGATCTGGATAATGTGAAAAACGGAAATAAAGCACGGTAATACTCGTCTTGATGGCAGGCTTCTGCAGGCCATAGGCTATGGTGATAGGCCATATTGTTGGCCGCACTTCGTCATACGAGAGCAGCCTCCATACTTCATGAGAAGGTCTTTTGTTGAATGCTCACATAGTAAAGAGTTCCTAACACTTTTGCTTTGCCTCATATCATAGGTAAACCGGCTTCCGGAGCCGTTTATAGGTGACATTAGTGCATGTATGGTCATGAGTATTACTAGAAATAGGGCTTACCCGTGTGCGTAGACAATGAAGGGATTCCAATATATCTTTCAGAGGTGCATATCTCTCGGTATGCAGAATCTATCCAGCTGGCATCAGCCATTCCCATACGTCTTTATTGAGATTCAGGTTAACTATGTACTCATACCTCTGATTGACCAGGCCAGAAATGTTCTCCTCCCGCCGTTGTTGGGGCAGCAGCTGTTGCTGCACGCATACGCTATTTCTCTCAATACAGGGCTGTCTTGATATGCCAGTTATATCTGTTAAGTGTTACATTAGCTAGGTACACCGCTAGCTTGGAGTGGCGCGGCCAGAACGGCTTCCTGCTGGCCTTTGAGATATTATCGGCCTTAGAGTGCGGGGGTTTCAGTACTAAAGTAAACTTGTATCGTAGAGACTATTGCTAATTGATATTGCTTGTGTAATAAAATTGTAGATGACAACGCTAACCTTGGGTCATATTGGGTCGACTTCTTATTCAGCTCGACGCTTCGCTGGTTGGACCATTCTTGCTGGAATGCTCTTTTCGTGGAAACGCTGTGAGTTCTCGCATGTTAAGTGTATTTTCTCTTTCTTGTTGACAGGTATTTTGCCATCTTGCAAATAAGCGGATGATCAATAAGTGATCGAAGTCTGTAACTGTACGAAGTGCTATAACCCAGCTTCCAGGGGGGGGGGGGTATCTGGAGATCTTGTAAAGGACATGAGAGAAGCAAAGGTTAATGATGGGGAGAGGTCTAGAGGTCCCTTCTCTCCGTGATGAACCATAATTCACTTGAAATCGAATGCTTTTCCCAGAGTAAAGGATAAAGTGAATATGCAATATGTACAGTGTGTACTCTAACAGAAAACAACGCTCCATGACAGTCTCCAAAGCATGAAAAGAGATCAATGCTTCGACCGCTTCGCCTTCCTCTCATCCCCAGGAACATAATCCCCCTTCTCAGTCTCCTCAGTCCCACCACGCAAATATTCCATAGGAATAGTAAAATTCTCCTCCCCCGAAGAAGAACTCTCCTGCGCAACTCCCTCATCCGCAGAACTAACCGTATTACTTATATCAGTCGTAGCCCCCAACCCCGTACTAACTAACGAGCTAGTCTTGCGAACCTCCGCAAAACTAGACCGCGACTTGGCAGACGGCCTTCCTACCTCGCCGGGGAGTTTCGCCTCGCGGTAATCTGCTGGACAAGCGGTGCCGTCGATGACTTTGAGATTTGCGCGCCACATCTTGACGTCTCGTGCTTCGCTGTAGTAACCTACGTCTTCGCCATTGAGGGAGTCGATGGCGAGTGTCTGCGTGCGGAAGTCGCCCCAGAACCATTGTTTGCCTTCGGGGATGCGGTCGTCGGCTTGTCTCGAGTAGTCACGCGCCATAATCACGCCGTGCAAGTCATGGCTCATTGAAAGAGAGCCGAAGAGGAGGCGCATGGCGTCTGGCTCGTAGCAGCGGCCGAGGATCATGTCGTGGGAGACTTTGGCGGTTTTGCCCGTGTACAGATGGTACCAGTTGCCGTAGCCGCCCATGTCGGTGTATTGGAAGGTGTTTGAGATTTCTTGTTCGGATAAGCCGCGGAAGAGTTTTGTGACGTCGATTTCCTTGTGTGCGCGGACGGAGCTTGTTGTGTAGATTTTACCGCTGATGCGGACGCGGTAATCTTCTGCTAGATTATTGGATTTGACGTCTTCCTCGCAGTTTATCAGTTCCATTTGGATTTCGTCAATGACCATCACGTCTGTCACGCTTGCTTTCTGGAGACTATTCGGGTTGTAGCCCTTTGGTTTCAGTCGAACGGCGTCGCCGATGATCAAAAGCTCAGCACCAATGAAGATCCCCCGGCAGTATATTGATGCATCTGGCCAGGTACCCTTGACATGGTACTTGTCCAGCAAGCTGAACGAGGACATGGCCGTCAAGGCATTCTCAATGGATGGATGGAGCTCTTTGCGCGACATCCCCTGCACAAAGAGTTCAAACGAATTAAACGGCTTGATGCATCGTAACGGAACGTATTTGGAGTGCAACGAGTAGCTCTTGTCGCTACTGTTAGGGTCGGGAAAAGTCTCGATGCGGAATCCAGAATAATTCACAGCCCGTTCCTTTGGAGTAGTCTCGACCAGGTCTTGAAGTACGATATCGTCTTCCGGGACCTGTCCGACGACTCCTGCTCGCCATTCCGGCATCCCCCGCCATCGATTTTCCTCGGCAGAAAATATTTCGACGCGATTGTTCTCTGAGTTCCACAGTAGCTCTCCATTAAGCTCACGTGTCCAGAGAACGATTTCACCAGCTCGAGGTATGTAAGACGGCTGCAGATCCAACTTCTCCAGATACTCTCCGAGTCTCTCTCTCTCAGCCCGCCAGTCCATACTGGTCTTTTCCTTGATCTTCTTGTCTAGCCGGCCATTCTCCTTGAGCTCCATAATGGCCAATTTGTAGACGTCGGTTGTCCCTTCACCATCGACAACAGGGCGAACCGGCTGTCTTACAATCCTAGCAGCTCTAGCCACCGGTTTGCCGCGAGAAGCTACACCTGATCCCCGAGAAACTAAACTTGATCCCCGAGAGCTCGTACCCGAGCCTCGAGAGGAAGTCGGGCCTGGTAGTCGACCACCACGAAGTGGCATGCCCGCTATTCAATAGGAGTCAGTACTAGCACCAAATTCAGCATGACGCGGATATGCTAACCTTCTCGACGAGATTTCTGCTTCTGCAGTCTCTCACAAAGTGCGCATTTACACGGCGTAACCCCTCCCGTCATCAAATAGGAGAAATGGGGAAAGAATTGAATAGTAGACTGGAAATACTGCCCAACCGGATGGCCGTAAAGGAATCTGTCATACTATACCATGGAGAAATGAGAAGCTGCGACATGAACCATCCGTAATCAAAACTTACAATGTCCGGATTGACAATGCGAGGTCTCTCAAGAAAGGCGTAGCCTTCTGGTAGTTTGTCTATGGTATAATTCATCCCTGCAGCCAGTCAGAATGTCATTCAAAAAAGGGCAAAAAGGGAAAGAATAAAAAAGCCTACCCTCTTCATAAGCCCCCATCTTCTTCAACCAAAGCACAGCAAGCTTCTCGCGATAAGTGTTGTCATTGCACAATTTATATTTGGGGTCTTTTGGCCATATTGCCGGGTCGCCGTCGCTGAAGGACCGGTCTATGGGGATCACAATAGTATTTTCGTCCTCTTCGGACACTGATTCCGGGGCAGACATGCTATGCTTTTAAGCTATTAAAATGAATAAAGAAATAAAGAAAAAAGAGTGTGGAAGAAAAGTAAAGAAGGGTAAACGGAAAAATGAAAGGAAAGCTCGCTGGGATTTCCAGGGATTGCGAGCCAGCACGGATCACCGGGTCATTGAAGCGACTTGATTCTGGAAAATAGTTTCAAAAACCGAGAATTTCCCCAAACTCGTTTTTTAGTAGTAGTTCTTGTTGGGAGTTGGTTTTGACGCGTGGGAAGTATGGCTTCTGGCGATAATGTTGACTTTCTCGTTGCTGGGGATGGTCATGTGACCGTGGCAGCGATAGCAAGTGAATTGATCATACAAGTTGATATTTGATTAAGGGAATAATGAATTAGAAGAAGAAATCGAAAAAAAGGATATAATTGCTGTATAATATTGCTGTAATAGTAATGCCCAACCCACAAAGCAAATAAACAAGTCCTATGTACAAATGTGCTATCCAAAAGATATTACCAGCCCTATGCTTCTGCTGCATTAACTTCCTCTACCTTACCTTCCTCCTTAACTTCCTCCTTAACTTCCTCCTCATACGGAGGCGGAGCAAGCTCTCCCTCCTCAACCCAGACCCTATTCAACTCCTTCTCAATATTCTCTCGCCGCTGCTTCCACTCATCCACCTTGTCGAGACGCTTCCGCAGCTCTTGCAATTCCTTCTCAACGCCCATCTTCTCCTTCTCCGTGCCAATCAGCTCGAATCTCCAGTTCTCTTCTTCTTCCCCGAGACCAAGCGCCAGGTGGTATATATGGTACTTCTTCAAAGACGCGCGCGTGGAGATCGTGATCAGGGTGATCCCGCGGTGTTTGGCCTGCTCGTACAGCAAGCCCTCAACGTCCGACGAGACGGCTGATGTGCCTTCATCGAGGAACGCGTATCGTGGTTCGTGATAGAGCAGTCTTGCAATGGCCATCCGCTGCTTCTCGCCGCCACTGAAGACATCTTTCCATTCCTTGCGGGAGTCCCAGCCACCTTCGCGAGCGGGCAGGTATCCGAGACGAGCATCGTCCAGAATCGTCTGGAGCTCAGCGTCTGTTGTGCCACGATCCTGCATGTCGATTGCTGTGTGGGGATAAATGACTTGGTCGCGTAGAGTCCCCACACTGAGATAAGGGCGCTGGGGAAGGAACATGATGCCATCGAGTCCAAACCCCCTAGGACGACTGACCAGCCCGCGGTACACAGGCCATAAGCCAGCAATAATACGAGGGATAGCAGACTTTCCAACGCCATTAGCACCCGAGATGAGGAGATGATCGCCAGAGTGGACGATGAACGACAGCGACTCGATGAGCTCATCACCTCCTCGTGGGTAAAGTGATGGAGCAACGACTGGAACTTGTTCCAACCGAACCCCGTCAAAACCGTTGTGAACGGTTCCTTGAGCATCAGCTAGAGAGTAGAGCTCCGCGCTAGACCCCCGGGAAGGATAGTAGGCGCTGGAATGGACTCGGTGCAGTGCAGAAATAATGGTATAGACACGGGACGTGTAACCCGCCAATTCTGAAATGTCCTTGATGCTGTACATCATCCGGCCACCGGCATCGGCCAAGGAGAGCATCAGACGCTTGTTGGTGATGAATTCTTTCATGCGACCACGTTCCCGACCGGTTGCTGCCGGTACGTCGACCATTTCCATAGCGCCCCCGAGCCCACCCCAGGCGGGCAGAAAGACGGGCAAGGAGGACACCAGGTATCCGAAGGCGGACCAAGCGTACTTCAAGATAGCATCCTCCAGCATGTTGTACCGAATTCTGAGGCTGTAGATACCCTCCATCCATCGCTGAAGGTCCTTGAAGCTCCGCGTTAAGAATAAGCGTTCTACATCCGCGCCACCGTAGAAAGAAATCTCCTCCGAATTCGCGAGCAGTCGAGAATGTAAGCCTCTGAAGTCACCTTCCTTCTTGCCCTCGACAGCCTTGAGCTTTCCGAACGGCGGCGATAGCTTGCGCAGAATAGTGGCTGTACTGAAATAAGCAGCGCCAATTCCACTCAGGGCCAGCGGTCCTAGGGAGCGGTAGAGCTGATAATTGAAGACACAAAGATCCACCATCGGCTTCCCAATAGACGAGTACAGCGTAGCAGCCGCGGAGCAGAAGACCGTCAAATCCTGCGTGATGAACTGGTCCGCGCCCTGGCCAATACCACCATCGAGGTTCATCAGTTTGTAATAATTGCTGTTTTCAGTAAGATAAAGGTCGTGGATGTATCGCGTTAGACGCGTCCTGAAGGCGATCGCCACCTTAGCCTGGAGGAACTTGATCATGGCATTGGTGTATGACGCAAAAGTCCCAATACCGCACCACTTGAAGATTCCCCAGATAAAGGCACGTCCTTTGCCCGTGACAAGATCGCGCACGATCTCTCCATCCAGCCTTGCGATCAATAACGACAGATATGTTCTTAGCAGTAGAAACACACCGTGACTCATCAAAAGACCTGTCTCCTTGCTATTCCACCTGGGAACCATAATACTCCCAAGACTGAGGAACTGATGAAGGAAGGCAAGGTTCAAACCAGGCTTTGTCGTCGGAGGCGGGATCTGACTTGCTGCCTCTCCATCGCTGGCACGAGCCGACGCCGGCGGGTTTAGAAACAATCTCCGGTGCGCGTCGAAAGTTGTCGGTTTCGTCGGGTAGATCTTGACCTTGGAGGTCATATAATTCCGATAAGGCACGTAAATGGTGCGAGAGCCATCCTTGCCCCGAATGCCCGAATTCCGACGTAACAGCCGTCTACCCTGGACGCGGTCCTTGGCCCTCGCCCGGAACCAGTTGTAACCTCCATATCCAGACCCGATTATCGATAAGAAGAGTAGAGCCGTGGCGATAAACTTGGTTGTCTTTGTGGAGCGGCGTAGTCGGGCTCGAAAGCGATCCACGTAGAGGGCGAAAAGGGTCGCGAGGGGGTCCTGTTTGGACCGGAGCGTGGACTGTGCGGCCATTCTGTTCCCTACAGTATGGTGTATTTTTGAGATGATTTGAGGCGACTTTATCACAGACTGCCTCTGAGGCAGTTTGCTTGCATCCTTTTAGGTCGGGGCCGGATGGTCGAAGGCCATGAGGGGATGCGCAAAGAGTGGTTGTTGTGATGTCCGCGATGAGCTCTCAGAGAACTGTTGTTCATCCAGGAAGCAAGTGATAGTTGATGCAAGTAATAATAAGAGGATGAAGGCAGACTAATGCAGATGGTTGTCTGTTGGGCATTGCATGGGATGGACTTGATGCTGACATTATTCATGTGAAGACCTCGGCTCAACTGCGGAGAACTCACGTGCTACGAATGTAGTCATGAGGGCATGTCAGGTTGCATAAGACGGGGATTTCAAAACACGCCCCAACGCCAAAAATCGCGACCACCTGTTCGCGATTTCCGAGCCAACTACCGAGTACAAACACTGCTACCACCAATCCTATGTCCGATGTCAATATGGGGGAAGCCCCGGGAACCCACGAGACCCCGACCGCTTCCCCCCGGGAGCCCACCACCCCGAAGTGACCGCCCAAACGACCCAGACCAGAGACACCGGGAAAAGCTATACAGGCCCCTCCTACGCCCAAGAACTGGCAGCTCGACTGGGATACGCCCCCTGCATCCCCATCCTACAAAGCCCCCCAAAGCCAATTAGGCTTGGAGCTCCAAAGCCATATCACAGTGGCAGTGGCTTCACGCACAGCACAAGTAAAGACTACAGGAGATGAAGTCTTGGGGCTTGTCTCTATGATTAGCCAGAAAGTCACTGACTGGGAAGAGAAGAGCCTACAAGGAGCTGCCTCCTTGGGCAAGGATATTAGGACCCTGGTCCTCAACTTCAGCAGGAACCTGGCAACAGGTAACCCCACCAAAGAGGAAGAGAGGCACCAACCCTCTCTGTCCATGGACAACAGCTATGCTGGAGCTACAAAAACCTCACCAAATGCCACCAAGACACAACCCAAACAACCCAAGGCCCCATACAAGTCACCACTACTGAAAAAGCCTCCCCGCATCTTCCTCTGCCTTCCCAAAGACCACCCAGCCCACTGAGCTAGCCCTTTTGCTACTATGGAGATACTGAGGAAACACTTAGACAAGACCTGTTCTGCAGCTGTGAAAGAGGTCCAACAGGTTCCCTCAGGCCTGGCAATCTGGCCTAAAGATGGCCTGAATTTTCTGACCAGAAGAAATAGTTGGTTGCTAGGAGAGTTGCATTCGGAGCGTTTTGGCACGGATTAAACCACACAATCCACATTGTAAAACAAGCACCTGTGAATTTCCTGTTCCGGCTAGTTTTGCCGTTTCTGGTATAGCCTCCCGATACGCCGTACTGCAAACGCCGCCCGCCTGGCCTCCCAAGTATAGAAGAGCCCTCCATCTCTGTTCTGACCTCGTCTCCTGAAAAATTTTTTTTTTCTTTGATAGTTAGTGGGTTGATACGAGACCGAATTACTACTCCAAGGCTTGTGCGCGGGCATCCTTTCCAAATATGCAATGAATATTGGAATGGACAACTTCTTCCGCTTAGATGGTGGTTGAGTCTATTGTCGACCAGTCTCAAGCAACCACTCTACGATAACAAAGGAAATGAGAAATAGATTAAAGATGTGGTTGATAATGACTAGCTAAATAAAGAACAGAAGTGAAGCGGTAACCTAGGCCGAGCAAAAGGTGGCAAGTGGTCTGGACGGTCAGAAGAAACTATCCCCCCTCTCAGCCTCCGATTTCTCTGCTGCAGAGCTTCCCCTTCTTAACTCAATTGTCCATACAATACCCATCATTCGTAGTTAACAGAGCAAACTCACTCCCAATGCAAAACTCTTCTCAATCCACACCCATGTAAGCACATCAGCTGATACCTGCGTTCCCCTATTTTCCTTCTCATCCTGCCACTGATGCAGATAGAGGTCAACCTGAGCGCACAGCCCGCTAGGAAAGATGAGCAAGGCTGTAAGTTCACACATCCAGGGACTTGATGCGATTGGCATAGACTAAATCTGCATCGTCTGGCAACGTAACACCAGGTTTGCAATGCAGCAGGCGGTTTAGCAAAGGTAGTACTGCCTCAGAGTCCAGACTTTTTTCTCCCTTACAACTAGTTATGCCCGGATACACAGTCTCATCTAAGCCGACGGCCAAAAGCAGAATTCTTTTGTTTTTCTTTGGCCAGTTGTATTCAGCCGACGGCGACGTGGTACTGCGAGTGTCATGTCCAGTTGGCTCTGGGGGATGCACAATACCAACAGACTGGTCTTCATTAGCATACTTCTCGCGTCTAAGGGCCATAGTCAGCCCAATAAAGGGCACATCTGGCCTCAGAGTCTTTGCGGCTTTTGAGAAAGAGTGTATAGTCTCATCCCTGAGGGAGCCCGAGTACGAATCTCTCGCCCTGTTCTTAACCTGTATGCCAAAGAAGGTCATTTTTCCACCAGGCAACTTTATGGGAATCAGGAGGTCGGCTCCAGGGAAGCAATCCGGGAGGATGATCCCCGCACCATGCAGGAAGGCATTTTCCAGTGTCTTCTTGGTCAGGTCTTCTTCCTGTTTGAAAAAATGGTTGCAGAACACTTCGCCATTGGAGCAAATGGGGCTCATCTCAGTGTCAGTGGATGAGCACTCCATGATCTTGTCTGCCACCTGGCTTCCCAGTAGACCAGCAAGAAAGCCCTT